GTCATTGCTAGATCTTCTACGTATTTTCGTTTGTCAGCTCTGATGCTCTTCTTCACTTGTCTGTTTGCTTCCGTGTATGCAGCTTGTGCGGTAACTTTCTCTGCTCTTGTTCGGCTGACATTGATTGCTGCCTTCTTGTTCCTCCTTTCTTCAGTTTTTGCAAGAGTACCAACAGAGATCCATTCCTTGTGATGGTGCTTCTTGCGACCAAGGACCTCCTGACATGTTGAAGTGATTGCCCCCTTAATCCCTTTCCAATTGTTCTCCAATGTTGCGTCCTCTCCATTGAGTAGATCCTGAAAGGCCTGGAACCTATTGGTGAGGGCTATCCTGAATTCGTTGAGCTTTACAGTATCCCGAAGAAAGGCCGTATTAAACTTGTGTGATGTTGTCTGTCCCGTTGTCCAGTGCTTCTTTAGTTTCAGTTTCATTTTGGCGATCAGCAAGTGGTGATCTGAAGCTATATCAGCTCCTCTCCTGGTTCTCACATCCTCCATGGTCCTTCTGAACTTTTTGTTGATACAGATATGGTCAATTTGGTTTTGAGTAGTGTGATCCGGTGAAATCCATGTGGCTTTGTGAATGCGTTTGTGCGGGAATATTGTGCCACCGATGACCAGTTTGTTGAAGGCACATAGGTTTGCAAATCTCTCACCGTTTTCGTTTCTTTCTCCCAGTCCATGTCGTCCCATGATGTCTTCATATCCAGTGTTGTCCATGCCAACCTTGGCATTCAGGTCTCCCATAAGAATCGTCAAATCCTTTGGTGAACATTTCTCGACGATTGACTGCAGCCTGTCGTAGAATTGATCTTTAACGTCGTCATTGTAGTCATTGGTAGGTGCATAACATTGGATGACGTTCATTGTAATGTCCTGTTTCTTTGTTTTGAAGGATGCTTTGATGATCCTAGGTCCATGAGATTCCCATCCTATCAGTGCCTTTTGTGCATGTTTGGACAGCATCAGTGCAACTCCTTGTGTATGTGAAGCGTTTTCCTCTTCATGACCAGAGTATAACAGCAGTTCCCCTGAAGCTAGTCTCAGTTGTCCTACCTGTGTCCAATGCGTTTCACTGATGCCAAGCACCTCGAGGTTGTATCTTTTCATTTCTGCCGCAACTTGAAATAGTCTTCCAGTTTCCCACAATGTACGAACGTTCCATGTACCTAAAAAAATGGTTGCTCTGGTTGTCAGAAGAGGCATCGGCCCCGTGACTTCCGAGGGAACTCGGCTTTCATCACGAGACGTCATAATTCTTCTTCCAACTCCCAGGGCAGAGTTAAAATAGTTTGATTTATTTTTTCTGGTTAGCGTTTTTTTGGCAAGTGAGATTTCAACGGAATGGGGTCGCCAACCCCATGTCCAACCCTCCTCCTTTATCCGGGCTTGGGACCGGCAGTAGCCCCTAAGGTTCTACTGGCGGAGTTGAGCCGGTATCTAGCGATGTTAATGTCTAACTTGATCAAATTCACAGAGTTGTGGTCTAACATTGATCGATTCATGTAATTTCAAAAAATGTGTAACTTAACAATCTTCACAACCCCGTAATAGAAATAATTCACAATATAAAACTTGAGAATAGAATGATTGATATTTTTGGTATGAATTACATCTGTTGAGGAAGCCACAAATGCTTCAACAAGTGTAATCGGTTCATTAATGTATGCGTTTTTAAATTACTTGGATTAATTCAGTTAAATGATAGTATGAATAGGAACGAATACAATTTATATTTATCAAAAATCATCAAATGATACGTCAACCACTTTCCTAATCAACAAACTAGATTCTAACTAACATTTGACATTTGTAACTCTAAGCTTCATTGTCTAATTATGAGGTCTTGTCATATATATGTATATATATACTACTGAAATAGTTGGTCACTTACACTTAGTTCGTTTTCTGTTTTGGTTTGTTTCAAAACTCTGTTTATTAACATTTTGGTTTTTGACGCTTTAATAGCCCAAAAATAATCCAGGTCATATGTGATTCGAATTTATTAATGACAATCAAACAAATGATCATATCTAGGGTTTGTATTGTGAAAGTTAGTCAAGTCAGTAGGTATTTCAAACCCCCCTCCCCCAGTGATACACTAAATTCTGATATATATTATCTAAATCATATCTGTATACACATTGTATGAAAAAAGTCGTAATTGTTTAGCGTTTTTTACAGTTAATTCAGTTGAGAAAAGGAACATTTAGGAACTTTTATCATATCATGATCCCTCTTGAGTGTCTTATTGGCACAGACCTAACTCATGTAGTGCAACTGTCTTTTATAATTAGTTTTTAACGTTTATTGGACTGAGATATTATCCAAAGTGGTTTATGTTCACGCTAGCATGGCTGTCACAAGGCCTATTTTCAACGTCTATGGAGTTAACGGGGCACCTTCAGGTTCTACCATAAAGATGCCGGCCGTCTTCACTACTCCGCTTCTCTTGGACATCCTGAACTTCGTTGATGACCAAATGTGTAAAAATTCAAGACAACCGTATGCAGTCATTTCAAAGGCTGGCCACCAGACATCTGCTGAGTCTTGTGGTACAGGCTGAGCAGTTGCTCGTATACCTAGAGTAAGTGGTGGTGGTATACATAGATCAGGTCAAGGTGCATCTGGAAATATGTGTCACGGTGGTCATATGTATGCCCCTACAAAGACGATGAGACGGTGGGATAGAAAGATAAATATTCAGCAGCGACGGTAAGCCAGATGCTTTGCTATCGCTGCCACTGGAGTACCATCGCTAGTCATGGCTCGTGGACATCGCGTTGATCGTGTTCCCGAGCTGCCCCTTGTTCTGTCAAAAGAGGTTGAATTGCTAAAGAAGACAAAGGATGTAGTTAAGGTGCTTAAAACAATCCGAGCTTGGCCGGATATCCAAAAAGTTTACAATTCTCAGAGATTCCGTGCTGGAAAAGGTAAAATGCGAAATCGAAGACGAATTCAAAAGCGTGGCCCAATAATAATTTATAAAAAGGATGATGGAATATCTCATTGTATATAGTAGATTGTATAGTTATTTTCTTCTGATGTAATAAGCTAGGGAAATTGTTTGAGGCTGTAACTCAACTAATTTTTCAATCTATGATGATTCATTTAAAATGAAGCAAAATGTTAACTAAAAGAATAACGATAATGTCTGGGGACTTGAGTGACGAATTCTGATAGATTTAGTGAAGAGTGCAACTTCGAACTGTTATATACAAATCTGTTAACTTGTTAGGATATTCATCAAATATGCTAAGACAATTATTTTTGTAAGTCTGATTCTATTGGTCAATTCCTACTGGTCAATATTATGGTCGTCTTAACTAACAGTGTCACATACTTCTATGTTGCTTCCCATTGATCGTCCTGACTGACTTGAATGTTGTTTCCTATTCGATCTAACTGTATAAATACGCATTATCTGTAACGTTTTATGACCCAGACCTGGATCTCTAGTCTGGGATCTTTATCCTCTTCTGGACTCGGACCTCGTACTTTCTGGATGTTTGTAGAATACAGCTTCTACTTCACTTCAAGTCTTATTCTTTTACTCAATGAGGTTTGGGACGATTGGATTAGAGTATCATGTCGTGTCGATTATTATCATCTCGTGAACCCCAACCATGTAGTTTACACTTACCAGTATGAAAGACAGACAGACAGAGAGAGGCAACGTAGAACTTAGAACGTAAGTGCATCAGTTCATGTTGCCATACCACATCAGCACAGAGATATATTTGTCAATTCAAATAGAATAGTAGAAGAGGTAGTAAAGGTATTAGAAGTAATCGGAGAGGTTAGGATTAGAAGATATTATTCAAGAAGTATGATTCAGTGAGATAAGTTTAGAAAGTCAAAACTAGATGTGTTGAAGAATCCAGAAGATTAGGATTAAGAGAGAACACAGAGAATAAATGCACTGGCGCCATTGCAAACGGTTTTAAGCCATGTCATTCAGCGTCTCTAACCATCGATTATTATCATCTCGCGGAACCCCAACCAGGTAGGTAGTCGACAACTACCGAAATGACTCAGTCCACTTGTCAATGACTTCATGGGTTTCTTCCATGTTTTGATCTGGCCGCCCCTAACTTTCTTCCGACCTATTCCTACACTACAAAACAAAGCTCGACGAGGCAGTCGGTGGTTAGGCATACGCAGCAAATGTCCCAACCACCTCAACTGATGAAGTTTCATTACTTCGTCTATTGATTTACCATTCTTACCTAGCACCCGTCTCCTAATAACAGCGTTGCTCACTCGGGCGCCCCAGGATATTCGAGCAATTCTTCGAAGACACCGATGATCGAAAACCAGTAACCTACGAATATCTTCTACTCTCACTGGCCATGTTTCACAGCCATATAGTAGGACGGAGCGAACTACTGCACAGCACACCCGTCCTTTAGTCGGCAAACGGAGATCTCGTCTACGCCATAAGTGACGCAGGTCGGTGAAAGCCAATCGAGCCTTCTGTATCCGAGCTGAGATTTCGTCAGTCACCAGGCTGTCGGCACTGATGAGACTCCCCAGATAAGAGAAGCGGTCAACACGCTTGACTACTTCACTCCCTATCACTAGTTCAGGTGCCGATGAAACCCAATCTTGAAGCAACATTTTGCATTTCGATGGGGTAAACCGCATCCCGAACATGCTTACTAGTATGACTCTATCCAGTTGTCAGTGACTTCATGGATTTGTGCTATGTTTTGGTTGGTGGGATCAAGGGAAATAACATCAGAAAACCATACATACTATCTGTAAATAATCTTTGCCGTATCAAATTGAGCAGGATCAACTTTATCATTTTATGTTTAAGGGATTAAATTCTAAATATTTCACAATCAATATGAGATCCCATTAATAACATGTATCATAGTTATGACTGGTTTATTATTGTGGTTTTTATTACAATTTACCAAAATTACTAAAAAAACAGAATTGAAAATGGAGTTAACTTAATTCTCTCTCTCTCTCTCACTTTTCAAATACTTTTAGCTTGTTCACGTCAAATCGAATAAAATACTTCGAGCTAAAAAGCAATTATCACCTGAGTTTAACGATGCTTCAGTACGTTTTACATTAGAAGAATATCAAGGTGATGAATCATGGTTTATCATTCAACCATCCTATAAACATAAACAGATGGGTGATCCAGTGAGTTAACAATTAGGACTGATTGAATTTGTCTGGGTAGATTGTTCTTTTGGAGATACATCAATTAAAGATATTTTTCATTAATAATGGTTCTTGCTGTTTGGTGATTTGATTTCTTACATATGGTAAACTTAACGTCAGCCACTGAAGTACTAGGTTTCAATATACAAAAATGATAATTCAAGATCTTTCGATACAACACAACATGCTCCAATCAAATCACACTTGATGGAGTAAGGGCAGCATTTCTTCAATTCAAGAATATCTGGAATTCAAAACAACTATCAACCAACACCAAAGTCAGAATTTTCAATATAACTGTCAAGATAGTTCTACTGTATGGAGTAGAAACTTGGGGAACCACGAAGGCCATCATCCAGAGGTTTAGAGTGAACACTAACTCTGAGATGTAGGTACATCCAGATGAAGAGTTAGAAATAGGATGAAACGCTCGTCCTGGATTACACTGTTAGGCACTATCAATTTCTGCTTAAAAATCCTTATGACCTAATAGCTAACTCTAGGCAATCCGCAAAGGTTGCACATATGCTGAAGAGACTGATCAGTTGTAGTCCTATTTATCAGTGAGACGATTGAAACTGCCAGTATGAATGTACTGATATATAACAATAATCGACAAAAGCTTGATGATAAGTTAACATTCTGAGATATAATCGTGTGTGTACGTGTTAAAACGGAATTGTTCACTCTAGATCAACTTCCTTTATAGTAAAGGAGAAAAAAGGTGAGGGCACCCGAATTGTATTTATCCCAAATTACGGAGTTACTCTGTAAAATAGGAAAACCATACCGTTAATCGTTAATTTGCAAAATATCAATCCATCATATCGAACTGGACTGTTCCTGTTGCAAAACATCAATCCATTGTCACTATTCATGCGTTTCATACAAATTCCATTGTTTTCTAACTCTTCCTTTCTTGATCTTCCCCCCATCTTCTGCTGCCAGACATTACGTTGACAGTCACGTCATATACTACTTATAAGTAGCGCGCATCACACCTTGACTACGAGAAAGTATTTGATAGCTTAAGTAGGTAAGTAATGTGTGATAGCACGATTCAATGCAAACCCTTTACAATAACTTCGCAATGAATATTTAGTCTAGTGATCGCAAGTTTCATAGAAAGAAATCCCCTTCATTATGCAATATGAAACATTCATATATGAATTAATAATAATCAACTGAATCATTAGCTGTTTCTTTTCTTTTCAAAATTAATATTTTTTTCCACAGGTTATGATTGGTGATAAAGTGATTCTATTTGCTTGTCGCGCTGGTTGTGCATTGAATATTGAACAATTGAATGCAACTACTATTAAACAGCATAAATCAATGTCTAGCATTGATCATCATGAAATAAATAATAATAATAATAGTACTAGTTGGCAAATTAATCTTTATTTAAGTTATCAACATAATTTACAACATATATTGAAAGGGGTAAATGTTTGTGATAATTGTTTTTATTTCTGTTTTATTTCTATTATAAATCATCATGTTTACAGTGTAATTAAATGACAACACATAGTTAGTCTATCCAAGACGACTGAATTTGATTTTTATCTTTGTTGAAATGAATTACCAAAAAGATGTTGGAAGCCATTAGTGTTTTTACACATTTGAAATCATCACTCAATCATTGTCAGACTATCATTAGAAGAAACCTGCGAGGTGTGTCTGAAGCATTGCTCGTATATCGTGGGACACTAGAGTGAGTAACGCTGTTATTAGGAAACGGGTACTAGGTAAGAATGGCAGATCAATAGATGAAGTAATGAAACTTCATCAGTTGAGGTGGTTGGGACATGTGTTGCGTATACCTAACCGCCGACTGCCTCGACGAGCTATGTTTTGTAGTGTAGGAATAGGTTGGAAGAAAGTAGGGGGGGCCAGATCAAAACATGGCACAAATCCATGAAGTCATTGACAAGTGGACTGAGTCATGTTGGTAGATGTAGACTACCTGATTGGGGTCCACGAGATGATAATAATCGATGGTTAGATACCCTGAATGACATGGCTCAAAATCGTTCGCAATGGCTTCGGTGCATTTATTCTCTGTGTTCTCTCAAATCCTAATCTCCTGGATTCTTCAACACCTCTAGTTTTCAATTTCTAAACTTTTCTCACTGAATCATACTTCCTGAATAATATCTTCTAATCCTAACCTCTCCAATTACTTCTAATACCTTTACTAGCTCTACTACTATTAGATTTGAATTGACAATTACATCTCTGTGCTGATGTGGTATGGTGAGATGAACTGATGTACTTACGTATGAAGTTCTACGTTACATCTGACTGACTGAATGACTGATTATTGGAAGCCATTAAAATAATAACTTCAAGAGAACAAAAACAAAGATTGGTGCAGAATAGTTTGAATTCATCAGCTGCTTATAACTTATAATATTTTTAAAATCAAAATCATCATAGAAATTAACATATGTAACACGTGTAAATCAGCAGTCACTGAAAGGCGGACCTGAAACCACAACACAACACAATCCAAGGACTTCACATCAAGTGAGAACACGAAGTGGTAGCCACTGATGGTTTATTTGAAAATTGAAACTCGTAGGCTATGTACAGAAGGTTTGGCATGTTTACAAAATAGTCTTATGAGTCAGCATGCAAGTTCAGTGCATGCAGGTCTTGCTTTTCTCCTTCCAAAAGGTTTATCCTTGGTTTCTCTACAATAGGAAGAGAACAGAATCTATTAATAACATGTCATACATAATGATTTCAACACTGTTACACATATTTATAAATAGGACTGTGATTCAGAAATGAATAAATGTGTATCAAGATGTAGCAAAGTTTCAGATGCATCAGATGTTGCCGAGTGGTAAGTTAGTGTTAAGAAATCGAAGAGTTGATAAACTTCAGATAATTGTGTAATGAAGTAGAGGAGATCAGATAAATGATTATAAACAATAATGTGGATTGAAATCAGTCGATTTAAACTCGAAATTGCAAATTCAAAAGAAATGAAGATGATGTAATCAAAGTATGAAAAATAGTTGAACTAAAGAATGATGTATTAGAATGGACTTAGTGTTACTGTTTATTTTTGAACATATGAATTTGGTTCGAGATGGTTGATAGCTAACAGCTTCTGTAAATTTCAGAAGATGGGGACTTGATTGTATATGAATCCGTCTCATTGTATCCATTTGATATGTTGAATCAAGTGGAGTTTCATTCTTTGAGTTAGATGTTTTGGTTGTGGAACTTTCATTGTTCTTCTAAACAACATCATCAGCACCAACTTCAGATAGAAGTGAAGTACTCGAATTTCTGCACGTATGAACCCGTTTTATCTGTTTGTTTATGATTTTTCTGATTGGTTGATAAATTTGGGACAGTATCGATGTCTCGAGATCACACTGTTGAATGCCTCTAGTCCATTTGACCTTAGACTTTTCCAACCAGACGTAGGCGCTTCTTTCTGTCCTACCAATGTAACTACTTTGGCGCATACATGTAAATTAGTATACATAATTGGTAGTACCATGATTTTGGTTAAGAACTTGTTGTTTCAGACAAAGCAATTAATTTAGCTGCAGGATATACGCTTGTTAGTGCAGTTTTTAGTCTCATGTAGATTGTCACTGGAAAATTATCACTTTTCAATTTTGAGTAGGTGTTTTGATAATGACGTGATTGATTTCATAAGTTAACATCTGTCTGTCCTAAATAGCTACCGCACATCAATGTGTTATGGGACCGAGATGTGAAATCGATTGCTTGCAAGTGTGTTGTTTCGATACTTGTAGAAATTACTGACTTTTACTGATTGTAGTTCACAAAATATTCAAAGTGAATAGATGTGCTCAACAGTATAAATGAAGTAGTTTTTGATGCTTTGTGAGACGTATAGAAATAATTGTGTTAAATTAGAGACTATTTCAATTATTTTCTCAATTAAATGTATTGATAACTTTTATTGGCAAATTTTATGATGCAATAAACTGGATTATGTAATGATTTCAACTTACTCTGTGATGTTATTTGTGGTAAGTTTTAATCTACACCAATAGTTACCATTGGGATTTTATGATTATTTTACTATCAATTAAAGATTTCTGGCTTAATTCTAAAGTAAACAAAAGATATATTTCCATCATTTGGATAAGTAACGTGAAGAATTTCACTCTTGTCATTCATTATACAGTTGTGGAAGTTGTTGAGTTTCAGTGAAATCATAAACAAATCAATGTTGGATCACTATTGGAAATCTCGGATTATTGACCATCTGCTTTGTCCAACTATGGGACTCGTCAGCACTGAGCATCCACGATTCCATAATCAGGAATCGAACTCAAAAACCTTCGACCTCGCACAAAAACATTTCACCTGTTGATCATTGAGCCGTTATAATAATAATAATATTTATTCTCAAGAGTCACGCCAGTTTACAGGCTAGATCAAATTGTCACAAATGCTTTCACATTTACTGTATAAGTTATAGCGGTTAAATTAAGTATAAGAGTCAGTTTCTGATAGCATATTTACACCATGTCACTGTATAATACAGCCACATTTTCAATAGTGGAGTACAAATAAGGAAGGTGCACAATAGGTTCTTCAGTGGGTAACTACTTCAAACCTACACTGCTGATGAATCCCAAACTAGGGACGAATCGGCCGTTCAGTGCGTCGATGTTTCCATTGTTGTCCGAACATTGATCGATTCTTTTGTTCATAATGTAATTATTGAATCATAGGCTGTTGGCCATGTTAGATCCCCGAAATTCGCTTGATAAATTCCTTATTTTGGTTCTCACGTTTGCCAGCATGGACTGATCAGTTGACGTTGAGATTTCAATTCCCACCAGGAAAATCCACGGCTGTGATTGGCTGCTGTGTATTTGAGTGTGCTATTTTCATAACTGTCTCAAGGACGTTTCTATGATGTATAAATAAACGAGAGTTGTATGCTTGATTGTACTGTGATTGCTGGGTGTTTGTAGAATATACTTTCTACGCTTACAAAGTCTTTTTACTCCATTGGGGATTTCAAGGTAGCCTACCTGAACGCTGGTAAAAGTCTCGTTCGCGTTTATCGACTAAGGTAATAGCCTCGTAATAGCCTCAAGCATACTAAGTGACGAGCGTAACATAGGCATCATAGAAATTCTATTTTCATGGCGCAATCAATGCGCGACATGATTATAATTTGATTTTTTTCTTTTTTGATTTTAAATTAATTTCAGGGTGATATTATTAGATTGTTTCATAGTGAAACAGAAAAATTTCTTACTTGTGATCGATACGAAAATGAATTACATGTATTTTTACGGACAACATTTCGAACAGCTACCACGGCTGCTAAAAGTTCCAAAGCATTATGGGAGATTGAAGTAAGTTAATGAACATAATTTTTACACATTTAAAATCATCAATCAATCATTGTTAGACCACCATTAGATACCTGGAAGCACTGAACGGCCGTTTCGTCCTAGTATGAGGACTCATCAGCAGTGCGCATCCACGACTCCTGCTCCTCGCAGGACTCGAACCCGGGACCTTCGGCATTGTAGGCGAATGCCTTACCATCGGAACACTAGGCCCGCACTCAATGGTGTTAATGTCTAACTCTGATTAATCTAGGGATTTGTCTTTGGTAGTTACTGCCTACCTACACCCGACAGGGTTGAACTCCATTGGTCACGTCTTCTCAACTAGAACTCCGAGAATTTCCTTACGAAGCTAGTCACTAGTGAGCACTGTTACGATATTTTGGGGCAGAGTTTTTGGAGATTTGTGTTTTTCTTTCAGGTTTCTAATGGTGGTCTAACAATGATTGATTGATGATTTTAAAATGTGTAAAAACGCAAACCTCCAAAACTCTGCCTCAAAAAGAACATAACTTTGTTTGTGTTTTTATCAAAGATTAAGAAAAATGTAAAAATTTTCCTATATCTGATTTTTATTTGAAATGAAGATGTTGGATAGTTGGAGAGTTAGTTTGTTTCAACATATATTCACTTCATGTCTTAGGTTCTTTACTCGATTTGTTAAAAAGATTTCTGTATTTATTTTATAAGTGTAGTGTCAGAAAATGTATAATTATCCTGGAAGAAAGAATATTTGAAAGTATTGTAGTGAAGGAGAACACAGGTAGGGCAACCGGATTGTATGTAACGAAAATTACAGAGTTACTCAGTAAAATAGGAAAACCATATCGTAAATCGTTAATTTGCAAATCTTCAATCCATCATCAATCCATTGTCTGACATTTCACTTATTCATGCATTTCATACAAATTCCATTGTGTTCCCACTCTTCTTTTCTTGATCTTCCCTCATCTTCTGCTGCCAGACAATACGTTGACACTCACGTCACATACTACTTATAAGTAGCTCGCACTACAGTATCATTTGAAAAATTTCCAAAAACTAAATACACAAACTTAAATGACTTATATCTTTAACAGGATGATTCATTAGAACACACCTTAAAAATTTCAATGAATTTACATTGTATCCTCATTAGTCAAAGTTATGATAAAAATTATTTTGATTTCTGAACTATTGAAGAGATGGATAAGAGAAATATTGAGGAGAGAATGAATACTTTTATAAAGAAATGTAATATGTTACTTCGTTCACTTTTTGATTATGATAACCAAGTGAATACATAGTACGAATAACTCCGATTAGATTTTATTTGAAATAGTGAATTGATCATTGTTAGACTATCATTAGAAACCTGGAAGCAGTGGATGGGCGTTTCGTCCTAGTATGGAACTCATCAGCTGTGTACATTTACGACATCTGCTTCGAACTTAGGACCTTCGGTCTCGCCCGCGAACGCTTAACTTATAGACCAATGAACTGGCATCTAATCGAGGTTTAACAATGTTCGATTTATTATTTACTTACTTACTTACACCTGTTACTCTTAATAGAGATTAAGCCGCCAACCAGCGTTCTCTAACCTGCTCTGACCTGGGCTTCCCTTTGCGGTTCTGTACAATTTTTGTTCATTCTTCTTACGTCTGTCTCCTTTTCTCGACGTAATGTGTTTCTTGGCCTTCCTCTTTTCCTTTGACCCTGAGGGTTGCGAATGAGGACTTGTCTTGTGGGGCAGTTGGGTGTTTTCTGCTTCTTCCTGATTTCCTCCTCCACTGGAATCTGGTTTGTTGTCTCCCACAGTAGGTAGTTGCTGATAATGTCCGACTAACGGATCTGAAGTATTTTGCGTAAACAACTGTTCATAAATACTTGTATCTTCTTGATGATGACTTTCATAGTTCTCCAAGTTTCCGCCCCCCTACAATAGAACTGTCTCGACATTTGTATAGAAAACTATTCGATACATTATTTCAATGAAAGATTAGGTTTTATCTAATAAAAAATATATTTTTGGAAGATTCATCAGTACTATTTCTGGCCTAATCATGAGAAGGTGCATGCAATTAGGCGAGAACAAGTAATACATTCAAGATCAGCTTAGAATACTATAGTTAAACATTATAAATTTAAGTTGATTTATGAAATCAGAGTAAATCATTATGTATCATTTGAATTTCTTTATGTGATTAACAATTTAAAATGTAGTGTAGTTCAGATGTCATTTTATTCATATATTTAGTAATTTTTGATTTCACTTATGAAATAGTTTACAGTTCACCTGATCTATTTAATTTACATACATCCAGTAAAAAACGTCATTGTATTTGTGAACAGATTTAAAAATTAATCAACAATACAATGTGAATACATATTTTAAAAATCCTTGGATTAAATAAAAATTAATCAGATAATTTGATTTATTATTAATAATATTCACCACTTATACGGTGAACGTCAAATAAATGTATGTATATCTATGTTTCCTTTAGATAATAAGTTGGTAAGCTATGAGTCATGTTGATAGATGTAGGCTACGTGGTTAGGGTCCACGAGATGAATGTAACCTATGGTTAGATACCTTGAATGACATGACTCAAAACCGATTGCAGTGACGTAGGTGCATCCATTCATTGTGTTCTCTCAAATTCTAACCTTCTGAATTCCTTATCACCACTATCTATTTCTGTCTAAATTTATCTGTCTGAATTATACTTCGATCGTACTATCTTCGATCCCTAATCTTCTTCATTACTGCTAATACTTGTACAATCGCTACCACTATTGGATTTGAACTGACAGTTGTGTCTTTGTGCTAATGCGTTATGGCTACCTGAACTGATGTACAATACGTAAGAAGTTCTACGTTGTAACTGACTGACTGATTAGTAAGCTAAGATGAATGGAACAAAGTTATTGTGTGCTGGAGTTTCATTTTCTCTCTAATTTGGATGTTTTGATTTAGTGAGAATGAAACTCCAGAACCAAAACATCATCCAGTTAAGCTACAAACTTTCTCCATCATCTGGGAACAAAGTTAGTGAAAGGATGATAGATAATAAAGGCAATGAAGATACGTAAAACACCTAATAGTTGTGCTTTGTTGATAGTTGGTGTATACAAGTGATAGAAAAATTGTACATTCACTGTGAAAAACCATCAGTGAGCGCCTGTGTTAGTCACTCAATCATTCAATCAATAGCAACGTAAGACTACGTACGTATGTACGTACATCAGTTCAAGTTACCATACAACATTAGCACAAAGATGCAATTGTCAATTCAAATCCTATAGTAGTAGATGTAGTAAAAGTATTAGCAGTAATTGGAGAGATTAGGATTAGGAGATATTATTCAAGAAGTAGAATCTAGTGAAATAAACTTCAAAAGATAAGGATAAAGTGATGAAGAATTAAGAAGTTTAGGATTTGAGAGAACACAGAGAATGAATGCACCTACACCATTGCAAATGGTTTTGAGTCATGTCTCTAACCATCGATTACTATCATATCGCGGACTCCAACCAAGTAGTCTTCACTTACCAACATGAGGGATTTGTGTCATGTTTTGATTCGGTCGCCTTCAGCTTTCTTTTGACCTATTCCTACATCGCAAAATATAGCTCGTCGAGACAGTCGGTGGTTAGATTGTGTGTTAGGTTGTTATGTTGTGTTTTAGATAGTCATCAGAGGTAGTAGTGAAAACCAGACCTAACTGTTGAACATGTTTTCTGGTTAATGTTTTTTAAGCAAATTGGTTTTCTACGGGATGAAATTGCTAAACCGATGCCCAACCCTCTTCCTTCATCCGAGCATGGGACTGGCAGTAGCTCCACAGGGGCTCCATGCGGAGTTGAACGTGAGCGACTCTAAATAAAATGACCTTGAAAACTCATAAATAGCCTCGTAATTATTTCTCTAAGATTGTGTTGGTGCAACGAACAAAGACAGTAAGACTAGGTGGAATAAACGATTTGTTTAAAGAAGACATAGTTTATTGGAAAAATGTGTACGGCTGATCTTCAGATTTGATTTGCGAAACAAACAAATTCTTCGCTGTCTACTTTCCCAAGTCTTTTAGTTTTTAAAACACTTTGATCGCGCCATACATTCGAATCGCACACAATTATCTTCAGTAGTAATTTCTGGGTGACACTCCGCTGCATATTATTGATGATTCACGTTACCATTAGTTCCCGCCACACTATTAATACAGGACTCATGAAATTTTCAAGGCACCGAATTGGTATTAGTTCATTTGAAAGATCAATAAATGTCTTGGGCACTAAATGTCTTCTAGATACAATCAAATTAATATTAATCAACAGTTTTTAGAAAATTTTACTTTATTCCTAATTATGCTTATTTTTTTTTACCAAGGTAATTCATTCAGATTCGAAACGAACTGGAGCTGGACACTGGAATAGTTTATTTCGTTTGAAACATTTAATTACCGGGCTATATCTATGTCCTAAGGTAAAGTTTTTCTGATACCGCAATAACAGTAAATGATTACATGATTTGTTGTTTTAATCTCTCACCTTCACCAATTGAACTGTGCTTTCAATAACCAAATCTCTCAGAGAGAGTGAATTACCATCGAATTTGGGAAAATCTTTTAAGTTTAATCTACTGGATAAAGCTGGAGTTCAGTCATTCAGGTGCTAACTACCGTCACAAATTCAAACTCTCTGACTGAATTTTATCCGGATAGTGTCATTCATTCTTTAACTACACATAATAAGCTACGTGGATCATTAGTAGTCATCGGAGCCATCTGATGGAGAACTGCGGTAGCTCTTTTAACGGATAAATAACTTGTTTTCAATCCCTCTCCTGTTAACTGGTGGTTCTAGCTTTCTGAAATCGAGTAGATGAAAGCTGTTTGTACTTGAAAAATATGAAATAGTAAATGACTGACCACCTCAATTTTTATATACTTATTGAAAATGATATGTGAAATATGAAGATTATAACAGAAGACAACAACTTGTCTAGGGTTAGTAACTAATCTCATGTCAAGACAGTAGATGAGATCAACTGATTTCCTACTGTTTTATTTGAGTCAGTCATATCATAGTATGCCACTGCGGATCATTTTGTGATGATCGCTTCTACTGTTTATCTCCTATATATTGAAAGAAAAAAGCATTAACTAGGCAATTCATTCTGATCAATAAATGATCATCAAATAATCGGATTTTTATTGCGATTTTTACCTCATCTGAGTTTCTGTCAATTTGCCATGATCATTCAGCATACAAAGAATAGCTCTTAGTGCTTTAAATGAATCACTAGCAAAATCCAAATCTCTGACAACATTCGCTGGTACAGGTAGAATAGCAAATACTTCTTTGCTATCTTTACATGATGTAAGATTAAGCTAAAAAGGAATTAAAGATTTGTTTTTTGATTAAAAAACAAAAATTAATATTTATATGTTAATATTATATCAAAAAATTAGAAGTATTATAAATTAGAGGAAAAACTCTACCTGGTGCCCTCTCTGGGACTACTGCCGATCCCAAACTCGGATAAAGGAGGAGGATTAGGCAAATGGAAATAGTGACCTTGTCTCGTAGAAAATTAACTCATAAAAAAAAGATGCTAAACAGAATTAAAATAATTGTTCTCTTCATCTATCATCAATTTTTTTTAATTAAAACGGTATGGCGTTGAATTTGTATTGTACTTTGTATAAATGATCTTGTATAGATCAAATAAAAATTCTGGATAGTGTCAGTAATTCTTTAACTACACATAACAGGCTACGTGGATCATTAGTAGTCATCGGAGCCATCTGATAGAGAACTACAGTAGCTCTGTCAACGGATAAATAACTTATCGTGTTATCTAGTTAATTAATGGTTCCAACTTCCTGAAATTGAGTGGATGAAAGCTGTTTTGTACTTGAAAAATATGAAATAGTAAATGACTGACCACCTGAATTTTTATATACTTATTGCTAATGATATGTGAATTATGAAGATTATAACAGAAGACAACAACTGATCAAGGATTAGTAGCCACTCTCTTGTCAAGACAGTAGATGAGATCAACTGATTTCCTACTATTTTCTTTGAGTCAGGCGTCTTGATATCATAGTATACCACTGCGGATCATTTTGTGATGATCGCTTCTACTGTTTATCTCCTATTTATTGAAAAAAAGATCACCTTTCCTGAAATCCCAAGACTAAATTGCAGATAATTATTAGAATGTCACTTACTTTCCCCCTAATATTTTCATGCAACCTTCAGTGTTTCTTGTAATATTTAAAAAAATTATTATTTATTCAAGGTTATTAAAATGAATAATAAATTTGAAGATTCACTCACTACTACTACTACTTCTTCTTTTAAACAGACACAAAATAATCAGTGTATGGAAGAATCATTTTTAACTTTATCTAAAGAACCAATATATGAAACAATTTTTGAATTGGATTCAACTAGTCATCATCAAGTGAATGATGGATTGATACCAAACAATGCATTTGTACGTATATGTCATACAGCTACACATATGTGGATTAAAGCTAGTGAAATACCAATTGATATGGATGTTGATAAGCCTATTATGTATAAGGTATGTGTGTAAATTTGGTTTATGAATAGTTGATTAGTGTACTGTCTGTATCATTTGATTTATTTCAGTGTTATTCTGATAAAGACGAGAAACAGAGATGAGAGAGACCCCCCAAACTCAGGTCTCATTTGGTCGGAAGAAGTGAAAATTTCTCTACTGTGATAAAAACATCTCACAACGTGAGACAAAGTGTAATAAGTGTGTTTGAGGCGATTTGCGTTAAGCTGAGTTGTATCTCTTACTTACCTTACTTACTTACGCCTGTTACCCCCAATCGAGCATAGGCCGCTCACCAGTTTTCTCCAACCAACTCTGTCCTGGGCTTCCCTCTCCAGTTCTGTCCAATGTTTGTTCATTCCTCTCATATCTTTCTCTATTTCTCGGCGTAATGTATTCTTTGGCCTTCCTCTTTTCCTTTTGCCTTGAGGGTTCCATGTGAGGGCTTGTCTTGTGACGCAGTTCCGTGCTTTTCTTAGTGTGTGTCCTATCCACTTCCAACGCTTCTTCCTGATTTCCTCCTCCACTGGAATCTGACTTGTTCTCTCCCACAGTTCGTTGTTGCTGATGGTGTCTGGCAAACGAATCCGAAGTATTTTGTGAAGTCAACTGTTTATAAATGCTTGTATCCTCTGGATGATGGCTCTGGTAGTTCTCCAAGTTTCCGCTCCATACAGTAGAACTGTCTTGACATTTATATTGAAAATCCTGATTTTTGTGTTATGTACCCATAGTTTATTTTATTCTGAACAAGAAATTTATAATAATCTGTTCTTCTAACTGATAGGTTATTATGTTGTCAATATATCTTATAATTAGGATAGATTTTCAATTACTCAGTTTTCAACCAGTGATGACTATTAGATTCCTATTTCGATCTATACTTCATTAGGTGGGTGAGTAGTAACTCTAACCCTCCATCAAAAATTACGCTTCATTTTACACATAAAATTCTAAACGATACGTTCACTATAGTTTAAGATTGGAATTTTCAATGTATCCAGAATTTTTATTTGATCTATACAAGATTATTTAAACAAAGTACAATTTGAATTCAACATCATAGCATTTTAATTCAAACAAATTGATGACAGATTAAGTGAACAATTATTTTAATTCTTTTTTAAGTATCTTTTTTTTATGAGTTAATTTTCTACGAGACAAGGTCACTATTTCCATTTGCCTAATCCTCCTCCTTTATCCGAGTTTGGGATCGGCAGTACTCCCAGAGGGGGCAGCAGCTGGAGTTTTTCCTCTAATTTATATAACTTTTAATTTTGTGATATAATATTAACATATAAATATTACTTTTGTTTTTTAAATCAAAAAAACTCTTTAATTCCTTTTTAGCTTAATCTTACTTCATGTAAAGATAACAAAGAAGTATTTGCTATTCTACCTGTACCAGCGAATGTTGTCAGAGATTTGGATTTTGCTAGTGATTCATTTAAAGCACTAAGAGCTATTCTTTGTATGCTGAATGATCATGGCAAATTGACAGAAACTCAAATGAGGTAAAAATGGCAATAAAAATCCGATTATTTGATGATTATTTATTGATCAGTTTATAGCTAAAATTTATTTTAACTTTTTCTGCTTAAACATGAAACTTTTCTTTTGACGAAGTATCTTCTTCATTTGGATTCTGTAAATTAATCAACCATATCATTCAGTGTATATTTTGTTCATCTTGGAATAATGACATTTGCGAATATGAATATGGCATCGTATTATTTTTCTTCCGAAAGTGAATACTAAACGAGGTCGAACAATATACTCTGTACTGATATACAAGTTCTGCAAGTAACAACTTTTTATAATGATTGATAATACTAGCCAGCTGTTTGATTTAAAATAGGTGAGGCTGAGTTCGTATCTGTGACTGAGTGTCAAAGAGTTGAGCACTTTAACCGTTAAACCATTTGAAAAATGCAGTTACGAACTTGCATAAAAATGGTGATATATTGGTGAATAGTTTGGATCGTTTTAAATTTAAAATTCGAAATGATTTCTATAAAAAAAGTATATATTTCTTTGTTTAGATGAAACTTTTAATGATCATCAGTGTTTCATTTGTTGTGACATAAAAAAAACCGTAGCTTTGTATTTCGAAGCGTTTAGAATAGGGTGAAACGCGTTTATTGGATTTCACTGCCGTCCATTGTCATCTCTATTTAGAAATGATTGTGACTTGGTGGTGACTTTGAAACAATCCTCATAGGATGCACATATACCAAACGAGACTGATCGGCTACAGTTCTAAATATCATTGGGAATATTCCAACCATCAACATGTACGGATGAAAGCACTAAATAGTTTACAAACATTTTTATTTAATCCTGAAATTGACAAAACTTGTATGAATCGATCAATGTTAGACCATCATTAGAAACCTGGAAGCACTGGACGGCCATTCCGTCCTGGTATGGGATTCCTCAGCAGTGCGCATCCACGACTCCTTCACCCCGCAGGATTCGAACCTTCCTGGATGCGCACTGCTGAGGAGTCCCATACCAGAACTTGACGGCCGTCCAGTGCTTCCAGGTTTCTAATGGTGGTCTAACATTGATCGATTCATGGTTTCAAAAATGTGTAACTTAAAAATCTTCACAACCCCGTAATGCAAAACTTGTGTACTTTTTTTCTTGTGCTAACTAGCTATGTTTTCTTAAAAATTAAGACACAAATAGTGTTAATGAATAATGTGCGACTGACTCTATAACTTGAATGAATAATTTCGATTATATTGCAATGGAATCGCACCTAAAGTCCTTGCATTTAAAGCAAACGTTTGACAGATTGAACTTCATGACACTTTCTCTGGTCTTTGTATCAGTGAATCAGGCAGTAGTATATAAAATAGAACTTGGCATGTAGGTGTATCGATTTAAATTAACACACCACATCAACAGAGCGAAATGATATGTACTAGAACACATTGAGAATAGAAACTTAGAATCTAAGGAAAGACAAAGAGAGAATGCATCTAGCCGATTGTAAATGATTGTCAGGCATATCACACATACTATTAAGCTATTGTTTATGAAGATTGCTTTGACGCTAACCAGGTAGTTTGAACTTATCAGTCCGACTCGATTTGATTGTCAGTAACTTCATAGACTGATTTCTTGTTTTTGTTTTAACCATCATATAAAAGTAATGTCGTCCAAACGCCGGGTACATTAAGCTGTACTTGATAAATAGATCAGGTTAATTTAACATGTCACTTTCTTTTCTTGAAGATGTACTTTTCAACTAAACAAATGATAAAATTTATCTCATTTCTTTGTTTTTAAAACAATGCTTATTTGAATTTTGTTTCTGCTTTGATTTACAGATCATTGATATTTATTCTATCTGAGTTAGTGATGTTTCTTAATGGGAATAATACACGTGTAACATTTGAACCAATCCAAAATGAAATAGGTTTACGGGATAGACAAAAATTATTGCGTGAACATAATATTATTTCACAGGTAGAAAAAAACCATTTAACGCATTTTACGAATAGTTCTTATTTATTTTAAAATAACTAAATTGGTATATGCTCTTTTTTTATTGAGATAGTTTTCAACGCACAAAATTAATCAAACTTATGAACTGTTAGTGGACTGAGTTATGTTCGTCGTTGGAGCTCACCACTGTTTAGTGGTTGCATTAGATTCGAAATAGGGTTCACCACTTCAGTGTCCCGTGATGACTCCTATATGGAATAAATCTTCCCTTCAGTTCCAGTATATCATACTTATGCAGACCCCGTTTATGCGATGGTGGTAGTTCTGAGCCGAATAGGGGAATTCGGTTGGATGAATTTATTTCAGGCAATCGTTTGTGCAGAGACATTACAGAACGAAAAGCGTACAAGCAAATCAAAGCGAAGCGAAGTGGAGAAGGCTAGCCAGTCAACTCATTGTAATGACTTGTGTGACTAAGCATTTATAGTCAGAAAAAATAAACTAGATGTTTAGTAAGTGAAGTAAGCGTCTACACCCCCTCTACTTGAATTAAAAAGAACCAAGAAATGAGCGAATAATTGATTGACATAGTCGAAAGACGTGTGAACAATTTGAAAATGGATTAGTTAATTTGTTTAAAGACTGGAACAAGCCCTGTTTGCTGAACATAAAAGTACACATACACACACTATGTGAACTAATGAAAACCACAGAATGAAAATTCTTCAGCAGTGAGTGCATAACTAAAACTCATTTAATGATCAATGAACTGAGTGATTTTCAATTGTTAACAAATTGTAGTGCAACATCTGTGTTGTTTGCTACAACACAGATAGTTAGTTCATTAATAACATCTCATGTGAAAAATCACTTTGTTCAAAACTACAGATATACTTTTCTAATTAAAATATTTAGGTCATATGGTGTTTTATACTGATTTTCTTCAACCATCAATGATTATTTGACTGTTTCTTTTCAAATAATTATCTTTAGAATTCCGAAAAAGTTGAATAACAGAGTATATTACAATCGGATTTCAACTTGGATAATATATATATATATATATATATGTATATATATATTTCATTATAGAGTTATGGGGATTATTGAGTTTGACTGAAATTATTAATCGATCATTGTTAGACTACCATGAGAAATTTGAAAGCATTGGACTCCTTTTTCGTCCTAGTATGGGACTTTTCAGCAGTGAGGATCCATGGTGTAGGCAGTAACTATCGAAGACAATGGGTGAGGCTAGGCAATACGCAAAGTTAGACATTAACACCATTAGATGCTAGCTCAGTGGTCTTGAGGTTTAAGGTTCACGAGCCAGACTGAAGGTCCTGGGTTTGACTCCAACACATGAGGGTCGTGACTGAGCGCTGCTGACGAGTCCTATACTAGGAAAAAACAGCCATCCATTGCTTCTACGTTCCTAATGGTGGTTTGTCTAACAATGATTAGTTCATAGTTTCAATGAAATTATATACATATATGTATCGACTTTTATTTGAAAATTAACTATTCATTATGTAATACAGTTTGGGATTGTGATCAATATCTTTTCAGTTATTGAATAATAATCAATATCCTCATTGATTGATGTAAGTGCTAATTAAATTCAATTCAGTATATGATGAATGATCAGAGTTAAACTGTTGTGAATTGATCAAATATATATTAATGATATTACGAACAAGTGATCGATAACACATCAAAAACAACTTAGAAATAAAACGTTTTTTATTTACTGTGTATATGAACGCAAACTATTCAACAACATAAATAAACGCCATTTAGAGGATAACTGTGAAAAATGTTCATAGATCAATTAGTTTATCGAGTTAATGAAATTTGAGTTAATACTGTCATGACTAAATTTGTTCTGTATTAATCTTTCCCTAAAAAAGAGTTTATTTGGTGTGGAATATTTCCATGTTGAATGAAAAGTTCTTGAAATGTCGATCACTTTAAATGAAACATAATTAACAACTATTATTGATAATTTCATATTGTCTAGCCTATTACTTACTTACTTACTTACTTACGCCTGTTACCCCCAACGGAGCATAGGCCGCCGCCCAACAGTTTTCTCCAACCAACTCTGTCCTGGGCTTCCCTCTCCAGTTCTGTCCAATGTTTGTTCATTCCTCTCATATCTTTCTCGGCGTAATGTGTTCCTTGGCCTTCCTCTTTTCCTTCTGCCTTGAGGGTTCCATGTGAGGGCTTGTCTCGTGACGCAGTTAGGTGCTTTTCGTAGTGTGTGTCCTATCCACTTCCATCGCTTCTTCCTGATTTCTTCCTCCACTGGAGTCTGGTTTGTTCTCTCCCACAATTCGCTATTGCTGATCGTGTCTGGCCAACGAATCTGAAGTATTTTGCATAGACAACTGTTAATAAACACTTGTACCCTCTGGATGGTTTTAGAAGAATATTTTGGAAAGAAAAAGAAACGGACTGCTGTCAATATGTTGTAGTTGTATAGAGATTGATTGATGATAAGCTTAAGACATTAGATTCACAAAATGCTCATCCTATTCTCTATCAGAAGCGGTTTTGTAGTGTGTACCAACCAATATGTCGAGCCGACAGGGTTTGTCTAAGACTTTGGATAGACTGACCAATCCATTCTTCTTGAATTAGTCAAACATCTTGTAACTTTGTCAACTATTCACTCATATCGTTGGATGTTTTTAATTTGAGAGTTGTACATCGTCACATTGAGTTAGTTCACTCGCCTTCTGTATTTCGCTCCGCTTTGCATTTACACTTTGTATTCTCATTTCTGTCTAAGTGAACGATTGTCCCGCAAAACTGTATTTGTTTCCTTATTACCGCTGTCTCACAAACGGCGTTCACCTAAGTATGACATACGGAAATTGAAGAAAGGATTTATTTCATCGCATACACCCGATTATTCATCCAAGTTGGAGTCAGATCGCCGCTAGTCACTAAAACGTCTCTTCCTTGTGTATTGAAGTAGAATGAAGTTAGATCAACAAACTGTTTGCAGTGGATAAATGTATTCAACTGTTTTAGATAAACAGTAAATATCATTAGTTTTGAAAAATTCAATCAATAAAAGCTGATATTCTTCAAATTTGATTGATTATTTTTGGAGGAATAATTAAGGTGAAGCTTCAATATATAACTGCCAAAATCAAACATTGATATCAGACAATGTTTATAAATTTTATTCAAAAACCTTATTTAAAGCAAGGATAGTTGATTACTGATTGTCAAAATGTGAAATCTAATCATAATAGTAATAGACAAGATCCCAAGTGAAGAGTCTTGGTTGCTTGTTTTGTGAACTTGTGTTCGCAGATAAATGACAGAAAACCCTCTATCCAGTTTCGCGTCATTCGACAATCGTCTGTAAGGCGAACCTGTAATCTTGAGGAATGTGATGCTCCCTGGCAGATACAAGCCCCTGTCACTCAACTTCACAGTCAAAGACGTTACTACAGAGCTATCTGAGCCTTGAATAATCTCCTGTAGGACTGAGATATATTTACAATTCATCAGTCTTTGGGTAATGACCAATGTCATATAAATCAAGTACTTATTAGCGCACACGATGTCAAGTCACCCAGATTAGTGGCTACACTGCAACTTGATCGACAGAATTTTATCACCAATAAAAAAGGATTTGATACACATAACATTGGTCAGTACCCAATCAATCTATCAATTGTAAAAGATGTTGTATTCTGTTTGTTAGACAGCACATTCATGATGAAGCTTTCTGGACGACGTCATCAACAACATAAAATTCAAGACGAAACTAACTGTGATACTGTCTCCTCTTATGACGTGTTCTATTAGTCATAGAATCTGCTTGACTATATTTCACCTCATCGTTTACAGCCTTATTTAGATTCAATTCCCTCCGATCATTAACATCGAATGTCAAAATGATTTATCCTGTTTATTTTTATTGATAATTCACTTTGTATTCCCAATTAGATAATTGAAATATTGAACATGAAAACGATAAGCAACTTACCGAAACAATCTACATTAATTGTAAATAATTATTTGAAAAATTCAAATATTTTATTATGGAAACCAGATATTTCTTTAATATCAATTCTACATGAAACAGAAATCCAATCGATTGATACAAATCAACATGATGTTTATTTAGATGAGAAAAATGAAATATTAGCATGGCAAACAGTTGGAATTCTATGTTATCGAATCTTAACATTATCACAACATGGTTATAGAAAAAATCAGGTAATGTTGAAAAAAAATTATAGTGGATTTTATTTGTCAGATGGTGGAGGGAATTTGTAGTTCAGGTAGGGATGATTGTAGTGGAGTTTCGGTCTCTGAGCTGGATGTTTTGTTTGTGGAGCTTTTATTGATGTCCGTCTGAACAACATCTTTAGCACAACTTTACGTCTACCTGAAGTTTGTACTGATGATGTTTAGAAGAACAATGAGAGTTCCAAAAACAAAATATCCAGCTCAGAGACCAAAGTCAGTCAGTCAGTCACATGCAACGTAGAACTTCGTACATATGTACATAAGTTCATGTTGCCATACCACATCTGCACAGAGATGTAATTGTCAATTCAAATCCAATAGTAGAAGAGGTAGTAAAGGTATAAGAAGTAATCAGAGAGGTTAGGATTACAAGATATTATTCAAGAAGTATGTGATTCAGTGAGATAAGTTTAGAAAGTCAAAACTAGAGTGGTTGAAGAATCCAGAAGATTAGGATTTGAGAGAACATAAAGAATAAATGCACCGAAGCCATTGAAAACGGTTTTGAACCATGTCATTCAGCGTCTCTAACCATCGATTATTATCATCTCGCTGACCCCAACCAGGTAGTCGACAATTACCGACATGACTCAGTCCACTTGTCAGTGACTTCATGGATTTGTGCCATGTTTTGGTTTGGCCACCCCTAGCTTTCTTCCAACCAACTCCTACACCACAAAACAAAGCTCTTCGAGGCAGTCGGTGGTTAGGCGTACGCAACACATGTCCCAATCAACTCAGCTGATGAAGTTTCATTACTTCATCTGTTGATCTGCCATTGTTACTTAGAATCCGATTCCTAATAACAGCGTTGCTCACTCGGGTGTCCCACGATATACGAGCAATGCTTCGAAGACATCTATGATCGAAAACCAATAACCTACGAACATCTTCTACTCTCACTGGCCATGTTTCACAGCCATAAAGTAAGACGGAGCGAACCACTGCGCAGTACACTCGTCCTTTAGTCAGCAAACGGATATCTCGCCTACGCCATAGGTGGCGCAGGTTGGCAAAAGCCAATCGAGCCTTCTGTATCCGAGCTGAGATTTCGTCAGTCACCAGGCTATCAGCACTGATGAGACTCCCAAGGTAAGTGAAGTGGTCAACACGCTCGACTACTTCACTCCCTATCACTAGTTCAGGTGCCGATGAAACCCAATCTTGAAGCAACATTTTGCATTTCGAGGGGGAAAACCGCATCCCGAACATGCTTGCATTGATGCTTAGGGTAGTCAGAAGACTCTTTATTTTGTCAGCGTCTTGACCAAGTAGGACAATGTCATCGGCATATTCTAAGTAAATAGGCACGCCACCTGGTAGAAAGTCTACTCCTGAAAATTCAGACGAGGATAAGGTTATTCCTAGGAGCGTATCTATGATAAAAATAAACAGGAATGCAGAGAGTGGACCAAAACTCCACCATGTTTTTGTTCATACTTTATGGAATGTTTAGTAGGATCATAATAATTTTAAAAAGTATCCCCCTATTGTTTAAATCCTTTATTATTGAAACCTTTTACTCGTTACACTGTCAATGTTCAGTTTTTACTGAGTTAAAGTTTTAGGAAATTTATACTTCTACTTCTATTTTTTTTAACTTAGAAAATACAAATTCCTTAGAATTAAACTGATCAAAAATTAGAATCTGGATAGTTAAGATAAGCTATCTCGTTTAAGTTTCATTTCAAATAGAAAATTGTTTGTATTATCTAAGCTAAGAAATTAAATTTTTGCTTATAAGGAATACAATTTGATAAATAGTTCAATGACCTTGGTTGAAATTGAACAGTGAACTGAATTGATTCGTTGTAGTATGTGTTTGTTGAAATTTTCCAATAACTCTAGAAGATACAATTGACTAGTCTAAATTTTAATCATTTGTTTCGTATTACACCTGGAGAAACTTTAGATCTGAAATGAAAATAGTAATAAAATCTGAATAAATCTTAGTGTTTGGGAAAAAAACCGTTCGTTTTAACCTTCTACTTATAAGTAGGCAATAGAAAGGAACAAAATATATGCACTAAAAAGTCATCATAGATTAGCGGTCGAAAATTAAGGTGCATATTACTCAGCATGTTTTAACACATAGGTAAATAGCATAGTAGACATTTTGTTCTCCGTAATATCTGGGAATCATTGATGCAACCACTGGAATAGAAGGATAACTCAATAAGTTTCATTTTCACTGAAGTCTCTAACTGATCTAAGTTAGATTACTATTGTAAACATGAAAACACTCGAGAGTCATGTCATCTTAGTGTGGGACTACTCATCAGTGAACATCCACGACTTGTTAACTCGGAATCAAACTTATGGTTTCCTGTTTCCCCCAGAGATGCCTAACGTTTAGATCACTTAGTTGAGATCCGATGGTGTACAAGACTAACTTCAGTCAATTGAAGTTATTCACTTGTGAGCAAATGATAAATGTTCCTATGGTTATGGAGTTATGATGAAATAACCTGATGAAATCATAAGTTACTATTTATTTTTAATTCTGTTAAGATCAAACCTTTCATTTGTTGAAGTACTACGAGACATTACCACCATATTACACCTTAATCATGGTAGATAAAATTTTTAGCCTAAGTGTTGATGAATTCTCTGAAATGAGTGGCTGATTTGTAAAGCTTCGATTGTTATTTTGGATAGTATCTTTAGGTTCTGTTTCAGATAAAAGTAAGAATTACTGAATTGTTTCATCGATCCGAATTCGATCAATTCTGATAATTCTTTTAGTGGATATCTTTCACTATTTATTTGGTCTCTGATTATATGATTGGTTGACCTGAGAGGTTGATTATCGGTCAGTATGTCTACTGATAGTCAATTGATTTAAGCATTAGACTTCAAGAAGTCCTTTAGAACCGTTGATGTTTCCTTGATCCAGAAGTTTAGCAATTACACTAACTGCAAGAAGTTTCACATTGATAAAATAGACATTTTCTCGACCCAGAAGTTTGGTTATACGAACGAATTTATTGGGTAGTCACTGACAATTGGACTGAGCCATGTTGGTAGGTGTAAACTACTTGGTTGGGATCCGTATGACGACAGTAACTCTGTCCTGGGCCTCCCTTTCTAGTTCTTTCCAGTTTTTGTTCATTTTTCTCATGTGTCTCCGTTTCTATGTATATTGTATTTCTTGGCCATCCTGTGTTCTTTTGAACTTGAGGGTTCCATGTGAGGGCTTGTCTCGTGACGCAGTTAGGTGCTTTTCGTAGTGTGTGTCCTATCCACCAAATCCACCGATTCTTCCTGTTTTCCTCTTCCACTGGAATCTGGTTTGTTCTCTCCCACAGTAGGTTGTTGCTGATCGTGACTGACCAACGAATCTGAAGTATTTTGCGAAGACAACTGTTCATAAATATTTGTATCTTCTGGATGATGGCTTTGATAGTTCTTCAAGTTTCCGCTCCATACAGTACAACTGTCTTCACATTTGTATTGAAAATCCTGATTTTGGTTTTGGTTGAAAGTTGTTTGGAGTTCCAAATACTTTTCAACTGTAGAAATGCAGCCCTCGCTTTGCCAATCCGCGCCCTCACATCTGCATCGGATCCACCTTTCTCGTCGATGATGCTGCCCAGATATATAAAGATGTTGACGTCCTCTAAGGCATCTCCATCAAGAGTGATTTGGTTGGTGCATGTTGTGTTGCATCGGAGAATTTTGCATTTTCCTTTATGTATGTTGAGACCTACTGCTGCAGAGGCTGCTGCAACACAGGTCGTCTTCTCTTGCATTTGTTGTTGCGTGTGAGATAGAAGATCCAGGTCATCTGCGAAGTCCAGATCGTCCATCTGCGTTCTAGCTGTCCATTGGATACGGTGCTTCCCTCCAGATGCTGATGTCTTCACAATCCAGTCGATAACCAGGAGAACCAGTAGAACCTTCGTGGCTACTGCCAGTCCCAACCCCGGATAAAGGAGGCGGGTTAGGCATGGGATTGGCGACTCCATCCCACCAAAATCTAACTTTCCAAAAAACCGCTAACCAGAAAAAATAAATTAAACCATTTTAACTAATGGGATATGGCAACCTGAATTGCTGTATGTACGTACGAAGTTCTACACTGTGGTCGACTGACTTACTTCCTGACTGTAGGACGATTCAGAAATGTTCACTCTTATTTGAAGTAGGCACAGATAATATTTACCTGAATGATAATGAATGTTTCAGTATGGAAAATGTTTCAATGAAAAAGATGAGTACTAGTCAGTATAACTATCGAAATACATGAAAACAAGTATTTGGTCAAAACTCTTTTCAAAACAGTAGTGTATTCCTCTGAGTTTTTAAACATTGTTTAACTCTACACCAACACAAAAATATGGAGTAAATATGGTTAATTCTTTATACATTATTCTAGGAGTATTTAGCACAGTATTTGAATTTAATGCAAACGCATATTGGCTTAGGCATAAGAGCATCAGAAACAATCACAGCTCTATTGCATAACAATCGACAGTTACTTGAAAAACGTGTTGGTGAACAAGAAGTTTCTGCATTTATTTCTCTGGTGCGTGACAAAATCGAAGCACGGTAAGCATATTCTATCGTCATGATAATTAATTCGATTAAATGATCCACTCATCAGTGACAAAAATGACCACGTTTCTATCTATCTATCTGTCTATCTATCCACACATCTATCTATCTGTCTGTCTGTCGTTTGTCTGTCTGTCTATCTATCCGTTTGTTTGTGTCTGTCTATCTATCTATCTGTCTATCTATCTATCAACCAATCAATCAATCAAAAAACTAAGGAGAGCACTAATTCTTTATGTACCATCCATTGCTTTGATCTATTTGTTTAATATAAATAATCTTTAGTTTTATTATGCTAAGATACTCATCGTAGCAATATTTCAAATAGATGTCAATTATCAGTGCATATAATATCTAAATATGACATTCTAGTACGCTGTACATTTACGCCTCATTCAACAGTACCACTATTCACAACGATAGATTCAGGAAAATATTAGAATTAACCTAAAATGCACAGCTCTGCAGTCGACTAACATACTACCATAAATATTCAAGGAAATGGGGTAAAATTACAAGCGTTTGTGTAAGAACTAGTTTAATCAGTCTCCCCAGTTATTGATTTCATACAATATTTAGTACTCTTTAGAGAACCAACTGAGTTAGCTGGATAATCCCGGTCTGCGGCCTATACTTCATGAGTGATATATATATATATATATATATAGTGTTTCATTTGATTGAGTGTATTGTATTTGACCTGGTCTGTTTCAACATTAATCGGTTAAAGATGCTGTGTGGAACAGAAACCACAAATTATCGTTAGATAATAATGTTGATTTAACTCATTTTAGTGCTTTGACCCATGTTTTTCATTGATAATCAAAAGTTAAGTCTTTAATTACTACATTACTGAATACATTTGGTGATAACACAGTAATATTTATCATTGATTTTCAACCAAACGTGCACTCTATTTCCAAAATTTATCAACGAAATATATTTTATTATTAGTAGGGATGAATAGTGGCTAATAGTGCAGTCCAAGACATGAGTTTCGTCGTGGTTGGGATTTGTCTTTGGCTGGATGTAACTACATCCCTGAGTTGATGTTCGATACGGGACTCGAACCCATTACTGTTCGCTTCAGACGAAATGTTTTGTTGTTTTCTAATATTGAACATGTTATCTAGAGAGAAAGAAAAACAGTAACTTGTTTTTATTTTATTCTTTGATTATATTTTCAGATTTTTAAACAATTTATCAGCATTATGTAGTTCACGTGGTGTAGCAATTCCTGTTACACAAGAACTTATTTGTCATCAATTATTATGTGAGAAAAATGAAGATTTACTAGTTGAAACATGGTAAATGACTAAGTATTGAATATTCTTTATGAATGCTTACATTTGTCGACTTTATTACTGATTATATTACTTACTTACTTACTTACTTACGCCTGTTACTACCTATGGAGTATAGGTCACCGATTCTGTCCTGGGCTTTCCTTTCCGTTTCTATTCGGTTGTTGTTCATTCTTCTCAGGTCTCTCTCCACTTCTCGACGTAATTTTTTCTTTGGCCTCCCTCTTTTCCTCTGGCCTTGAGGGTTCCATGTGAGGGCTTGTTTCGTAACGCAATCAGGTGCTTTCCGCAATGTGCGTCCTATCCACTTCCACCGCTTCTTCCTTATTTCCTCCTCCACTAGAATTTAGTTTGTTCTTTCTCACAGTAGGTTTTCGCTGATGGTGTTTTTGCGTAGATAACTGTTGATGAATACTTGTATCTTGTGGATGATGGCTTCGATAGTTCTCCACATTTCCGCCCCATACAGTAGAACTGGTTATATGTGATTGAGTTTAATAAGTGAATTTGTCTATCGGAATAAGTGGTATGTAAAGATGAATAAAGTGTAAAAACTTATCATTCAAATACTTTGTTTTCGCTTACACATACTGCTGATGATCAATTAGGGGTTATTCGTGTGATATTTTACTTATTTACTTACTTATCTACGCCCGTTACTCCCAATGGAGTATAGGTTGCTGACCAGTATTATCTAACTCACTCTTTCCTGGGCCTCCCTTTACAGTTCCATTCGTTCGCTGTTCATTCTTCTCATGTCTTTCTCTGTTTCTCGGCGTAATGTGTTCTTTGGTCTTAAACTTTTCTTTTGACCTTGAGGGTTCAAAGTGAGGGCTTATCTTGTAATGCAATTGGGTGATGCTTCGGGCGAAGTCAATTTTCAAATGTATCATTTTCTAATTGTCATATGATAACAGGATGAATAAAGTTTTCATATATTTCTCTCTTTGTTGTTCATCAAGGCTTAGTAGTAGTTTGTAGAATATTATCAAAAATTTTAACTAATCTGAATACTAAGCCTAAGATTATCACATTTTGAAACAAGGACAGTTTTCATTATGTCGGGCAGAATTTCCTCACCTTGACTCCATAACCTAGAAGCGCAAATCATTGATTTGTGTATGAGATGGCATGCTATGTGGGTGCCGACTTTAAAACAAGTGGTTTGCTTGAAGTGGTGAAGTGTTGTTCCCTGAGATGGATGTTTTGGTTGTAGAGCTTTCGTTGCTTTCTCCTGAACAACAACATCAGTACAAACTTCAGATAGAAGTGAAGTATTCGAATTTCTCCACATCTATGATCGTTATTTGTTCTATTAACCTTGATCTTGATTCGTTCGTTGTCGACCTTAAACCATTTGTTGTTTGCAACTTTATTTTGATTGTATCCCCTTTCAAATAAGTTTCTTGATCCTACGTTTGCCTATGATTTTTCTGATTGGTTGATAAATTGGGTCAATGGGTATTTTGTAGGACCGTTCTGCAAGCTTTCAATTTAAAGGTCTAGTCCAAAAGGCGTAGCGTAAAGAGATACAATCCTATGGCTGCCAGTTAATAACTTTAGGTTTGTTGCTTCGCGATACTAGGGCTCATTAATACCATTGGTTTAGAATCCGGGTTTTCCAACTCCTCTAGGTAGGTCCTCTGTACCCTTCATCACAGTTTAAATTCGCTTATTGTCCTCCTCTTCTCTAATAACACGATTTATTTACGCGTGATGCTGAAGTTCCGAGAAAACAGCAATCCTTCAATGGAATGGTTTTTTTTTAATAATAAATAGGCATAAATGGGGTACAGAACTCAACTCATGAGATGTCCAAGTCGATTTATGCGTCTTTGAAAGGGAAAAAAGTTCTGATTACTGTGATTAAGTATCGATAGTTAGTCAGTAACTAAGAGCAAGTAAATTCGTAACTTGCTGCATTCAAAAAAAATTTAGACAGTGTATAAAAACTTCAGGACTATCACACAACAATGCAACTATCGTTTCAATATATACTTAGAAATTTTTATAGATAAAACTGCTTACTGTATATACACATAAGTAGTATAAATTAGTTCACAAAAATACAAGAGAAGTGAGGAAAAAAATGACAACAAATGTTAAGAAACTCAACATATAAAATGTTAAAAGTTATTACATAAATTTTTCTTATCAAAAAAGAAACTTTTTCTATTCTAGCGAAAAAACATTTGTTGATTCAGAGGAGAAAAATTATTCAACAGATGTTATAACTTTAATTTGGAAGCAAACCAATTTGATCGATGAAAATTTCTGGAAAACTGTCGATTCAACTTTAATTTTAACTGAACAACCTCATCAATCTACTAGTCAAACATCAAGAAGCTGTTACCTAGAATTCAATTTGAATGCTTTAAATAATCTGGCTAATCAACCGAAAGAGGAAATGAGTGAAGATGTAAAAAAGCAAATTGCCTTGTGTTGTTTAATGTTGGATTATTATCAAGCACAAATTGATTTATTTGCAATTTTATGTCAAGACAGGCAATATATTGCCATAAATTATTTAACATCCAAACTATCTGTTCAATTATTATTAAAGTGAGATCTGGTTGTTTTTTGTTTTGTTGGTTTTTGTGTTTAAGACGGAAATGGTGTCTAAATCCCTTCATTTTGGTGTTAGTGGTGGTGGTGTTTGGTTCTTTGTTGAGCTGGATGTTGTTTTGGTTGTGGAGCTTTCATTGTTCTTCTGATAAACAACATCATCAGCACAAACTTCTAGTTTGGGGCGTGTAGCTAATTTCATTCTTGTGATCATGCCTTCCGAGAAAGAACATATTAACGCTGTTGTTATTGGACATGTCGATAGTGGAAAATCCACTACCACTGGACATCTAATTTACAAATGCGGTGGCATTGACAAACGTACTATTGATAAATTCGAGAAAGAGGCTGCTGAGATGGGTAAGGGTTTTTTTAAATATGCTTGGGTGTTGGATAAACTGAAAGCTGAACGTGAGAGTGGTATCACTATCGATATTGCCTTGTGGAGGTTTGAAACCAATAAGTACAATGTCACAGTTATTGATGCACATGGTCATCGGGATTTCATCAAGAATATGATCACAGGAACAAGTCAAGCTGATTTTGCTGTACTGATTGTTGCTGATGGTGTTGGTGAGTTTGAGGCCTGTATTTCCCAGAATGGCCAAACTAGAGAACATGCTTTGTTGGCATACACGCTGGGTGTCAAACAGTTAATTGTCGCGATCAATAGGATGGACTCCACTGAACCTCCCTTCTCTGAGAATCGGTACAAGGAAATTATCAAAGAAGTATCTGGCTACATCAAGAAAGTCGGGTATAATCCTGCTACGGTCCCTTTTGTACCTATCTCTGGGTGGCACGGTGATAATATGGTAGAAAAGAGTCCCAACATGCCATGTTTTAATGGTTGGGAAATTACAAAAACGAAGGAGGGAAGAGCATAAATGACTCGGGTCACACACTTCTAGATGCAATAGATAAAGTGGAACCTCCATCTAGACCAACAAACAAACCTCTCCGAATTCCGTTGCAAGATGTCTACAAGATAGGTGGTATTGGTACTGTTCCTGTTGGTCGCGTCGAGATTGGTATCGTCAAGCCTGGTATGGTCGTGACATTTGCTCCGCAAGGGTTAACGACAGAAGTCAAGTCCGTCGAAATGCATCACGAAGCCCTTGCAGAGGCCTTGCCCGGTGACAATGTTGGTTTTAATGTGAAGAATGTTTCCGTCAAAGATATCCATCGTGGTAACGTTGTTGAAGGCGATCCCAAGAACGATCCCCCGAAGGAAGTCGCAACCTTTACTGCTCAAGTCATTGTTATGAATCACCCAGGGGAGATCAAAAATGGCTACGCTCCAGTTCTTGACTGCCACACTGCGCACATTGCCTGCAAATTTAGTGAGATCAAGGAGAAGATTGATCGACGATCAGGAAAGAAAATAGAAGACTTCCCAAAAATGATTAAGTCAGATAGAAGTTTGTGCTGATGATGTTGTTTAGCAGAAGAAAAATGAAAGCACCACAACCAAAACAACATCCAGCTCAGAGAACCAAACACCACCAACACCACAATCATCCACCTGAGCTACAAATCTTCTCCACCATGTCAAAATCCCTTCATGCATATTGTACATCATTCTGTTATTGTTGCTGATTGAGAAAGGTAGTGAATTCAAAATGATATTGGCACTGAAATCTTAATTTTGATGTAGCAGGTTCAGATACTTGATTTGATTCAATTTAAGATACTAGGCAGTGTAACATATTGCCTGGGTTCGGTTTTCACCTGAGGGTTTGTTAATGAGCACGTCTGGGAGGCCCTATACTAGGAAAAGATAGTGAATTCGACGAGAGTAGTACTTAAATTTTAATTTTGATGTATCAGGTTCAAACACTTATCTCCACTGTATTCAGTTTAATTACATCACTTGAGTTCGACTCTCGCGTGAGGGTTCGCGGATCAGCACGGCTAGGAAACCCGGTACTAAGAAAAGACGACCATTTTCAGTGGTAGTCTAGCTAAGGTCACTTCGTTAGTTAATTTGTGAAGATACTACGAACTCCTGAAGTTTCCTGTATCTACTAAAATACCTAAATCTCAAACTCAATCACACGAATCTATTTGTAGTTTCTGGGTTACACTATTCAGTTATTGTTGATAATCGTTTTCATTAAGAATACGAAGCTAAATCAGTCAAAAAATAATATTTTCATTACGGATTATCTTATTGAGTAGTATAGTCAGTCATTTAATTAAAAAGAGTAAGACATTTACTTAACATAATTTTTATTACATTTCGAAGATCATTTGAGCATAGGACCACTGGATAACAAACAGTTTGTAGTAAATCCAGGAGTATGTTCAAAGTGTTCGAATTTCTCATTGATTGAGTCGCTGCTCCACCAAAGCTCTTTTCAACGAAGATAATTTACAAAAAACAGATTGCGGAGGTAGCTAAATATTCCATTTAACATCACTGACTGATTTTAATTGAACAACAGTTGAAATTCAGAAAGTTCTTTTGGTGGGCTGTGATTTGTTCGTCGTCGGACTGACCAATATCAGTATGGCTTACCACTAATAGGCTGCACTGAAATTGAAGCTGGGTTTACTACTTTGGTGGCTTGCGGGCTGAGTTCTTTATTTACAAACTATTAAATGTGCCATGAAATAAATCTCCCCTTGAGTTTCCGTATGCCATACTTAGGCGACACTTGTTTGTGCGATGGCGGTAGTAAGAAGCCAGATACGGATTCGGTTGGATGAACTTATTTCATGTAATCGTTCATGCAGATAGACATAAGAACAAAAAGCGTACAAGCAAAGCAAAGCGAAGTGAAGTGAAGTGGAGAAGACTAGCCAGCCAACTCAATGTAATGAGATGTGACTAAGTATTTATTGTCCGACAAAATAAATTAGAAATGTAGTAAGTGAAGTACTCTATGTAAATACGTATTTGAATGAGAATAACCAAGGTATAAGTGAATAATTGGCAAGGTGGAAAGATGTGCAAATAACGACCCTAGAAGAAAAGATTAGTTGATTCGTTCAATGACTGGAACAAGCTCTACGGCCTCGACATAAAAGTACATGCATCACAAACTAGCTCAAGTGGATGTTAATGATGCAGTTTCGTTCTCTGAGTTGGATATTTTGGTTATGGAGCTTTCATTGTTCTTCAGAATAACATCATCACCCTAAAATTAGGTCTAAGTGAAGTATTCAAATAGTACTTCAAAATAGCTACCAAACAGAAATATAGCACATTCCATGAAGTCGTCGACAAGTGAACTGAGCTCATACTTCTACAATCTCTACCACTATTGGTTTTGAATCGACAATCATCTCTCTGTGCTATCGTGGTATAGCAACTTGAACTGATGTACATAATATGAAGTTCTACGTTGTTGCGGACTGACTGACTGACTTCGAAATTCAAATACTTCTACCTGAGGTTTCTGTTGATGATATTGTCCAAAGAACAACGAAATCTCCATGACCAAAACATCTAGCTCAGAGAAAGAAACTTCACGACATATTCACTTTGTCTTCGTCATTATAAACTTTCAAAATCTTTGCACAATATTTTTCGACTAAAGTTAATTTCATGTTGAAATTCTATACTCTTGTTTTTGCATTTATATTTATCTCATCTAGATGTATGCGAAATGACCAGCTTCGACCTGATTTACGTGCATCTTTTACACGATTATTATTAAATCTTCATGTTGATCGTGATCCACAAGAATTACATCAACCTATTCAATATGCTCGTTTATGGAGTACATTAGGCATAAAATCGGATATTCCCAGGTAAATTGTGATATTGTGATATAATTAAAAGTATCAGGCAAATGTTTTGCAATGGCGCAGGTGCATCCATTCATTGAGCTCTCTCAAATCCTAATCTTCTGGATTCGTCAGCACCTCTACCTTTGTCTTTCTAAAGTTATTATCTCACTGAATTATATTTCTTGAATAACACCTTCAAACCCTAGTCTTCTTTATTAACATTAATACCTCTGCTATCTTTATCACTATGGGATTTGATTTGACATTTGCGTCTCTATGCTAATGTGATGGTATGGCAACATGAACTGATGTACATATGTACGAAGTTCTACGTTGCAACTGACTGACTGATCAAGTAAATGTTTGAAAAAAATAAGATTTAAACCGGTAAAACCTTCCCCAACATCAACGATTAATCTGTGTATTCGTCGTATACGGTGTGATGTTTTCGAATACTTGTTTCAGTACTTCATTGTATGCTGTAAACCCTTGGATATTAAGAGTTGATTGCATTACGCAATCTATAAACCACTAAGTGAACACGGTTTTTTTTAAAATTCAATATGGGAACATTCACAGACTCCTAGCTATTTTTTTCCACTAACAAATTGATTGGTCATTGAATCATAAATGGATACAGTACTGCAGTGTTTTTACTGATGGCTTTCAGTAAAACAAACGGACTCGATAAAATGTTGAGAATAAAAATGAATACAACGTTCAAATTACATTGTTAACTGAAAATATTTGTTTGGAAAACTCCTTAATCTTGAAGTTTGATTTTAAGGATTTGAATTTCTTAATTTCAAAAAGCGCCTCTCACTACCTTCAGTTTGTGTTTCTCACTTAGAAGTACCTTAAGCCTGATTGGTTGGTTTTCTATTTTATTGCAACTGTTCGAAGAACACTTTTTGTACAGTATAAATTATTCTTGACTTGAATACTTGTTAATTTGTTCGCTCGGGGTCGCTCATGGATTCTACAATCTTCCTACTGACTTTGGACTTCTTGCTCTAGTTATTTGGGTTGTTGTTAGGTCACTGACTTACTTTCTGTTCGATGATTTCTAGTCACATTTTAATTAGCATAACCATAGCAGATTCAGTGTGATGTTTTGAATCATGTTAAACATTACAGTCTCGTTAATAATGTAATTACATGATTTTGGCTTTGCAAGCGCAGTAATACCACATAAAACACATCTCGGAATCTTTTTCAAATAGTGTTTGAATTCACTAACGATGAGGCCAATTTTTAGAGATAAAGCTGAGAAGTGAATGAAAATTCGTGTAAAATACATATCTCAGACAGTCATCTACAACGTAGAACTTCGTGCGTACATTCATAGGTTCAAGTTTCCATACCACATTATCAATTCGAATCCCACAATGGTAGATGTAGTAGAAGTATGGTCAGTAATTGCAGAGATTAGGGTTCGAAGAGTGGTGCGAGCTACTTATAAGTAGTATATGAAGTGAGTGTCAACGTAATGTCTGACAGCAGAAGATGGGGGAAGATCAAGAGAAAGGAAGAGTTAGAACACAATGGAATTTGTATGAAACGCATGAATAGTGACAATGGATTGATGTTTTGCAACAGGAACAGTCCAGTTCGAGATGATCGGCTGATATTTTGCAAATGAACGATTTACGATATGGTTTTCCAATTTTACTGAGTAACTCTGTAATTCTCGTTAAATACAATCCGGTTGCCCCACCTGTGATATCGTTCACTACAAGGTAACCCCTAACCCAATACCAACAATTAATCTGTGTATTCGTCGGTATACGGTATGATTTTTCCGAATACTTATTTCAGTACTTCATTGTATGCTGTAAACATTTGGATGTTAAGAGTTGATTGCATTACGCAATCTATATACTACTGAGTAGACATTTACTATGATTAAATATCAGAACATTTACAGACTCCTAGCAATTTAGTCATTGAGTCATAGATGGATACAATACTGCAGTGTTTTTACCGATGGCTTTCAGTAAAACAAACAAAATCGATAAAATATTGAGAATAAAAGTGAAAACAGCGTCCTAATTACGTCGTTAACTGAAAATATTTGTTTGGAAAATCCCTCAATCTTTTAATTTGATTTTAAAGATTTGAATTTCTTATTTCCGCGCCAAAATGTGCCTCTCACTACCTTCAGTTTATGTTTTCCACTTAGAAGTACCTTAAACCTGATTGGTCCGCGACACGAAAGTAACCAATGGTTAGAGACGTTGAACGACATGGCTCAAAATCGTTTGTAATGGCGCAAGTGCATCTATTCGTTGTGCTCTCTCAAATTCTAATCTTCTGGAATCGTCAGCACCTTTGTCTTTGTAACCTTATCTCACTGAATTATACTTCTTGAATAATATCTTCAAACCCCCTAGTCTTCTTCATTACCATTATTACCTCTTCTATCTTTATCACTATGGGATTTGATTTGATATTTGCGTCTCTGTGCTAATAATGTGGTATGGCAACATGAACTTATGTACATACGTACTAATTTCTGCGTTGCAACTGACTGACTGACTGGCTGGTTAGTTGAATTGAATGCTTGTTAATTTGTTCGCTTGGGGTTGTTTGTGGATTCCTGCTGACTTTGAACTTCTTGCTTTAGTTAGTTCCGCTAGGTGTCTTGTTGTTATATCACTGCATTATTTTCTATTCGATGATATCTAGTTGAGTTTTGTTGACGCAAGCATAGAAGATTCAAATACTAAACATTATAGTCTCATTTAATTACATGATTCTGTCTTTGCAAGCACAGTAATAACACATACAAAACAACTTGGGAGCTTTTTCAAACACTGTTTGAATTAAATAACGATGAGGCCAATTTTTAGAAATAAAGCTGAGAAGTGAGTGGAACTTTGTGTGAAGTTAACCTTTGTTAGTACACATCTCATCTTCTGATTAGACAGTCAGCTTTAACGTAGATTGCTGTACGTAAGTACATCACTTCAAGTTGCCACATCACATTTGCACACGGAGACGTAATTGTCAATTCAAATCCCATAATGGTAGAGGTAGTAGAAGTATTACCAGTAATGGAAAAGACGAGGGTTCGAAGATATTATTCCAGAAGTATAATCTAGTGAATTAAATTTCAAAAGAGAAAGAAAGGGTAATGAGGAATTTAGAAGATTAGAGTGTGAGAGAACATAAAGAATGGATGCACCTACACTATTGCAAACGATTTTGAGTCATGTCATTCATGATCTCCAGCCATCGATTATTATCATCTCGTGGATCCCAACCAGGTAGTCAACATCTACCAACATGGTTCAGTCCACTTGTTAGTGACTTCATGGATTTCTGCCATGTTTTGATTCCTCACCTTCTTATAATATAATCCATGAGATAATGGAATGGGTTTTTTCATAACGGTTTTTGCAGAACATTTCTTTATTACAAACACCTCACTTAGTTATTTACTTACGCCTGTCAACCCCAATGGAGTATAGGCAAACGACTAGTCTGCTCTGTCCTGGGCTTCCTTTTCCAATGCTGTCTTATTCTTGTTCATTCTTCTGATATGTTTCTCTATTTCTCAGCTTAATGTGTTTCTTGGCCTTCCTTTTTTCCTTTGACCTTGAGGATTCCATGTGAGGGCTTGTCAGACAGACAGACAGACAGATACAACGCAGAACTTCGTACATAAGTACATCAGTTCAGGTTCCATAACATGTCAGCATAGAGACGTAACTGTCAGTTCAAATCCAAGAGTGATAGCGATAGTGGAAGTATTAGCAGTAAGGAGTGAAGATTAGGTAGCAAAGGTATGATTTGAAAAGTATAATTCAGTAAGATAAATTTAGAAGGAGAAAGGTAGAGATTATGAGGAATTCAGAAGCTTAGAATTCCATAGAACACAAAGAGTGGATGCACCTGCGCCATCGCAAACGATTCTGAGCCATGACATTCAAGGTCTCTAACCATCAGTTACATTCATCTCGCGGACCCCAACCAGGTAGCCTACATCTACCAACATGACTCAGTCCACTTCTCAGTGACTTCATGGATTTCTGCCATGTTTTGGTCTGGCCACCCCTAGCTTTCTTCCAGTCTACTCCTACACCACAAAACATAGCTCGTCGCGGCAGTCGGTGGTTAGGCATACGTAACACATGTCCCAACCACTTCAACTGATTAAGTTTCACCCCTTCATCTATTGATCTGCCATCGTTACCTAGAACTCGTTTCCTAACGACAGCATTGCTTACTCAGTTGTCCCACGATATACGAGCAATGCTTCGGAGACATCAATGATCGAATACTAGTAACCTACGAATGTCCTCTACTCTTAATGGCCAAGTCTCGCATCCGTAAAGTAGGACGGAGCGAACTGCTGCACAGTACACTCGTCCTTTAGTCAGCAAACGGATATCTCGCCTACGCCATAAGTGACGCAGGTTGGCAAAAGCCAATCGAGCCTTCTGTATCCGTGCTGAGACTTCGTCAGTCACCATGACATCAGCACTGATGAGACTTCCAAGATAATTGAAGCGGTCAACACGTTCGACTACTTCACTCCCTATCACTAGTTCAGGTGCCAATGCAACCCAATCTTGAAGTAACATTTTGCATTTCGAGGGGGAAAACCGCATCCCGAACATGCTTGAATTGTTGCTTAGGGTAGTCAGAAGACTCTGCAGTTTGTCAGCGTCTTCAGCAAGTAGAACTATGTCATCGACATATTCTAAGTCAATAAGCGAGCCTCCTGGTAATAGGTCCACTCCTGAAAAAAGTGAGGGCTTGTCTTGTGATGATGCAGTTACAAACACCTCAACCAAATGATAATTTATTATTATTTTCAAAAAAAAAACAAAATCCAGCACCCACTTTACATCTAGACAAATAAATTAATATTGAATAATTGATCAATGTGTCTCAATGAAAAGTAAAAAAAAAAAACATATCTATTCATCACTATTGAACATTGATTGTACCTCCTCCTCCTCTGATAATTCTTGTTTTATAGTTATGAAAAGCTAAACAATGCCACAATGAAACAAACCACTTTCGTAATGGATTTTATGAAGATTAAGAATTTTATTAATGATTATTTGAATGATATATTATCTAGTGGTGGTGATTTATCTCAACCGGGTTACAACAATCAATTATTCAATGAAGTAAGTCAGTGGATATTAGGCAGGCTTGTGTTTGTTTTAAAATGATTTGTGTCTTGCTTTTTTAGTGCGATTGAATTATTTCCAAGGAGGATGAATTGATGTAGTGATTGTTTGTTCCATTGGGAAAATGTAATTTTTATACACAGATTTTTCCTTCATTTTTTTCTTCTTCAAAAATTTTCTTTTTTTTTAATTGCCTACTTTGTGTTAAACTGTAAAAGAGATGACGTAAAATAAGAAAAATGGTTTGTTCATGACTGACTACTTTCAAAGTAGTTAAAATATATTGTCGATTCATCTGCGTGTTCTTAAGCTCGGTTTATAAATCAGAACATGAACTCGTAGTGTTGTTGAATACGTTTATTCGGGATACACCACAAAGTGAAGTGGAGAAGCAGTGAATAAAACAAATGAAGCGACGTGAACTGGAGAAGGCTTTTGAGCCAACTCCAAGAGATAGAACATGACTAAGAATATATAGTCAGACAAAAAATAAGACAGATATATGACCAGCGAAATAGGTATGCACAGACATGAATAAAAGCGACGAATGACTGGCAAGGTCAAAGGTAAGCGAGACAAGTCGAGTTCATAGGGGTACAAGCTCATACAAACCAGACGATAAAAAATACCAATGGTACATATGGGTTGTTGCTGTACGAATAGCTTGGTTACATAAGTTAATCGAAAGGCGTAATCAAATTAAATATGAGCGAACTCAAGTTTATGTGGAGGCACGACATATATATATATATATATATATATATATATATATATATATATATATATATATATATACAATATAAGCGAGGTTTGGTAAAAAATGCCTCTTCAATAGGGTTCAAAGGATTTGCATCACGGATACATTTGACGACGATGCAAAATTCTTAACTGGAGGATTAATTTCAAACGGTTATCCGCTAAAGTTCATCAATAGGTGTAGAAATCAGATAAGACAAAAGCAAGTTTTTCATTCTGCTGAGAAGAAAAAGATTTATATCACTTTACCATGGTCTATTCTGAAGACAGAGACTAAAAGCAGTCATAGAGAAAACATGCAACACATGCTAAACTGATTATCATTGAAAAGACCAAGTCCATGATTTCACATATACCTAAACGTTGCTCGAATGATCACATCATATCCCATTGCATTTATCAATTTACATGTTTGCATGGACACACACGATACATAGGGAGGAGTAATCGGAGTTTGCAATCAAGGGTTATGGGGAACATTTACCTAAATGGCTTCAAAATCAGTTAACGTCAGATGAGCCGATTAGCGTTGGAAATAGGAAACCATGTTCATCGTTCGCAAAACACATAATTGAGACAGGGCACAAGATAGCCTTCAAAACATTGTATAAAAATGTTGAAGGAAGAATTTTGAGGTTTATGGAGGCCTTGGCTATAAGAAAATTAAAACCCACCTATGTGTGCAGAAACAGTTTGTCATAACCTCGAATTTACCCTGGTAACCTTTAGCCTAGGGTAATGTGACAATTTCCTACCCTTTTTTATTCTTTTCAAATTACGTTAATTTTCTCTCTCCTTTAGTTTTACAATTATCACTCTATGTCTATTTGAACTTTTATTTAATTGGCCTTTTATTCATCTTCATATAAAATGCCTTGACAAGTAGTACATGTGTGACCAGATTGTTCGAAATGTATAGCGCAAATACATCACAATATTTTTCAGAACAATTACATCTTCTCACTGTCCGATCAAAATTTATAAACGGGACTAATTGTTTTTAAAGTATATCTAATGCTTGGAACATTGGTAATCAATGGCAGTGTTTGAAATTACGATTTTTTCCTTTTGAATCATTTTGAAATATAAACAGTATGCACAAATGTTCAACAGATGTTTAGATATGTGTAATTCATGAGTTACATATAAGAAATGATCACTTAACAAATTGAAATAGCTACGTTATGCAGATTGTATTATTCGCAACGTTTAAGTGGTGAATTGATCTTATTAGTTAGACCACCATTAGAAATCTACATTATTAATCAATTTTTGGTTTGAAATTGAAATCGTCAATCAATCATTGTTAGAACAACATTATAGTATAGGACTCTCCAAAAGAACGAATCCATGACTACCCACTCACGAACATCTAACCTCTAGACCAGTAAATCGGCATTTAGTGCTGTTAATGTCTCACTTTATTTCGTCCGTGATATTGCGCAACTTCACCCACTGTCTCTGGTAGTTACGGCCTACAGCCTGCAAGGTTGAACTCCACTAGTCACGTTTTTTCACTGGAACTCCGAGAATTCCTTCATGAAGCTAGTCATTAGTGAGCATATTTTATGATTTTTTATTATATAGTTATGGAGACTGTTGTTTTACATTGAAATCATGACATTAACACCATTTGATGCTGGTTCAGTGGTTAAGGGGTCAGATGTTTGCACGCGAGACCGAAGGTCCTAGATTCGATTCCCGTGAATGGGGGTGGTGGGTGCGTACTGTTGAAGAGTCCTATACTAGGATGGAACGGCCATCCAATGCCTTTAGGTTTCTAATGTTGGTCTAACAATGATCGATTCACGATAACAATGTAAACAGAAATCTCCATAAATCTATAATGAAAAATCTTTAGTTTATCTGTTCGTTTTGTAACTTCATTTAATCGATCAAGTTATAAGGAATGTGAAATATTGAGTCGATAACAGTTTGAATCCAATAAAGAACATGAGTGCCTTACAAAATGTTGTTATATTTCATTGACAAGTGATAATCATTGTTAAAAGTTTTGATGAAGTGTTTCTAGTTGATGATTTCAAACAAGCTTTTATTTTAAATTTCATCCAACTAGTTCTGTTAATCTGTTTTGATGTGTACAAGTACATTAAATGTTTTTTTTCAACTGAGTAATTAAGTCGTGCAAATGTTTCTTAATTTATAATTCAGAGTTTTTTTAACTCAAAAAATTAATTCATCCATATGAGTACATAGATTTTTAATTAAACCGAATAATAACAATAATAATAATAATACACTTTTCTTTTCCAGGTTATTAATCTTTCTAAGCATTTGGTATTTTTTGGTCTTTACACTATGAATGAATTATTGATTCTTGGTCAAAAGCTGATATTCATACTTGATCAATGGGGTAATACAGATGATTTAACTGATCATTTACATAAAAGTAAGTAATTAAATTATTGAACTCTCAATGTGTTGTGAAATTACAATTGACAGTGTTATGAAATTAATTTGCCTCTGTTTTCGATTTATAACATTTCGGCTAACTCCGTTTGTGCTATGATCAGTCAGTCAGTTGCAACGTAGAACTATGTATGTACATCAGTTCATGTTGCCATACCACATTAGCACACAGATGTGATTGTCAATTCAAATCCAATAGTGATAAAGATAGTAGAGGTATTAATGGTAATGAAGAGGACTAGGGTTTGAAGATATTATTCAAGAAGTATAATTCAGTGCGATAAGGTTAGAAAGACAAAGGTAGAGGAGGTGCTGACCAATCCGGAAGATTAGGATTTGAGAAGCAGCACAACGAATGGATGCATTTGAGATGGTCGTTGGATGAGTTTATTTCATGTACTTGTTCACACAGACAGACATGAAGATAATAAGCGGAAAAGTGAAATGAATTGAAGCGGAGAAAGAGTCTAGGCTAACTTGATATGATGACATATGACTAAATATTTACAGTAAGGCAAAAATAATCTAGACATGTGATAAGCAAAGTAAGCAGAGCAGACACACACATACACTCAAGAAAAACCAACCAAGATTGACTAGGTCGAAAGACATGAGAATAATTCGAAAAGAATGGATTGATTAATTTGTCCAATAAGCGGGACTGGCTTTGTATGCTCGATATATTAGTACACACCACAGAGTGTATTTTATAGCAAAGATGTCTGAAAATGAGGATATCTTCTGGAACGTTTACTATTTAATATTTTAAAAATATCAATCTATCAAATTGATAAATGTCAATAGTAAGATTAATGGTCGTTTTTTTTACTTCTAAGTTTAACAGATCGTCTGAAAGTTTGAGTTTGAGAAATCTTGAATATGCATTAGTAGAAATTCTCAAAGTAGGATTTTAAAAAAAAAAGATTGTCCACTTCTTACTAGTGTTTACTGGTTGTTTTGTAATTAAAATGAGTTCATAACGCTGAGTATAAACTTTAACTCTTTCCACAATGCCAGTAATTGAAAGTACTATTTTAAATTTTATTAACTTGATTTGGTTATTGATTATTATTCTTTGAAAAATCAGCTTACAGTAAGATGTAAAGTGAGATAAACCTAGCCGCCTCTTCATTTAAGGTCAGTCAGTTACAACGTAGAACTTCGTACGTAAGCAGATCAATTCATTAGCACAGTGACGCAATTGTCAATTCAAATCCTATAGTAGTAGAGGTAGTAGAAGAGTTAATGGTAATGGAGAAGATTAGGATTTGAAGATAATATTCAAGATGTATAATTCAATGAGATAACTTTGGAAGACAATGTTAGAGGTGTTGACGAATCGGGAAGATTAGGATTTGAGAGAGCACAACGAATGGATGCACCTGCGTGATTGCAAACGATTTTCAGACATGTCGTTCAAGGTCTCTAACCATTTGTTAATTTCGTCTCGTGGACTCCAACCAGGTAGTCTGCATCTACCAACATGACTCAGTCCACTTGTCAGTGACTTCATGGATTTCTGCGGTGTTTTGGTTTGGCCTCTCCTTGCTTTCTTTCAATCTATTAATTCAGGGAATTATACCTAGACTGTTATTTCTATCTAACCGTTGATCAATTTTATTGAAAATAATCAAATCAAATCTTGGTAATGATAGTTTTTTGTCTTACTGACCAGAAGTATTAAGCTCCTTTTTTCAAAATGTTATATTAGTGAGGTCTTAGTAAGGTCTTCTGATAGAAGAAGACGTAGTAGATTTGAAAATTGTGATGTACTTGCACTATGCACACTGCACTATCTGGTCCCACACACACACACACACACACAAGTATACTTGTCAAGGCCTTTTTATAAATGGAAATTATAATAAAAAAAAGTCAATTAAATCAACGTTCAAATAAACAAAAAATAATAATTGTAAATAAAGAGAGATAGAGAAAATTAACGTAGTACGGACAAAATGGGTTTCAAAAATCTGTAACTTAACAATCTTCACAACAACCACGTAATGCGAATTACCTGTGCTCACTGGTGACTAGCTTCGTGAGGAATCTTCTCCGAGTTCTAGTGGGAGGACGTGACCAGTGAAGTTCAACCTGTTCGGGTGTAGGCAGTGTCTACCGAAGACTGTGTATGAGGTTGCGCAACTCCGTGAATTTGATCAAGTTAGACATTAACACCGTTAGCTACCAGCTCAGTGGTCCGATGGTTAGGCGTTCGCGTACAATACCAAAGGTCCTGGGTTCGAATCCTGCGAGGTGCAGCATGAGTCGTGCATGCGCACTGACACTGATGAGTCCCATACCAGGACGGAACGGCCATCTTTCAGTGCTTCTAGGTTTCTAATGGTGGTCTGACATTGATCGATTCATGGTTTCAGAAATGTGTAACTTAACAATCTTCACAACCCCGTAATGCAAAATAGGAAAATGTCGTATCACCCTAGGCCATATATCGGTTTTAATATTAACAGGATAAATTCTACGTTACCCTTATAATCTTTTCTCCTATCACATTCTTCAGATCAACTATGTCTTCGCATTGTTCTATTAGCATCTTTTATAAAAGCGATTAATTGCCTTTAAATTTGTTATTCTTCATTGATCACTTAATAGAACTGATGAACAATTCTTCATCACCAATCAGTAGTTCAAATGAAGATAAATTATTCGATTTGAAATTAAAAACTTTGGATATCATTGAAGTGAGTTATGTTTGGAAAGTTATTTTCTCATACAGTTAAGATGATGTGAACCTTTTTTCAAAAAGAAAAATTTGAATAACATGTTTTGTTGAGATGATGAAGAAAATTTATAGCTTAGGTGAATGATTTTTCGTGGAGTTTGCGTCTCTGAGCTGGATGTTTATTGGCTGTGGAGCTTTCATTGTTATTCTAAACATGACATCATCAGAAAAATTTTCAAGTAGACATTCAAACATTTCACTCACTTTTACCTGAAGTTTATGCTGATGATGTTGTTCAGAAGAACAATGAAAGCTCCACAATCAATGCGCGCAGCTCAGAGAATGATACTCCGCCATAACATGTTGAGGTTGTTAGCGTCTTACAAATTTTGTTTTCGTGCAGTAGGAGTAAATATGAACTGATGTTTACAGAATGAGTTAGAAATAATTGTGTGATCTTTTTTATTGAGTGGTAAATGATTTATTTGCGGCACTAATAGTAATGGTAATTCTCTTGTGGAATTGATCATTATAATCCAGAGAGTCACTGATCAACTGACTTAATGATGTCAGATCGTGTAATAATATGCAGCGTATGAGTTATCGAATATGTCAAGTTGATAATGACAGCAACTGATGACTGCTAGTCATATATCAGTAGTAGTATTGTGGTGTGAGCTACTTATAAGTAGTATATGACGCGTGTGGAAACGTAATGTCTGGAAGCAGAAGATGGAGGACGATCAAGAAAGGAAGAAGAGTGGGAACACAATGCAATTTGTATGAAACGCATGAATAGTGACAATGGATTGATGTTTTGCAACAGGAACAGTCCAGTTCGATATGATGAACTGATAATTTGCAAATGAACGGTTTACGATATGGTTTTCCGATTTTACTGAGTAACTCTGTAAATACAATCCGGTTGCCCTCGCCGGTGTTCTCGTTCACTACAGTATGAAAGCAGTTTATAGTGAAGTTATCGGAAAACAGTAAATAAAATAACAGAAAGGTTTTAAATGAAACCAACTGAATGATTTCTCATTCTAAAAGTTTAGAGGACAGGTGTATGTGTATTTTGATCACAATAATCAATTGATTTTGAGAAAAATATTATCTGAATGAAAGAAGAAATGAGAAAAATAGTATTTTTTTAATAAGTAATAAAATATCTTTTATCCAAGTAAATACCACATTTTAACATTTCAATCATTGTTGTCACTTTGAAGTGTTAGCGGAAAAAAGACTTTGTTCTAATCCTTTTAAGATGTACTGTCATTGTCTACAATGACTAGATGGTTGAAATCTCTGTTGACATACGTTGATATCAGTCAGAATGGTGCAGATGCGTCCTTTTCATCTCTCTGTATACTTATGTGATGAGCGATCAACAAAAACTGATACACTCATATAACAGATCTTGTCTGTCAGTCAAAAAAAGAAAGTTAATGAGTTTGAACTCAAATCCTAGGATCTTGTAAGAGAAAATTTGTTAGCCTATAGTCAATCAGTGACAACTTGAAACTTCGTACATATTGTACATCAGTTCAGGTTGCCATACGGCATTAGCACAGAGACGCAACTGTCAGACCGAACCCCATAGTGGTATAGCATCATACTTAGCTAACCTTTAAAAATGGAATGGAAGCAAATATATTTATTCTAAACATCTGTTAATCATTGACCCTATATGAATCATATTGGTCATTGTAACGATTGATCCAGAACTTTTATAAAAATAAAGCCACCGAAAAAAACTGTTCCCATCATTAGAGTTTCGATCTTTGGAATCTTTCTAGAATTTCATCTGCAGTCCAATGGAGTTTTCTCAAGGGGACTAGTTGACACTTCATTATTTTGTATGTTGATCGTTTTTTATTTTATTCTGTTTTATTTTTACTTTGTCATTGCATTTCAGTATATTTTAGATGTTCGTGTAGATTATCAAATTTTCTGTCTATTAACTACTCTTCAAAGAGTTCTACAAACGGAAACTGATTCAACTGACTTGGAATTTGAAGATACGGAAAAAGAAAAAACATTAGGTGAGATATATACACATATTTTGAGTGTGTGCTTGTGTGTGTGGTCACTTGTGTGCAGTTGACAATAAACAATTTGAGATGTGTGTAATTTCCAGTGTGATTATGAATTCGGGAATGCGGATAGTCAAAAGGTTTCACTGAATTATCCACCACAATAATTCTATTCTTGTTGGATTGTGCAGGAAGGCACTGATTAGGAAATTTCATACACATAGTTCCCTAATATTATATCGAATAGGGAGCAGAAATTAAGGTCAATTGATGCAGAATAATGAGAATTCGTTAGGTTCTCTGCATCAGCTGTTTACAACTTATTTTACGATCAAAATTATCTTGAAAATTGACATATTTGTAGATACGAAGGTAATCAGAAATCAGTATGTGTATACTATGATGAAGCGAAATTTCCTATACAGTTCATAAAAATGCATTACATATATGTTGGGTGAGAGAGCCGAATTTCCTGTCTTTCAAGGGGACTGATAAAGAATCGAGTTTTAATCTTATGACATTTTTCAAAGCTATCAAGCCTATCAAGTGTCTGAAACCAATTTTTTTCGTGTTCAAAACGAAATAGAAATAAATCTCTTTATTACCCTTGTAACCTTACATTTAATCTTTTACACTAACGTTTATTTCCACTCTTTCTTGTGTGCTGATTACATTGATTTTATTTCTCTTAAATTCACGATTTCGATTTGAATTGACTCATTTAGACATTCTGTTCTGTATCAGTATGACCCTTTGGTTACTGAATTACTCAACCATCTAAAGTTTTTGTTAATTCCTTGATCTTTCGTCATAATTTAATGTTGTGAAACTTTTCCAATCATACTCTATAAATCTGTAACATACTTTTTTAATGAGCTGATTAATTTTTTTGTGAAACTTTGCAACATCTGTATACATATATGTAATCAGTTCTTTGTATTTATAAATATGTGCTTTGCTCGTCACTCGATATGCTTGAAACTACCACAAGGTTCACCTTAGTCGATAAACGAGAACCTGACAATGGACCAGTGACAATGCTACTCTTATCGGTTGCCTCAATGGCACTAATGAAGAAGTCTTGATATAGCGTAGAAAGTGTATTCTAAAAATATCCAGCAAAAACAATGATCTCAAGCACATGAATCGCGTTTATTTATACATCATAGAGAGTCACAAAAATAGCACACTAAAATAACACAGTAACCAATCACAGCCAAGGATTTTCCAGGGGGAAAATGTGATCTCAAGGTCAAGTGATCAACCCGTGAAGAAAATCCAAAATTAGGACGCTTGTCAGGCGAGTTCTGGGGATCTAACATCCCCAACACTCCTCCCCTTTTTAATAGCGTACACTCCTGCGGTCGACCTGCATCTTGACTGTTGTTCGCCGCTGTCTGAGAGGATACCTTCGGGAACAGAGATCAGTTGTTGCTGAGTTTCTTCTCGTGGAGGGCTGCTGGTAGGTTGAAGGTATCAAGCAAGATGTCAAGGGGAATGCTTTCTGCTCTTGATGGACGATCTGGCTTGACCACCTTTCACCTCCTACTACTACTTCGTACATAACTCGTCCATCTCTTCTGACAACTCGCGCTTCTGCCCAAGGACCATGATTTGTTCTGTAGTCACGGACAAACACAGGACATCCCACTTCGTAATCGGATTGCTTTTCTGACTTTGTCTATACCAGTTTTAATGAATTAGTCGGATGCATCCGGCTGTTGATTGTTTTCAGTCTAGTTCCCATCAGGATTTCTTCTGGGCACTTTTGTTCCGGTAACAACTCATTTGCTGTCGTTCAATAAAAGCACAAGAAATTTTGTAACACGTCATCTGGTGACAAGCATAATAATATGTCAATTTCCGTGATAATTCTAACTGGGAAATATGAATAGATTGTAAGCAAGGCTGATGCAAGAGAACCTGACGAAAATAAAAATCAATTCATCTCTTATTCCGCATCAAACTTTTTATTGCCTTGCCTTGTATAGAGATGATTCAATTCTATTCACTATACAGTGTTATTGTGGTGCGCGCTACTTATAAGTAGTATATGACGCGTGTGTAAACGTAATGTCTGGAAGCAGAAGATGGGGGACGATCAAGAAAAGAAGAGTGGGAACATAATAGAATTTGTATGAAACGCAAGAATAAGTGAAATGTCAGACAATGGATTGATGATGGATTGAAGATTTGCAAATTAACCGTCTACGATATGGTTTTCCTATTTTACTGAGTAACTCTGTAATTTTCGTTAAATACAATTTGGTTGTCTTCACCTGTGTTCTCCTTCACTACATTTGGTGTTGCTGCCAGGATGGAGATACCGTGGCGGAGCTAGCCGGATGGAAGGCGGTCACGGGTCGGCTTGTCGCGGAGTTTGACAGCCCGGTGAATCGGCAGGAGGCGCTTCAGAAATTCAGGACGGTGAAGTTATCGGCGGATGGAGACCCACTGGTGCTGGCAGCCGAGTTGACTAAGCTGTTACATCGCGCGCTGCCGAGTTTGGATGGGGAATCTGAAGCTCAACTGTCGGCATCGCAGTTCATCGAGAGTGATCCGGACGCCATTTCCCAGCAGCTGAAGTTGGTCAACGCCGCACATCTGATGCGTATAAATGAATTGGCGAAAGTGACTCGACAGCTAATGACGCAAACAGCAGCTTCGGTGGCGTGCGCGAGTCCGGAGAAAGATGATCTCGAGAAGAAAATTGATGAGCTGCAGTGTGAGAATGCCGCAATGAGAGTAACTGGCGGCAGGAATAATAAATGTTACGCTTGTGGAGGGATGGGACATTGGAGGAGAGCACAGGTGAGGACAACCAAATTGTAATGAGCGAAAATTACAGAGTTAATTGGTAAAATAGGAAAACCGTATCGTAAACGGTTAATTTGCAAATCTTCAATCCAATTTATCATCAATCGATTGTCTGACATTTCACTATTCATGCGTTTCATACAAATTCCATTGTGTTCCCGCCCTTACTTTCTTGATCGTCCCCCATCTTCTGCTTCCAGATATTACGTTTACACACGCGTCATATACTACTTATAAGTAGCGCGCACCACATTATTGTGTAACTAACTGTTGTCTTATAGTAGTACTTTTTAAAATAATTCACATTAAACAGAACTAATAATCATGTTGGTATACAAATGTTGTTTTTATTACTTCAACACTAAGTTTTAATTCACATGTTGTTATACATGTTACACATAATACAAGAAATAAATATTTAGCGAGAATTCAAATAAACTTACCTCAGCAAACACATTATCAATTGATTTCTGATGAAATTTTTTACCAAAACAGTAGGTAGGTAGGTAGGTAATCATTAATTATTATTTTATGATACTTCTATCAGTAAAAATGAATCATCATACTCGTAGTCAAGTCAGTACATGCGTATAACATACACATTGAATAAAACAGAAAATCATAAAATGAAAAATGGTTTTTTTGTTTGAAATTTTTATGTATCATCAATAAAAACTGATAGTTTTGACTGGGTCAGACTAAAATTTGCGAAGTTCTTTTCTACAATTAATTTGTTTTTGATGATAGGGTTGTGGTCGAGTTAAATTTTTGTAATCATAAAATAGATCACTGTTTAGACCACTACAAATCCTGTCATGCAAATTATCATGTGTGAATGGCTATGTCAAGACGTTTTTTCAAGGAATATTGAGAAGTTGTGACTAGTGGAATTTAATCCTGTTCAGGTGAGTGTAGCAGTGCTCACCAAAGATAGTGGATGAGGTTTGCACAAGACTGTGTACTGATCAAAGTTAAACATTCAGACCGTTGAGTGCCTTTTCAGTGGTTCAGAGGTTAGGTGTTCGTGCACAAGACCGTTGGTCCTGGGTTCGAATCCTGTGAACAGTGGGAGTCTTGGGAGCTCACTGCTGATGAGTCCCATTACTTACTTACTTACGCCTGTCACCCCCAATGGAGCATAGGCCGCCCACCGGCAGCATTCTCCAACCAACTCTGTCCTGGGCTTCCCTCTCCAGTTCTGTCCAATGTTTGTTCATTCCTCTCATATCTTTCTCTATTTCTCGGCGTAGTGTGTTCCTTGACCTTCCTCTTTTCCTTTTGCCTTGAGGGTTCCATGTGAGGAATTGTATTGTGACGCAGTTAGGTGCTTCTCGCAGTGTGTCCTATCCATTTCCACCGTTTCTTACTGATTTCCTCCTCCACTGGAATCTGACTTGTTCTCTCCCACAGTTCGTTGTTGCTGATGGTGTCTGGTCAACGAATACGAAGTATTTTGCGTAGACAGCTGTTACTAAACACTTGTATCTTCTGAATGATGGCTTTGGTAGTTCGCCATATTTCCGCTCCATACAGTAGAACTGTCTTGACATTTGTATTGAAAATCCTGATTTTGGTTTTTGTTGAAAGTTGTTTGGAGTTCCAGATATTTTTCAACTGTAGAAATGCAGCCCTTGCTTTGCCAATACGTGCCCTCACATCTGCATCGGATCCACATTTCTCGTCGATGATGCTGCCAAGATATGTAAAGGTTTTGACGTCCTCCAAAGCATCTCCATCAAGAGTGATTTGATTGTTGCATGTAGTGTTGCATAGGAGAATTTTACTTTTTCCTTTATGAATGTTGAGACCTACTGCTGCAGAGGCTGTTGCTACACTGGTCGTCTTCTCTTGCATTTGTTGTTGCGTCTGAGATAGAAGAGCCAGGTCATCTACGAAGTCCAGATCTTCCAGCTGCGTCCTAACTGTCCAGTTGATACCGTGTTTCACTCCAGACGTCGGCATCTTGATAATCCAGTCGATCACCGGGAGAAAGAGAAAGGGTGTGAGTAAGCAACCTATCGAATGCTTTCTCGTAGTCGATGAAGTTGATGTAGAGTGGTGAGTTCCATTCAATTGATCGTTCCGTAATGTTGCAATTTGATGAGTCCCATACCAGAATGAAACGGCAGTCCAGTGCTTCTAGGTTCTCGATGGTTGTTTAACATTGTTTGATTCATGATTTCAAAAGAAAAAAATTAATTTATTTGTCGTTGTTTTAGACATGACAGTGATAATTACAAAAACAGTATACAAAAATATATACAGAAAATTAATCATATATAATAAAAGATTTATCTGTGAAAACCTGTAATTCTCATGAGACAGTGTCAACAAAGGAATCAGAAAAAATAATAATAATCAGAGTAAATCATTGTCAACAACAATTTAGTTCTGATAAATAAAAAAATAAATAAATATTTAGACATTGAACACCTTGAACAAATAAATAATTCTCCGACAAAACATGCACTGTTAGATACGATTAGATAATGTTTTGTCGATTGAGTAAAGTTTTCTTGTTTGTTGGAGAGAAGAAAAAAATAAATTAAACGAAAATCATTTCATATCCTCCTCCTAACGTCATTATTTGTTATGATATGATGTTTGAAGTTTGGCGAGTTGTACTTTTGAAAACACTATTCATTATGGTATTTTCATTCAAGATGAAGAATTTTACAATAGAATAGATAGAATATGGCTAGAGTAATGTGTAAGATTCAAACTGAGGTTTAAAATGAGGAATAACTGTCTAGGTAGGTTAAATACGCGTCTTGCCATGTTGAAATCAAAACAAGTGATTTGGGTAAATAACGGTTTTAATATTAATCATAAATATAAATATACTTCATTATCTAAACAAATATTACCACTGAGTTATTCCACCAACAATTGTTCAATTATTAAAATTAACAGATATAGATAACTGATATTCTATCCTTTCTGGATAGATTAGATTCGTTCTACAGATAATATTCGGTTTCTTTATCACAAGGAGTGGTTCCCACTCTGGATGGGTGCTTCAATTCACAATCAAAATGCACAATTCCAGTCAAAGCAAGCAACCGAATCAAAAGAGAAGCGAATCAATATGGCTGTCGCCATGACCAAGTATCAGCTTAAACAACATAAATGCAATTCAGAACGAAAAAGAGAAACTCACTGAAGGCAAAATAAATAGAAACTCTAATAAAATACAAATATTATCATCTCAAAATGGAATCGAACAGATTAACAAAATGTACAACTGAAGGAATCAATGAGGACAAATTACAAATGTATACATGGAGTGATTTTCACAAACAAAGCCTTCAAAAAAATGGATCTTACACAATAGAATCCAAGACGCATGTTTCATCTTATTCACAGCTCGTCAGTTGGATTTTAAAATATGGAATTCAGAATTTCACATACTTGAAAATAACATTCATGGAAATTGGTTGTTATACGTTCCGAAAATCAAAACATTGGGAATAAATAACCTAATTGTTAGATGATTGTAAATGAATTTTATAGCCAATAGAACCTTCGGGGCTACTGCCGGTCCCAAGCCCGGATAAAGGAGGAGGGTTGGGCATGGGGTTGGCGACCCCATCCAGTAAAAAACTAACATGCCAAAAAAACGCTAACCAGAAAAAATAATTCAAATGAATTTTAAGTGACGTAAAAAAAATTAAAACGAGTTAAGTTTACATATGTCGAACAAATCATATTGCCATTTAAAGAAAATATGTTTCATACTTTTTCTCATTATTTATGTTTGTAATGAAACCATGTCTATCTCCTAATCATTTAATTTCTAGCAAATTATTCAACAAAGACATTGTTAATTGAATGTACCTAACTACATATTGTACATTCAGTCATCTTTTTCTATGTTTCATGTTTTTTTTCCGTTTAAATGTCTTATTTCAAAACAGTTTTAATGCTGTTGATGAAAAATATTCACTCATTGTAGCATGATAATGAGAACTGATTTATTTCGTGAACTTATTTGTTTGTTAAAAAACAAAACACAAGAGAAAAAAAGCACTTTTTTAAGACGTTTAGTGAAGAACCCTAGTTATCATTTTATTCTCATTTAAACCATGTTGTAGAAGCATTAGAGACGTGAAATCACTGGACGGCCATTTCATCCTAGTATGGTACGCCTCAACAGTTCTCGGGCACGACCGAAGATAATCACTGACGTCGTGCAATATCATGGGGTAACTGGAGTTACGCACTAATGCTATTGAATGCAAGTCAGCGGTCATCAGGTTAAGCCTTTACATGCGAGACTGCTGACATGTATCATACTAGGATGGAACAGCTGTCTAGTGCCTTGAAGTTCCGAGTAGTGTTCTACTATTGATCTGTTTCTGATAATTTTGATTAGAATGAAGTGCAACAATCTCCACAATCCAATACTAGGATTTGTGTATTAGAATTATGAATTAATTTTGAATGTTGTGATTAAAGATGCTGATTTGTTTAAGTTCATACTTATGTTCAATGCCATAAAAGGCTTGTCATGAAGGTGGCTCCTTTATTTATAACGTTCGAATATGCTATCAAATAAATCTCCACTACAGTCTACATATATCATACTTAGGTGAATCCTGTTTGTACACCGGCACTAATTAGAAGCCAAATACGATTTCCGTTGGATGAATTTATTTTAGGCAATCGTTCATGCATTCAATTAACCAGGCAGACGATAATGAAAAGCATACAAACAAAACGAAGCAGAGAAGACAATCAAACCAACTCCATGCGATAAAAAAACATCACCAAGTATTTATAATCAGACGAAATAGGTTAGACATGTAGTAAGTGGATTAAGCGGTTCTGCTCACGCATAGAAGCAACCAAGATAAAAGCAGATAGTTGATGACGTCAAAAGACGAATAAATAGTAATTCGTGTAGAATGGATTAGTTAATTTATCCGAAGGCTCCGACATAAAAATAAACTCTATAAAAGCTTCTGTATACATATAAAAAACAGAGTTTGATTGACAAAATCAATTGCCTAATTATACTACTCATCGTGTTAATGTTCGTAATAAGCGATATAAAAGACAACAGTAAATAAGCGGAATAGACTAGTGATTAACTTCGTGAGGTGATTCTCGAAGTTCTATTGAGATATGCTGTATGTAGTTGTCTACCAAAGACAAACCGATGATGATCAGAGTTAGACATTAACGCTGCTGGATGCCGGCTCAGTGGTCTTGGGGTTAGGCGTTAGCTCGCAAGATCCAGGGTCCTGGGTTCGAATCCTGAGCGGTGCAGGAGTGGTGGATGCTCTCTGCTAGTGAGTCCCTTATCAGGATGAAACAGCCGTCTTTCAGTGCGTCCAGGTTTCTAATGGTAGTGGTCTAACAATGATTGATTGATTGATGAGTTCAATGTTTACAAAAACACAGATCTCCGTAACTCTGATTGAAATAAAGGAATAGACAATGTTTTATTTCATCTCATATCTTTTTGTTCTAACAGAATTGTCAAAGGAAATTAAAAATCAACTTACAAATTTATTTCCTTCAAAGTAAGTCATTAATGCGCAAATCATTTTGATTTTTCTGCTTAAAAATAATATTTTTATTACTCATGCAAATCAATAATGTCAATATGAAAATAGTTTGGAATAGTTTGAATACAGGAAAAAAAATCAAAACCTCTTTTCATTTGTTCATCATCCAACCATTGAACACACCAACATACACATTATTTATTTTGTTGATCAAATGAATATAAAATTTGTTTAAATTCATTCAGATTTAACAATTTAGTGATATGAATGAATTTTTTTTAAATCCAGCTAGCTAAAAGGAAACACCGAATTCTCACCAGACAATTATGAACATAATCAATCGATTCACACTGAATAACAATCAGAAAATGAGTAGAATTACAAATATTTCTCTGTACCAAAAAAAGTGGATTACTATTGGGTTCGTCACTAAGTATGCTTGAGGCTATTACGAGGCTGTTACCTTAGTCGATAAAACGCGAACGAGACTTTTACCAGCGTCCAAGTAGGCTACCTTGAATCCAAACGGTAAAACAGAAGTCTTGGTGAGCGTAGAAAGTATATTCTACAAACACCCAGCAATCACAATGCACAATCAAGCATACAACTCTCGTTTATTTATACATCATAGAAACGTCCTTGAGACAGTTAAGAAAACAGAATACTAGAATACACGGCAGCCAATCACAGCCATGGATTTTCCTGGTGGGAAATGAAATCTCAATGTCAACTGATCAGCCCATGCTGGCAAACGTGAAAACCAAAATAAGGCATTTATCAAGCGAGTTTTGGGGATCTAACATCCCCAACGATTAATACTTGATAGAGTTAAGTTGCTTTAAAATAATCAAACGATCAATGTTAAACTATTCTTAGAAACTTGGAATCATTAGACAACTGTAACTCATCGGCAGTGAGCATCCATGGCCCTCGCTTGTGGGAATCAGGATATTCGGTCTTCTGTGCGAACTCTTGACCTTCAAAACCATAGAATCGGCATCAAACGATGTTAATGTCTAAGTTTGATCAATCTACGGTCTTGTGCAACCTGATCCACTGTCTTCTGTAAATACTGCTTCATACCCGAAAAGGGTTGAACTACACTAGTCACGATTTCTCACTAGAACGTCTTGACGAGGGTCATAGATAGTCACTGATGATGAGTCCCATACAAGGACAAAACGTACGTTCATTGATTCAAGGTTTCTAATAGTAGTTTAACATTGATCGATTCATGATTTAAAAGTCACTCAACAATCTCTATAACCCTATACTTGGAATTAACTTCATACATATATTATTCATGAGATCAAAATTTATATAAAATAAGGAAATGAGAATAAGAAATGCTATTGTGTTTATCTGTTAACTTGAGCGAGAAAATCAGTATTTTATGATAATATAACCTGAGATTATCTGATAATTGTCACATTAACTTCAATTCTTGATCATATAAGTTATGTCAGTTAGAATATCTTCATTCAACTACTTCTGTATGATGTAAAGCTGTCCAAAACGATAATAGCTGATTGTAGTATCGACAAAATGGATGAGTGTATGTAAGCATTTCAGATCATTTTAATTAAAATATTTAACATTTCATCTAAAATCAGAGAAGCTACCTTAAAAAGTTGTTCCTTATTTATTAGATATGCGCAATTACAATACTATCAGTCATCTATTCATGATTCTGTATATTCTTTTTTTCTTTATATTTTAAAAATTGAAGGCACTAATTGTTGTTTCTTATTTAGACAGTTAACAGAAGAACAGTAAAATGTTTGCCGATTGTACATAGATTTAGTTGTAAACAGTTGAAAGTACAAATATTTGATAATGTAATTTGATGAAAGGAATTTGTGGAGGTTGTATTAGTTTTGTAATTGAAATCACGAATCGACCCTAACTAGAGCACCATTAGACACCTGAAAGGATTAGAAGGCTGTTTCTTCCTAGAATGGAACTCATCAACAATGTACATCCAAGAATCCTGCCCGCGGAAATTAAACCCAGAACCTTCGGTCTCGGTCGTGTACGCTTAAACTCTAGTCTACTGAGCCGGTATCCAGTGGTGTTAATACCTAAATTCAATTAATCCATGATGTTACACAACCTTCACGGATTGCTTCCAGCAGATGACTGTGTCCCACCCGACATGGGTGAACTCCGATGGTCATACTTCTCACTAGAACTCCCCGAATTCATCCTGAAGGAAGTCACTAGGACAAAACGGCTGTTCATTGCTTCCACACTTTGAATAGTTATCTAGCTAAGATCACTGCAACATTTCAACTACGAATATATAATGTTAGTACATTTTATAGCCTAGAACCATGATAAGCAAACACTTTATTTTGATTTTGTATTAACTAAACAGTAAAAAGCCTATTAAATTATTATTTACCGATTTATTATACTAACTTTCTATTTTTGATGGTCTGTCTCGATATTTCAAAGCTTCTCATCGAATACTCTTGAATTTAATGACAATCATTTACAAAATAATAATTCAATCAGGCGCAACAAATTAACTATTTTCAATTTGGATGGTTATAATGATCAATTATTAATTAGTGTATTAGCACGTCTATGTATTTCCAATAGTGTGGAATTAAAATCCAAATCATTACAACTTCTGTTTCGACATTTTGGTCAACAAGAAGAATTAATCAGTAGATTGAAACAGGTTAGTGAGTAAGAAACAGTTAATTTTCTTTAATGATTCAACGTTTAATTTCATGGAATGTCAAGACAGTTCTATTGTATGGAGCGGAAACATGGAGAACAACTACGAAAGGCATCATCCAGAAGATACAAGTATTTATGAACAGTTGTCTACGCGAAATACTTCGGATTCGTTGACCAAACACCATCAGCAACAACGTACTGTGGGAGAGAACAAACCAGATTCAAGTGGAGGAGGAAATCAGGAAGAAGCGGTGGAGTTGGTGGATAGGACACACACTACGAACAGCACCTAACTGCATCACGAGACAAGCCCTCACATGGAACCCTCAAGGCAAAGGGAAAAGAGAAAGGCCAAGGAACACATTACGCCGAGAAATAGAGAAAGATATGAGAGGAATGAACAAACATTGGACAGAACTTGAGACGGAAGCCCAGGACAGAGTTGGTTGGAGGAAACTGGTGGGCGGCGTATGCTCCATTGGGGGTAACAGGCGTAAGTAAGTAAGTAAGTAAGTAAGTAAGTAATTTCATGGAAAGCTTAGTCAATGTTACTTACTCACTTAATTAATTACGCTTGTTACTACCAATAGAGTATATATAGGCCGTCGACCATGCATTCTTCAATTTACTCTGTCCTGATGAGCCATCCTTTCCAGTCCCACCTAGGTGACATTCATTCTTTTCATGTCTCTCTCCAATCCGAACTTACTGCTGGGGGGTAATCTTGAATTCAGCCAATGTAGAACTTGTCAAACATGTATAATTGTTTCGTATGTCTTGTTTTTACTTGAATTAATGTGTTATTATGGATAGTTACTTCAGCAGTTATGGATTTTATGAAGGTTTTTCAGTTCTCTCAAATAAGTAATGCTTTTTGTTATGTTCAGATGTTCCAATCAGTCATGATTGTGATTGTCTATAGAATAACTACCAAATATTTCTCTTTAAAAGAGAGTTTATGATTTTCATTGGGGAGTTTTGAGGATTGTGAAGTCTCACTGAAATAATCAATACTAGTGATTGTTAGGTTGCCATCAGAAACCTGGAAGCACTGAACGGTCGTTTCGTACTAGTTTAAGACTCATCAGCAATGCGCGCCCACAATCCATAGAACCAAAATCGAACTCAGTTTTTTCGATCGCCAGCGTGACCACTGAGCCGGCATCCAAATTTAAACAGGTTTATAGTCGATTAAATGATTTCTGACTGGATTTCTCAAAAGGTTCTCTCTTTGATTGATCATGTTATATTCAGGATCAAATGTGAAACTATCTATTTTAGGAGATGTTTAAATATTGTCAAATGTGTGACTCAGTAAAAGTATATTATTATTGTATATGTAATATGCACAAGCTGTTTTAAAAATTTAGATGTGTAGAATGTTGCTCTAACTAGTAGGTGATTACTGATCGGGAAAGATAAAACCATTTAGGAAGCTGATCTTATGTTAGTCAATCGAATGTGAAGTATAATATGTGGGTGAGTAATTACAGTTTTATCATTACACAGGATTTTAAATAAGCTAGGTATAAAGATAAAGGTTAATAGCGCTAAACTATGTGTAATTGTGTATACAATGTGATTTGTGCAAATAAAAATTATAAAGCCAACCGTATCATACTAGGGGTTAGTGATTGTCCAGACTTAGGGGGTAAGTAAATGAAACGTTGATAACTGAAGCGAAAATTCACTGGATTCAAGTCTCACTGTGAATATCAACACTGGAGTAAAGATGCATCCAGGTAATCAGTAACGTTTAGGATGAAGCACACTTCCTGGATTCTGTTGTGAGCCCCTTTACGGATATAGTAGAGTTAGCTGTCTAGAAATAAGAAAACATTATATCTACAACGTACTTTTGCAGTATACAAATTATAGAATGTAATGTAATATATGTACCAGTAGAAGGAGATTGTAAAGATCGAATAGTTTTCAGTTTACATGACGAACTTATCTTAGCCAGACTACTACTAGAAGCCTAAGAACACTAGTGGTGCATATCCACGATCATGCATCCGTAGATAGAACACACAAGACCTATATTTTCGCGCGAACTCTTAACTCTTATATCAATGAGCAGAAGGCACTCAACGATGTCAGTGTTTAGTTTTAATCTGTTCACGATGTTGCGCAACTCTTGTTCATTGCTAGCGTTGTACAACTGTCTCGCACGCCACATGGAATAAATCCCCTCTGGTTGATAAAAAGTAACTTTTTTTAGGTTTTCTCTTTGTTTAGAATCAACTGCTCTTTCTCATATTGTTTTTTTTTCATTTAAAATATTTAGGTTCAACTTTTAGTATCCAATAAAGGAATATGCATATATCGTCAACTAAAGCATCAATTAGATACATTGCGTGGTTTAATTGAAAAATCTGAATTATGGATGCATGACAAGAACTGTATGATCAAGTCAAACAATAATAATAATACTGTTCAAGTAATAACTTATATAATATATTCTCTGTTGTTTCTTATGGTTAATCTATTTTTTTCAGATACTACATAATTTCATTATTTAAACATATCGTTGGTTCTATCAGGGAAAGTTTTACGCCTGCATGTAAACACGTCAACTTGATATACTTGAACTATTGCGGGTTTACCTTTGTCGGAAACGCGAGAGTGAGGATCGAGGATCCGGCGACACGACATGCTACTCAAATCTGATTATCCCAACCCTCATATTCAGTGAAAATAAGAAGACCTGATATGAAGTAGAATCTGTATCCTACATGCATCCAGAAACTATGAGGTCCCAATCCAGAAGAGAATCAGGATCTCGGACTAGGGATCCGTGACCGGGTCCTGGTCCTGTTCGTGGTCATAAAACGTTATACATAATGCGTATTTATACATTTTGGTCGAATAGGAAACAGCATCGAAGTCTGTGACATTGACAGTTAAGACGACCAATAGGAAGCAACATTTGAAGTGACATTGATAGTCAGGACAACCAATAAGAAACAACATTGCAGTATGTGACATTGATATCTAGGACTACCATAAAATTGACCACTAGTAATTCTCTTAGGATACTGGATGAATATCCTAACAGAAAGTCAAATCTGCATGTCAGTCAGTCAGTAAGCTACAGTGTAGAACTTCGGAAGTACATACGTACATACGTGTACATCAGTTCTAGTTGTCAAAACACATTAGCGCACAGAGATCGAATCCTCAATTCAAATCCCGTAATAGTAGTAGTAGAGGTAGTTGAAATATTAGCGGTTAATGAAAAAGATTAGTGACTGAATATGTCGTTCGAGATGTATATCTTGGGGATGTTAGATCCCCAAAACTCGCTTGATAAATGCCTTATTTTGGTTTTCACGTTTACGAGCATGGGCTGATCAGTTGACCTTGTGATTTCATTTCTCACCAGGAAAATCCATGGCTGTGATTGGCTGCTGTGTATTTTAGTGTGTTATTTTCTTAACTGTCCCAAGGATGTTTTTGTGATGTATAAATAAACGAGAGTTGTATGCTTGATTGTGCATTGTGATTGCTGGGTGTTTGTAGAATATACTTTCTACGCTACATCAAGACTTTTCATCAGTCAACAGATCATGGTAGCCTACCTGGACGCTGGTTCATTGTCTCGTTAGCGTTTATCGACTACGGTGACCTCGTAATAGCCTCAAGCATACTTAGTGACGAACGTAACAGTATACTCCAGAGGAATCAATTTAAAATAAATAGATGGATAGAGAGAGAAAAAACTGGTCATGAGGAATTTAAAAGTTTAGAATTTGAGAGAAGACAAATAATGGATGAATATGGGCCATTGCAAACGATTTTAAGCCATGTCATTCAAGGTCTATTAATCATCGGTTACTATCAAATATAATATATAATGAGATCGTCCATACACACATATATATATATATATATATATATATATATATATATATATATTCATACGGTGTAGTACATTCTCTAGACAACACATGTTGACTACTATATCTGTAACATTGGCGTAAATTTTTCCAGTCAAGTCTATAATTTCATCCATGCCAATATTGATGTGTACTTTTAAGATAATAATATTGATGACGTAAGATGTGTTACAGATTGTAATTAGAACAAAATGCCAGAAAAATCTCCTATCCATACAATGACGTAAAAGAGTAAACCAATTTATGTAAATAAAATTGTGATACATATATATGTTTTATTTTTACAATGTTGTTAGCTTTGATTTAGAGGAAATCAATAGTATTTTAGGTGTTTGTCAATACACTTTTTTCTGTATATGATACGCTTTATATAACAAATAAACTATGAGTTCAACTTTTAACCCTGCTTCATCAATTAAGGTGGTTGGGAACGATGTGTTACGGCTGCCCAACTACCGACTACCTTGGTGGGCGATGCCATTTGAAGTAGGAGTAGACTCGGAGAAATCTAGGGGCGGTCAAGTCAAGATATGGTACTAGTTTGTGAATTCATCGGAAAATGGATGGAGCCATGCTGAGAAGACTGAGGCAGGCTCAATAGATTGTATTTGGCAAATTTACACTCTTAGTCAATTAAAAACGATAACATTACATTGAACACTCCATTTGCACACCATCTTTGAGTCCTGACTTCCAACGCTCCAGCCTTCCTCCATTCCTGCTGTTGCTTCCTTTACTTCCTGTCGGTGCTCTAAATCTTTCTTGCTTTTGCTCTATTTGCTTTCCGTTTTCCTCTTCTGACCGTAAGACATCTTCTTTCACGTCCATTCTTATACTACTTATATCGTTCGTATAAGTAGCACACACCACAATGCTAGTAGATGTAGACTGAGTTGGTGGGCCTCGCATAATCAGTGTTTTTAGGGACTTTGAGTGATACTAACTGAAAATTGTTTGCAGTGAAGCAAGCCTATCTATTCATTGTCATCTTTCCCTGAAATTCTAAACTTTTGAATTCCTCATGTCCCCATCCTGTAGAAAAGAAACTGGCTAAAAAAATGCTAACAAGAAAAAATAATTCAAACCATTTAAACTCTGCTCTGGGAGTTAGGAGGTGTTCATGTAGAAGAGTTATGACTTCTTGTGATTAAAGCCGAGTTCCTTTGGAAGTCATGAGGCCGACGCCCCTTCCCACAACTAGATCCCTTCCATGGTGTGGGAAGCCGAGAAGTAACATTCGCCCTCATATCTGCAAAAGCACATGAGACCAAATCGGTCAGAATCAAACGCTTTCTTCACCAGCTAATCACTCTCTCTCTCTTTCGTAATAGTTTATTTAACCGATTTATAATTCATCCAGTCATATCAGTCAGTAAGTCAGATGCAACGTAGAGCTTCGTATGTAATTACATCAGATCATGTTGCCATACCACATCAGTACACAGATATAATTGTCAATTCAAATCCCATAGTGAGAGAGATAATAGGAGTACTACTGGTAATGGAGAAGATTAGGGTTCCAAGATATTATTGAAGAAGTATAATTCAGTGAGAAAAGTTTAAAAAGTAAAAACTAGAGGTGTTGAAGGACCAAGAAGATTATGATTTGAGAGAACACAAAGAATAAATGCACCGAAGCCATTGCGAACGATTTTGAGCCATGTCATTCAAGGTCTCTAACCATCGATTATTATCATCTCGCGCACCCCAACCGGGTAGCCTACATCTACCAACATGACTCAATCCACTTGTCAACGACTTTATGCATTTCTGCCATGATTTGGTCTGGCCGCCCCTAACTTTCTTCCAACCTACTCCTACACTACAAAACAAAGCTCGTCGAGGCAGTCGGTGGTTGCGCATACGCAACACATGTCCCAACCACCTCATCCAGTCATATCTTCGGTCCTTAATCTTTTCTACTAATACCGTTGCTACTTGGATCACTCTGAGATTTGGTTTGAAAATTTCATCTATCTATGGTGATAAGATATGGTAGTTAGGAATGATGTATACATGTGCATCAAGTTCTGTGTTGATACTGACTGACTGACTGACTGATTGTCAACTGTATGATTTAAAAGTTGTAGTAAAACCAACAAGATTATACTTGTCATGCAAAAGATGACCAGTGTATTTTGTTATTGATAAATACTGTTTGAATATATAAATTAATATGGAAAAAAAACTAAATTGAAATATTTTTTCAATTTTTTTTAAAAATAATTTTCGACAGATTCACAATGAATGTAATTGTATGAAAAATTATGCATTGGTTAAAGATGTAAGTTAAATTGTGTAAATAATTTCATCTCATGTCAACTTTAATATAATGACAATCACAATGTGAATATTGCCTTTCATGATTGAATTAACCTCCCGTTAACTTCAAATATATTGAATTGAGTGCCTAGATACCATTCGGAACAGTATATTCGACCAGTAGCTCAAGAGATGTAGCCAGAATATCTAAAATTTCCATATTGATCAGTTTCAAAAATAAGTGTTCATTACTTTAGTTACTAACGTCTGTTACATCTTGTGGAGCAGAGGCCGGTGACCAGTATTCTTCAACCAGTTCCGTTCCAAAGTCTGCATTCTAGTTGTTCATCAATGCTATTGATGGTGTCTGGTAAGCGAAAACTGAAAATCTGGCGTGGACAACTGTTAATAAATACATGTACCTTGTAGATGGTGGTTTTTGTAGTTCTTCAAGTTTCCTCTCCATTAAATAGAACTGTTTTGACGTTCGTATTCAAAATTGTGACTATTGTGTCGGTTGATAGTTGTTTAGAGTTCCATATGTTCTTCAGTTGTAGAAATATTGTGCTTATTTGTCAATCCGTGCATTCACATCTACCTCGCTCATCACTGATGCTGCCCGGATATGTAAAGGTTTCTACTCCCTCCAAAGCTTCTCTATCAAGCGTGATTTGGTTGGTGTATGTTGTGTTGTGTCGGAGGATCATGCCTTTTCCTTTATGTATGTTGAGACCTGTTGTAGATGAGGCTGCTCCTATACTTGTAGTCTTCCCTTGCATTTGTTGTTGTGTGTGATATAGAAGAGCTAGGTTATCTGAGAAGTCAAAATCGTCCATCTGCATCCGAGCTTTTCACTGTCTCCTGTGACACTCACGTCATATACTACATATAAGTAGCTCTCACCACATATATATATATATATATATATATATATATATATGTTATATATATATGTATATATATATATATCTTTGCGCAAAGACTTGCCCAAAATCCAGGGTTACTTTGTTGAAAGGTATCATGAAGTACAAGTTTTATGGAAGGCTGCAGTCATTGGTAGAAGCTGCTCAGAAAAGGATATGATCTAGTTATAGATGACATCTAATTCCCCTACAATCCCAAACACAAAACTACATGGTTTCATCGGAGAAAAGCCTAGATGTTTAATACACCAACCAACTTGTTTAATTCATATTGATTTCGTTTCGGTACAGTTTCAATGTACTATAGTTGAAGTACCTTTGTAATGTTCACATGTTCTGTTTCTTTTTCCTTTTAAATATGTTTATTCCTTCTTCTGGTTATAATTGATTCCACCTTAAATTTTCCCTTGTTTAAATGTAGATACTTAATCATATTATATCATTGTGTCAATTAGAACAAAATGATTTATCACCATCGAACATTGAACAAGTTGAAAATGATGTTATAAATACTATTAGTACTGAAATCAATATACAAATCAACAGTAAACTACTTAAAACGATGAATAAATTATCATCCATATCATCGTCATCATCATCATTTACTTTTGAACAAATACAACAACTTTTACGTCATTTAAGTGTGCATACCATTTTGAAAGAATTATTGAATATACAATTTAAAGTGAGTTTTAAAATAAGGAATATGCATCTATGCCAATAATAATAATTATAATGATAATAATATACATGTTGGGGACGTTATATCCGCCAGAAATCACTTGGAAAAGGTCCTAATTTTGGAATTTTTTATGTTTTCGCTCTCGAATTGCTTAGTTGACCTTTGGCTTACATTCCCTACTCGGAAAATCCTTGACTTTAGATTGGTTGATGGATTATTTAAGTACGCATTTTTGTGGTTCTCCCAAGGACGTTTCTCTTATGTATAAATAAGCTGATTTGTATGCTTGTTAACCTCGTATTTTTTCGGTGCTTGTAGATTACACTTTCTACGCCTTATCAAGACCTCTTGATATAGTTAGCCGGGCCGGAGACGAACGGATTAGAATAGCCTATCGTGTCAATGCATCGTTTATCTGCTCTCCGTTTACTGAGTAAGGTCACCTCGTAATTTATTCAGGGCAAGTGTACAAAGTTAACACATGCTTATTCAAATTATGAAACAATCATTGTCTAGTTTATATTGAATAGATCGAATGTCGCTAGCAGTAGAATTCAGGACAGGCGTTTTGACCAATTCGGAACTCGTCAGCTAGATGTACCTGCATTTCCATGGTAATGGTCAGGCGATGACTCAGTTTCAGTACCGTTTACTTTAAAAACTACTGCGTTGTCCACTGATTCAACAGCTAACTGGAAAACGCGTTTTCTCGATTTAACCTCTAGCCACATTCTATTTATTCTATATAACATTGTGTCATAATGGCTTGTGGTGGACCAATCAATACATTATTTCAAAATATTAACAAAGTTATCGAATACCAGTAAATGTATATTGAAATATATCAGTTAAATGTGATAAATACAATAAAAATATAAGGACGTTACTTTATGTAGCGACTTGTGCGTGTTCGATTGTGATTGGTCATATAGTTCCACAATTATAGAAATGTTAGTGTTACAATTGTAGAAATTGTTCGTAGAGTAGCATATGCATGTGACTGCAGTCTATAAAGTAGATAATATATGTATTAAACTCCGGATTGCATTCTAGTGAGAAATTGAGAACACGAGATATGGGTATAAAGTGTATTTGATAGTATGTGGCAGTGGTTGCCGTGCTGTATGTACAGTGAACGGAAAATGGAAGCAGTAAGTGCGCCTGATATATTTAAGGACACACACTTAAACAAAATGTACAACAATTTCATAGTGAATGTACAAGCTGTGAAAATTAACAAAGTAAATACAAATAGTATCAAAAACTATTTACAAAATAAGTTTGTCATGCCATCTCCATAGGCTGTATCAAGGCAGTCAGTATAGGATGCTCAACTCAGACTCATTCAATTTCAGTAAAAAATACCCACAGCCAGATAATCTAAACCATTTCAAATTGAATTAAATCATTATTTACTTTTATTGAAATCATGAAGTGATTAATGTTGGACCAATATTAGAAACCTGGAAGCACTGGATAGCCAATTTCATCCTAATATGGATTTCATCAGCAACAGTGCGCATCCATGACACCCGTTAGCAGTAATCAAATCAAGAACCTTCCGTTTCGTGCGCAAACGCTTAACCTTATAGATGTCCCTGTCGAAGGACAATGAACACGTCTGTAAACCAATTGAGTTTGGATCCCGAGCGTTATCCAAAGTCTCTTATCAGAAAGAAGAAGACAGGATAGACTAGATGAAACAGGTGTGTTTTCTGGTGATTTCGTGGTATCGAAGAAACACCGAAACATGCGATAGAAATGAGCGAGGGTACAGAGCGACCAAAGTAAGATGGCAACCGGAAAGAAGCGATATGCGTAACCATAGTGTAAAACCAGTATATACATATTAAGCACAAAGGTCACTGCGTAAAACGAAAGTAAGGGTAAACAAATATTCGGTAAAACGTTCAATGGTAAATTTAGTTATCGTAATGAATGGTGCTATTTAACCAATCGTGTTTTTCTTCGTAAAAGTAAGATCACTACAACCTCTTGACTAATGAGACGGTCTCCCACGGTGTTGATATCTAACTTCAATCAATCCACCATATTGCCTGACCTCATCCATTGTTTTTGATGGTTAACTACTCCACATTCGGCACGGTTGGATTCATGATTTCAATGAAACTCAACAGTTTCCACAACCTTAAAACGTGTGGAAATTCCCTGAGTTGTGTCTAACGAGTTCAACCGTGTCGGATGTGAGGCCGTTACCCACCAAAGACAATGGATAAGGTCACACAATTCGGTGGACCGACTGAACTTCAGTAGTAGTAGTAGTAGTATTAGTAGTAGTAGTTTTATTTCATATTTTTTCGCATTTTGATATGGTACAAGTTTCAAATGTTTACATTTATCATAAACTTATCACATTTTTTTCATGTTTCTTATTTGATTTTTTTCTTTTTAAAACAAAATTAGTGTACCAATATGATATTCAATGAAATTATTCATTTGACCAAATATATTTTATGCTTATTTTGTTATAACAATGAAATCAATCAAAAATTATTATATCCATATTTAAATAAATTTATTACAATTGAAGTAAGTTCATGTGAGTTTATTTATTAATAATAATAATTATTATTATTTTGGCTTTGAATTTTATTGCAATCATGAACAACTGATTAATGTACGGCCAAGACTGGAAATTTGGAAGCACTGGAAGGCTGTTTCATGCTAGTATCAGACTCTTCAGTGATATGCATCCGTGATTGGTTTGTGGCTTCAATGAAACACTCAACAATCTTTGTAACTCTATGCTGACAGTTGTCATCTGCTCATCAGTAACTAGCTTTACGAAGAAATTCTCGGAGTTCTGTAGTGAAGTTATGACCAATAGCGTTCAACCGACTGGAGAGTGAGGCAGTTGCCCATCAGAGACAGTGATGTGTGAAGGTTGCGTAACAGCATTGGTTGATTAAAGCTTGATACTACCAATGTTGGATGCCGACTCAGTGGTCCGAAATTCGATTCCTGCTTGTGGGTGCATGGATGCATTACGCTATTAATGATTCCAATACTAGGGCTAAACGGTTATCCAGTACTTTCAGGTTTCCATTACTGATCTAACATTGATCATCCCATGATTTCAACGAACATTTGTGTTTACATACCTACTTTTTTGTGCTATTGTTGATTTTAACGTCACTTGACTCAAATAACAAATACCGATTTATGTACATTGATTTGAGTCAAATTTCCATTGTATACGGAATAAAGATGTGAATTGGTTACTCGATCCAAATTAGCTGGAAAATATTTCAAAACTTATAAGTCAATCACTCAGTCGCAAGCAATGTAGAACATCGAACAGTCGTATTAGTTCAGGCTACTATACTATATCAACACGTGTTGGAGTAGCAAAAGTAGTAACATTATTAATGGCTGTATAAGCATACTATGCCTAGATAGTATAGTTTCAAAAGTGAACATAATTTCTCGGATCAAAATGATAAGAGAAGACTCAGGATCAATGTATCTGCTAAAATTCTAACTATTTTTAGTCCGCGTCAAACAGTGTTTCTTCAGATCACTCATTGAAATAATCACATGCACTCCAGCCATGTAGTCTACTTAAACCAACATAACTCGGTCAATAACTTCATAGACTGATGTCATGTCTTATTTCATCTCACTTATCTCGTCACTTTCAACGTTTGGATGAAAGCTGAGCTTGAATGTATTTCCATATGTCAGAATGTAAAATTTCATTCTGAGAAATTAATTGGCAACCCATTGTTTCAGCCGAGAATAACAAAGTTTATGAAATTTGATTAAGGCATACAGTATTTCTGTAACTATATAAAATTCCTTATAACATAAATGGTCTACAGTATACACCCTTACTGAATTCGAACTCAAAATCTACAAGTGTTTAAATGTGCGCGTTTATATAAAATTTCACCACTTCATCATGTTCATACTTATTATTTTCAATATAATGTCATTATTCAAGAGTTGTTTTTATTCTTTAAATGGGAAAAATTTACATTTTCAATAGGATATTTTAAATGAGTAGTTTGACATATTGGTTTAGATTGTATGAATTCACATAAATTTTTATTTAAAGTGTTGATATTATGAAGTGCAATCATATTAGGAGGAAGATAGTTCTTCATCGATGGTGTCTGGTTATTTTTGAGGTTTATCATAAATTTACACATTCGAAATCATGAATAAATCATTGTTAGACCACTATTAGAAACCTAGAAGCACTGGACGGCCGTTTCGTCCTGGTATAGGACTCATCACGGGCAGTGTTCATTGACCGTAGTTGGAAATGTAGGCTAATGTGTGTCAATTTAACTGTTTAGAAGTTATGCGCTGAACAGGATACTTGGAAATCCCAAATGAGTTAATGAGCGTCTCAAACTGGGAAGACAGACATTAGGGACGAAACAGCTGTTCGTTGTTCTTCACTAGAGGTCATGTTAGTTTGTGTTGTAAATTGTAAGTCGATCATCTTTACAAGAATCTTAAGAAATGATTGTCTTTTTAAAATGTCACATAAATTCTTCTTCTGGAACTATTTATATTCAGTCGAATCTTATTCTTGGACATGGTTCAAAACCGTTTGCGATGGCGCAGGTGCCTCCATTCTTTGTGTTCTCCCAAATTCTAATCCTTTAGATTATTCATCACATTTATCTTTCCGTTTTTAGGTTTATTTCACTAGATTAAACTTCTTGAATATTATCTTTGAACCAGAATCTCTCCGATTACTACTCATACTTCTACTATCTACACTGCTATGAGATTTGAATTGAAAATTGCATCTCTGTGTGCTAATTTGTTATGGCAACTTGAACTGATGTACGTACGTACGAAGTTCTACGTTGTAAATGAATGACTGACACTTTGTTTTAAGTCTATGGAAATGACATTTTAAATGTTTAACATCACTAATAAATAACATCATCTTATACAGTAATTTACTTATTTCATGATATTTTTTTTTGTCAAAGGTTGATGATGCTGAAGTATGTTTATGGATTTTTAAAAATAACACAGAACTATGCATGATGATTGATCGTTCAATGATTAGAAAATTTTGTTTTCTACTTCAAACCACATGTCCTTGCGATCATTGGCTTGATGTATTGATTACCATTGTGAAACCAAATAATGAAATATTAAAACCAATACAAGAAATGATTTCAAATGAGGTAAGTTAAAATGAAAAGAAAACCGAATAATTCTTTTTATAGGGAAGTGATGATTCATGGCTAGCAGGGATATTCATAATAGGGGTTTTATGATTATTTTCGTTGGCACTGAATACAATTGCGACCAAGTGTTTACTAAGATTTCAACTTTATATGGCGATACGTTTTTTTTCTGAGCTGCTTAGCCTAGATATCCACTAGCTTGTGTAATGAGAGTGATATAATATTATTCATAGGACCATTGTTAACTTCAATTAACAATACTCAGTGAATCGTGAGGTTCTTTGGCAGTGTCTGTCATTGAAAGGCGTACCAAAGAAGTACATTAACCTTAAACATGCTCTCTACTCGCACGCCACTGGTCGAGTGAGAGCCTATGGCGAGCTTTCATCTGAATTCTCTACATCAAGTGGTGTCCGTCAGGGATGACCACCCTAAGCAACAATGCAAGCATCTTCGGGATGCGGTTATCCCCCTCGAAATGCAAAATGTTGCTTCAAGGTTGGGTTTCATCAGTACCTGAACTAGTGATAGGAAGTGAAGTAGTCAAACGTGTAGACCACTTCACTTATCTTGGGAGTCTCAGCAGTGCTGATGGCCTGGTGACTGACGAAATCTCAGCTCGGATTCAGAAGGCTCGATTGGCTTTTGCCAACCTGCGAGATATCCATTTGCTGACTAAAGGATGAGTGTACTGTGCAGCAGTTCGTTCCTTCCTACTTTACGGATGTGAGTCTTGGCCGTTAAGAGTAGAGGACTTCCGTGGGTTACTAGTCTTCGATCACCGATGTCTCCGAAGCATTGCTCGTATATCCTGGGACAACCGTATAAGCAATGCTGTCGTTAGAAAATGAGTTCTAGGTAGGGACGTCAAATCAATAGATGAAGTAATGAAACTTCATCAGTTGAGGTGGTTGGGACATGTGTTACGTATAGCTAACCGCCGACTGCCTCGACGAGCTATGTTTTGCAGTGTAGGAGTAGACTGGAAGAAAGCTGGGGGCGGCCAAGCCAAAACATGGTGGAAATCCATGAAGTCACTGACAAATGGACTGAGTCATGTTGGTAGATGTAGACTACCTGGTTGGGGTCCGCTAGATGATATTATGCGATTGTTAGAGACCCTGAATGACATGGCTCAAAATCTTTTGCAATAGCGCAGGTGCATCGACTCTTTGTGTTCTCTCTAATTCTAACCTTTTGCATTGCTCATAATCTCCACCTTTTTCTCCTTCTAAATTTATCTTACTGAATAATACTTCTCGAATCATATCTTTGCTCCCTAATCTTCTCCACTGCTGCTAATAATTCTACTATCGCTATCACTCTTGGATTTGAATTAACAGTTGCGTCTCTGTGCTGACGTGGTATGGCAACCTGAACTGATGTACTTATTTACGAAGTTCTGCGTTGTATCTGTCTGTCTGCCTGTTAATTTCAATGACTTTAATGATATAGTTTGCTAAAGAATAAACATACAATTTTCTGTTTATTGCTGATTTCAATTCATAATTCACTGTGCGTAATTACGTGTATTTGTGTTGAATAAATGTATTGTCTAGTGTTTATTCCAGTTCTTTGTTAATACTTGGGAATCGGATATCGGGAATATCGATCGATGATTTAGTAAACCTGTATGAAATTCAGTTATCAGTCATCTGATCATATAACAGTGGTCTAACATGGTAAACACAACATATTTTTAATTCGGAGGAAGTATTGATATGACCTGAAAGCACTTTTCTAAAGTTATCAGTATCAGTCAGTCATTCAGTTACAACATAGAACTTCGTATGTACTTACATCAATTCAAGTTGCCATACCACAGTAGCACACAGAGTTCGAACTGTCAGTTCAAATTCTATAGCGGTAGAGGGTGTAGCAGTATTCGAGAATTATATCCCAGAAGAATCATTTTTAAGAAAAACAGAGAGAGAAAAATCTGTCATGAGGAATTCAGAAGACTAGAAGTTGAGAGAAAACAAAGGATGGATGTACCTGCGTTATTGCAAACGATCTTGAGCCTTGTCATTCAAAGTCTCTAACTGTCGGTTATTTTCTTCTCGTGAACTCCAACCAGGGAGTCTACATCTACCAACTTTGACTTACATCACTTGTCAGTAACTTTATGGATTTGTGTCATGTTTTGGTTTGGCCGCCTGTAGCTTTCCTCCAGCCTACCCCTACACCGAGCATCATCGCTTATCGGGGTAGTCGACAGTTGGGCACCTCAACTGATGAAGTTTCATCACTATTTCATCTACTGATCTGCCATCCTTAACTTGTGCCCTTTTCTGAACAACAACAACAACAATGCTTACCTGTAAAAAGGGCGGCCAAACCAAAACATGGCACAAATCCATGAAGTCATCGACGAGTGGACTTAGCCATGTCGGTAATTGTCGACTACCTGGTTGGGGTCCGCGAGATGATAATAATCGATGGTTAGATACCTTCAACGTCATGGCTCAAAATCGTTCGCAATGGCTTCGGTGCATTTATTCTTTGTGTTCTCTCAAATCCTAATCTTCTGGATTCTTCAACAACTCTAGTTTTGACTTTCTAAACTTTTCTCACTGAATCATACTTCTTGAATAATATCTTCTAATCCTAACTTCTCCGATTACTTCTAATACCTTTACTACCTCTACTACTATTGGATTTGAATTGACAATTATATCTCTGTGCTAATGTGGTATGGCAACATGAACTGATGTACACTTACGTACGAAATTCTACGTTGCATATGACTGACTGACTGACTGACTTACCTGTAACAAAATTATATATATATATTTGAATTATTTCATCGTTACATATTACTATTGTATTTGTTAAAGTTTGCCAAAAAAAAGTGTACCACAACACTAATTATTATAATCTATAATTAGTGTGTGTTTTTTGTAATGATTGTTGTAACAGTTGAACATTTGTGGTTTTGGTGAGGCATTTCAATTTTTTTGGAAGAAGAATGTTTTGTAAGAAATAATAATCATTGCCATACAAGACAAAAAATAAAGACAGTTAGTTCATATTTTTTTAAAATAAATAAATTTGAAAATTTAAAAATTACATTTTTATTATCATGAAAAAAATAATATTTTTCGGTATTTTATAATTAACGAGAATTTTTTTTGCATTACGGGGTTGTGAAGATTGTGAAGTTACACATTGTTTTTGAAACCATAAATCGATCAATGTTAGACACCACCATTGGTAGAAACCTGGACGCACTGGAAGACAGCCGTTTCGTTCTGGTATGGGACTACTGATCAGCAGTGCGCATCCACGACTCCTGATGCACCCCGCAGGATTGGAAACCAGGACCTGCGGTATTGTGTGCGAACTTAACAATCTACACAACCCTGTAATGCAAAATTACCTGTGCTCACTAGTGACTAGCTTCGTGAGGAATCTTCTCCGAGTTCTAGTGGGAAGACGTGACCAGTGAAGTTCAACCTGTTCGGGTGTAGGCAGTGTCTACCGAAGACTGTGTATGAGATTGCGCAACCCTCTTGGATACTGGCTCAGTGGTCTAACGGTTAGGGCGTTCGCGCACAATACCGAAGGTCCTAGGTTCCATTCCTGCGGGGTACAGGAGCCGTGGATGTGCACTGCCACTGAGGAGTCTCATGCCAGGACGTTCAGTGCTCTCAGGTTTCTTCTGATGGTGGTGTCTAACATTGATCGATTCATGGTTTCGAGAATTTCTTTCATTGTACTTTTGTGTATTTTTTTCAAATTTTTTTTCTCTCTTTAAAGCTTTGTTCCATGTTTGATGATCGATTATTTCTAATGAATAGTTTTGCACGTATACACAATCTCCTTGAATCATTGTTATCTACTACTACTACTACTACTGACAACAACAACAACAACAATACTACTGCTACTATTACATTTAAACAAGACTTAATATTCAATGTTAAATTTTTGCATTTACTCAATATACTGCTAATACTACCGGTACCGGTACAACAACAAACAGGAGAGAATGAAATGTTATTGAGAAAAAAATTGTCAAAATGGTTTAAATTTAGGGATTTCATGAAAATTATTTTACATCCAATGATGCAAAGTAATGAATTGTGCGATTTACGACATGTTTACATGGAAATGTTAACGAATTTATGCTGCTGTTCCAGTGTATATTGGAAAAAATATGTAATGTCGTTAGAAGACTATGATGAATCATTTGGATTGTTATGGAAAAAGTTGGCTGATGAATTGGATGAAGTAAGTGAGAATTATGTTTGTTTAATTGTTTGTCTGAATGATATTGTTTCGGATAGAAGTAGGGTTTAGTGAAAGAAATATAACTAAAGCAGTTGCATGAAGTTGAACTAAGCTGTGATTGGGTTTGTAGGTCGTGGGCTATCGACTAAATGATTAGAATTTCATTGTGTTCAAAGGTTAACCTTGTGATAATCAAAGAGTGATCAGTTTAACTAATACAGTGTTTAAGATATTAGCTACAATAGTAGTCTGGCTAACTAGTGCTCGTGTAGAGCAGACTCAAAAGAACCAGGCTGGTTTCAGACTTGGACGTGGCTGTATAGACTAGATATTTACACTTTGGAAGATCCTAGACACACATTAAGACGTCTCACGAGAATTGCATTCTTTGACATGGGAGTGGTATCTGGCTCTGCAGATCATGAGCTTCAATGTGAATCTGTCAGTGAAATGAGTAGCATCAACCTTGTACAGGCTCTCTAGTCGAACATTACTGATCGATTCATAGCTTATGGCGATTCGTCATCGGAACTGATTAACTCAAATGGTGTTCGTTAGGGTTGCCTACTCACTCTATTCTTATTTAAATTTGTCACTGACTTAACTTTAGCAGCTATACTTTTTTCGATTGAGTTTTCAGGAGTTGAACTGTGGTGGTGGTGTTTGGTTCCCAGGGCTGGATATTTTGGTTGAGGAGCTTTCATTGTTTATATGCTGAAAAACATCATCAGCACAAACTTCAGAGAGAAGTGAAGTATTCGAATTTCTCCACATCTATGACCGTAGCTGGTTCTGCTGACCTTAATCTTGATTGGTTGCTGTTGACCTTAACTCTATCGTTGTTTGCACCTTCGTTTTGATTGTATTACCTTTTTGATATGTTTCTTGATCCAATGTCACTGATGATTTTCATGATTGGTTGATAAATTGGGTCAGTGTCGATGTGTGGAGAAATTCGAATGCTTCAGTTCTCTCGGAAGTTTGTGCTGATGAGGTTGTTCGGAAGAACAATGAAAGCTCTACAACCAAAACACCCAGCTTAGAGAACCAAACACCACCACCACAATCATCCACCTGAGCTACAAATCTTCTCCACCAGGAGTTGAACTTTTACCAGGTGATTCACTTGTCTACTTAGAGTATGTCGATGGTATAAGTCTACTTGGTGAAGTTGCTGACAAAATGCTGAGTCTTCTCATCACTTTAACCAACAATGCAAGCATGTTCGGAATGCGGTTTTCCGGCTCGAAATACAGTATGTTGCTTCAGGATTAGGCTGCATCAACACCTGAACTATTGATAGGGTGTGAAGTAATTGAACCTGTTGTCTGCTCCGCCTATCTTGAAGTCTATCTAATCCTGATAACCTAGCTTCTGATGGGATCTCAGCACGGTTAGAGAAGTCTTCGCTGTGGCTTTTGCCAACTTGTGTCACTTATGCATTCAATGAGATATTCGTCTTGTGAATTGATATACGTACATACGTACAAAATTCTACATTATATCTGACTGACTGAATTTGACGATATTGATAAGTAATTACTTACTTACTTACGCCTGTTACCCCCAATGGTGCATAGGCCGCACACCAGTTTTCTCCAACCAACTCTGTCCTGAGCTTCCCTCTGCAGTGCTGTCCAATGTTTGTTCATTCCCCTCATATCTTTCTCTATTTCACAGAGTAATGTATTCATTGGTCTTCCTCTTTTCCTTTTGCCTTGAGGGTTCCATGTGAGGGCCTGTCTCGTGACGCAGTTAGGTGCTTTTCGTAGTGTGTGTCCTATCCACTTCCACCGCTTCTTCCTGATTTCCTCCTCCATTGGAATCTGGTTTGTTTTCTCACACAGTTCGTTGTTGCTGATGGTGTCTGGCCAACGAATACGAAGTATTTTGCGTAGACAATTGTTCATAAACACTTGTATCTTCTGGATGATGGCTTTGGTAGTTCTCCATGTTTCCGCTCCATACAGTAGAACTGTCTTGACATTTGTATTGAAAATCCTGATTTTGGTGTTGATTGATATTTTTTTGGAGTTCCAGATATTTTTCAACTGTAGAAATGCAGCCCTTGCTTTGCCAATCCGTGCTCTCACATCTGCATCGGATCCACCTTGGTTGTTGATGATGCTGCCCAGATATGTAAAGGTGTTAACGTCCTCCAAAGAATCTCCATCAAGAGTGATTTGGTTGGTGCATGTTGTGTTGCATCGGAGAATTTTGCTTTTTCCTTTATGTATGTTGAGACCTACTGCTGCAGATTGATTAGTAGTGAACAAATAAAATTGGATACGTTTGCTAACTAGTTAATTTTTTGTGTAGTTTAAGTGAATGCATAAAGGATAGTTTCCAATCAGAGATCAATATTCATGAGGTACTAAAAAATAGATCTCTGATTGATGAGAAAGTGAAAATACCCATTGGCGATTAGAAGATGCGATTATAATATTTTTTTTACAAACTCACAATAGAATTATAATCTTTGGTTAAACACAGCAATTATGAATCATGGCTTACATGAAAAATCAAAAGGAGATATTTTTAGAATTTTTCAAGCTATCTAATAATATTTGATATTGTTTTACAAGTTACGAGAGTGAGAGAGAGAGAGAGAAGGATACATGAAATTTTCATTTGTTATAATTAATTGATGCCAAAAAAGGGAATATTTGTATTGGTCGTTTATTGATTTATGATGTGAATGCGCGAATCCGCATAGCAAGGTCAGTATTTGTACAATTGAACAACATCTGGAACTCTAAACAACTATCGACAAACACTTAAGTCAGAATTATCAATATAAATGTCAAGACAGTTCTACTGTATGGAGAAGAAAATTGGAAAACCACGAAAACCATCATCCAGAAGATACAAGTATTTATTAACAGTTGTTTACGCAAGGTACTTCGGATTCGTTAGCCAGACACCATCAGCTACAACCTACTATGGGAAAGAACAAACCAGATTCAAGTACAGGGAGAAGTCAGGAAGAAGCACTGGTGGTGGATAGGACACACATGGAGGAAAGCACTCAACTGCGTCACAAGACAAACACTCACTTGGGAACCTCAAGGCCAAAGGAAAAAGAGGAAGGCCAAGGAACACATTACGCCGAGAATCGGAGCGAGACATGAGAATAATGAGCAACATTTGGACAGAACTAGAAAGGAGGACCTTGGACAGAGTAGAATGGAGAGTGATGGTCGGCGGCCAATGCTCCATTGAAAGTAACAGGATTAAGTTGGTAATTAAGACTCATTCTACTCTATTTAGATCAAAAAAAAATTCATACTATGCTTTAATTTTCGCTGAAATTCACCGATAATTCACAAGTTACCTAAAACACTAGGTTAGTTCATTTGTAAATTTTTGAAAGATGATTTGATTTCATAATTTTAATTAAACATATATATCAAATCATCTATCAGTGGACGTTACTTACAAGATAGCTTACAAGTAGGATGCAACACAATGTCACTTGGAAGTAGCTGTCAAAGAGAAGAGTTTCAATAGATCGAATAGTACGACTGTTTGAGATCACACTGTCAAATGGTAATCGATAAGTATCATTGTAAATTGTCTTAAAAAAAATATCAAACGGGATAACAATGAGCATATTCTACACATTTTTCTTTTCAAAGGATATCGTCTGCAATAATTGATCTACTTATATTTTACCAAGTGAATGAATGTAATTTTTGAAATTAGTGATTAGATTATTTACAAAAACGTCTGTGTATCTTATCCTAGTGCTTAATTGATCATTTACAGCACTAAAAAAATACACCATTCATGTTTACAAAATTAATCGAATCAATCACGAATCAATCTTAGCTAGACTGCCATTATAAACGCAATAAGCACTAGATGGTCGTTTCGTCCTAGTTTAAGACTAGTGTGCATCCATGACACCGGTACGCGGGATTTGAAGCAAAAACTTTTAGTCTCACGAATAACATTTCAATCTTAATAAATATAGTAGGACTGTTGAAACCTGGAATATACTATTTTCTAAAATAAGAAAATTTTTTGGCTCTCTCTGTCTAGATTAATCAGACATCTGGATAAAACTTGTTCTATATTTTTGTGTTGATGACGTTAGGTCCCCAGTACTTGCTTGATAAATGCCTTAATTTTGGATTTTATGACTCTGAGCATGGGCTGATCGGTCGACCTTAAGATTACATTTCCCACTAAGAAAATCCTTGGCTGTGATTGATTACTGTGTTATTTTAGTGTGCTATTTTTGTGACTCTCTATGATGTATAAATAAACGCGATTTGTGCTGAGTGTTTGTAGAATACACTTTCTACGCTATATCAAGGCATTTTCGTTAGTCATCCATTGGATCAGGGTAGACTACCTGGACTCTGCTGGTTCATTGTCTGATTCATTCGTTTATCAACTAAGGTGAACTTTGTGGTAGTTTCAAGTATACCTAGTGACTGACGATCATAACATTTTGATACACAGTTCGATAATGAAACAGAGTATATGAAGATATTTAACATTATTACAATCAATATAGCATGTCATTAAAAATGAATCATGAAACTTTTTAATTGTTTTTTTTGTTTCTTCAAGATTTATCTCAATAAAAAATCGAATAATGAGTATAAAATATTTCTTAGAGATTCTATTATTCCATGTGTTATGAAAATATTTTCTAACATTCAATTATTGGAATATCAACAATCACAGGTAAGAAGTTTTGAATTGAAAGTAATTGAACTATTATAGTTTTAGTGCAAATTGTTTTAATTTTATGTTAGTTAAATGTTAGTTTATCGTCTCTACTGTAGCGGTTAAGCGAACCCCCATTTGTGAGATGTTGGTAAGGAGAAGCTAAATACCCATGTAGTTGGATGAGTTTATTTTATGCGATCGTTCACGAAGGCTAACATGAAGATAAAAAGCGGGAAATTGAGGTTAGATGGAGAAGCTTAGTGAGTTAACTCAGTATTTATAGACAGACAAAAATAAGCTAGACATATGGTAAGGGATGTAAGGAATACACACACACACACACGCACACACTGAAATAAAAGCAATTGAGGATATGAGCGGATAGTTGACAGGGTCGAAAGACGTGTGAATAGATTGAGAAGAATAGAGTGATTAGTTTTTTCAAAGTCTACGACAAGTCATGTGAACTCAACATAGTGGTATACACTACATCTACAGCCTTTGACTCATGGGTCTAGTCCACAAGACAATGAAGCAACATCATGTGATGTAGTCTTGTGGTAGCAGGTGACCAATAATAAGTTAATTATTTTTGTTATCTTATCGTCTCTACTTAAGTTCTGTAGCGGTTAAGTGAACCTCGTTTGTGAAATTCTGGTAACGAGAAGCCAAATACCGATTTGGTTGGATCGTTCGCGCAGGCGAACATGAGGATAAAAAGCGGGAAATTGAGGTTAGATGGAGAAGCTTAGTAAGCCAACTTAGTCTGAAGAAACATGACTGAATATTTATAATCAGACAAAAATAAGCTAAACATGGGATGGAAAGATTTGTAAACACTAAACCTGATTTTCTTGGGGAGTCATTTCTAGAGCCTTTGACCCAAGGGTCTAGTCCACAAGGCAATGAAGCAACGTCAGGAGACTTAGTCCCATGATATGAGGTGATCAATAATAGGTTTATAAGCCCGTCAAGACTCTAGAGTTCATGTGAACTATCAGTTTGGAATTAGGGTTTTCAAATTCCTCCTAGGTAGACCCTCTATGCCCATTAACCTGGTCTTAGCCACGGCCAAACATTCGCTTTTCGTCTTTTCAGCTTTGTTAACAACACTTGTACAACGAGAAGGCAGTGAATAGGATTTGTGTGTTGGTAGCTATTCACCCTCGGTCATGTGAAAGCATTTGGATAGGGAAAAAGGACTCTCTCCACTCTCGGCTGTGACAGAGCATTTAGAGGCTAGATTTGATATGATGATGAACAGTAGAAGCAATATTCATATCATTATTTATGTAGTAAGGAATAACTAACAATAAAACTAATAAACGTTTTCATTATTTATAAATTTTTTTTTATTTTTTTAGTTTCATCGAGACGCAAGTCGATATTTAATGCATAAACTAATACAATTGAAAAATGATCCATTATTAGGTACCGTTTCATTTGAATGTTCACAAATGATCATGCGCACTACAAGTAAGCAGTGTTCTCATTATTATTTTAGTTTGTAATAGAAAAAAACATAAAGTTACATTGATAATAATACATATTCATTTGCTGACACTTCATAAAAACGCCGTGCGTGACCTGCCTCAAGCAGTTGTCCCTTCTATTCTGCGGTCACGATCCCAGGTCTCTAAGACCAACACTAATCTATTTTCCTTTTCAGGTTCCTCAAGAAACAACCTTCCACGGTGTTGGCAGCCGGGAAGTGATAACCGCCTTCATACCCGTAACAGCACGCGAGACCAAATTGGTAGAAATCAAATCCTTCCTACACCCCCTACTGCCTCTCTTCTCTCCACAACTAACTCTACTCACATTCCCTTATCTGACTGACTGACTGATTGACAATATCATTGGTTAGTGAATTACATAAATATACATTTGGAGAAAATAGTTTATGAGATGATTGTGGAGAAAATTTGTAGGTCAATCCAACAATCCACAAAATCAACTGCATACAAAGTTTGTTCAAGTGAGCGAAGATACATTGCAGCACATAAGAAGCACTAAAAAGCAAGGAAAAAACATATTGTGACTATTTTCCACACAACTTTATCAAAAAATATCAACCGAAATCATCAACAGAAGCGAAATCACGTACAGGAACCAATAAACGGATCATCCTACCGTACATAAAACACATATCGGAGCATACAGCACGACTACTGAAACTATTTGGAATAGGTGTGGCACACAAACCAACAGAAACACTTCAATCAATCCTATGTAGACCAAAAGACAAAATGACAAATGAAGATAAACCAATTATCATTGACAGGATAAATTGCTCAGACTGGGGAAAACACTACATAGGACAAAGTGGATGGCCTCTTCAGTTTCGTTTACGTGCACACCAATCAGCAGTCAAACGCCGGGACAATTCTTCGGTTATATCAATACACACCGACAATTATGGACATACATTCGATTGGGACAATGTGGAAATACTGAATAGGAGGAGGACAAAGAACACTAGAGAATTTTTAGAAGCTTGACACTCAGGTCAATCTGCAATCAACAAACACGTTGGCATTGACTCATCAACCAATCAGAAAAAGCATAGGTGAAAAAGGATCAAGAAACAGCTCCAAAGGCGGATACAATCAAAATAAAGGTGCAAACAACGACCGGTCAAAAAACAACAGCAACCAATCAAGATCGAGGTTAGCAGAACAAGCTACAGGTCAAACGTGGAGAAATTAGAATGCTTCACTTCTCTCTGAAGTTTGTGCTGATGATGTTGTCCAGAAGAGAAACAATGAAAGCTTCACAACCAAAACACCCAGCTCAGAGAACGAAACATCACCACAAAACAGTTTATTTGCAAAATAAGTATCCGTAATCGTCAGTTCAAATCCAATATTGGTAGAGATCGCAGAAGTATTACTAATAATGGAGAAAATTAGGGTTCGAAGATATTATTCTAGAAGTAGAATCTACTGAAATAAACTTAAAGGATAAAGATAAAGGTGATGAAGAACTCCCAAAGTTAGGATTTGAGAGGACCCAAAGAGTGGATGCACCTGCGCCATTGCAAACGTTTTTGATCCATGTCATTCAGGGTCTCTAACAATCGAATAATATCATCTTGCGGGCCCCAACCAGGTAGTCGACATCCACCGACATGATTAAGTCAGTGACTTCATGGATTTCTGCCATAGTTTGGTCTAGTCGCCCCTAGATTTCTTTCAACCTACTCCTACACCACAAAACATCCCTCGTCAAGGCAGTATGTGGTTGGGCATTCGTAACACATGTCCCAACCACCTCAACTGATCAAGTTTCATTAATTCATCTATTGATTTGCTATCCTTACCTAGTACTCGTATCTTAACGACTTTGAATTAAATCAAATTATTTATTTCACTGACCTAGATTTTCTTACCGGTTTGTAAATCTGACACACTTGTGTGTGTGTGTGTGTGTGTGTAAGCGCTGTTACGTGACAAGCAAAATACACGCACGATTCACCACCAAAAAACGAATACTGAAATTTAATGAAATAGATAATTAATAAGGAAGAAAACCACTTGAATTATATCAATTATATCGTTTAATATGACGTAATATTCTGTCTGAAAAAAATCTTCAAAATACTAAGAAGGATAAAAAGAAAGAAGCGAGTTACACGTTTCATACAGTTCAATTACCTTTAGGTTTTTTAAATTTAATTTAATATTGTCGTCACTGATGTTCATTAGTGCTTAATAAGTTACAAATAAGAACATTTGTTAAGATGAAAAAAGAAGTGCGATTTATCTAGAAGGGTGATAAGGAAAAAAAAACAACTAAAGCAGTGGAGAATAGATCGAGGGAAGATGTTTGATAGAGTTATTTTATTTCACCAACTAACTGTGAATTTCAGTTGCATGTAATTAATAAATGATTTTTCAGATTATGTGGAGGTCAATTATCTAATACACTTACTTACCAACTTACTTACTTACGCCTGTTACCCCCAATGGAGCATAGGCCACTCACCAGTTTTCTCCAACCAACTCTGTCCTGGGTTTCCCATTCTAGTTCTGTCCAATTTTTGTTCATTCCTCTCATATCTTTCTCTTTTTCTCGGCGTAATGTGTTTCTTGGCCTTCCTCTTTTCATTTTGCCTTGAGGGTTCCATGTGAGGGCTTGTCTCGTGATGCAGTTAGGTGCTTTTTGTAGTGTGTGTCCTATCCACTTCCACCGCTTTTTCGTGATTTCCTCCTCCACTGTAATCTGGTTTGTTCTCTCCCACAGTAAGTTGTTGCTGATGGTGTCTGGTCAACGAATCCGAAGTATTTTGCGTAGACAACTGTTAATAAACACTTGTATCCTCTGGATGATGGCTTTGTTAGTTCTCCATGTTTCTGCTCCGTACAGTAGAACTGTCTTGATATTTGTAGTGAAAATCCTGATTTTGGTTTTGTTTGAAAGTTGTTTGGAGTTCCAGATATTTTGAATGTCAAATAGTTTGTAACCGACCGTAATGCTTATATTTTATTAATAGATATGTTATTCAAATGTGAACATTCAACCATATATATATATATATATATATATATATATATATATATATATATATATATATATATATGCGCGAGACTGAAAGTTGTAGGTTCTAACCTCTGTGACAGAGACGTGTACATCCACTTCTGAGTACAAAAAGGGTATCCATTGCAGCTAGGTTTCTGAGAGTGGTCTAGCTAAAATTAATTAAACTATGAAAATTCTACAATCTCTACAAAGTCCCCATATACTTACTCCTTACACCTGTTACGCTCAATGGAGCATAGGCTGTCGACCAGCATTCTCCAACCTACTCTGTCCTGCTCCTCCTTTTCAAGTTCTGTTTAATTTTTGTTGATTCTTCTCATTTCTGTCTCCATTTCTCGGTATAATGTGTTCCTTGGCCTAGCTCCTTTCTTTGACCATGACGGTTTCAAGTGAGGGCTTGTCTTGTGACATAGTTACGTACTTTCCTCAATGTAGGTCCTGTTCGCTTCTAGCGCTTCTTCTTGATTTCTTCCTTCACTGGAATCTGGTTTGTTCTTTCCCACAGTACGTTGTTGCTGGTGGTTTCTGACCAAATGTTTCTAAGTATTTTGTGTAGACAACTGTTAATAAATTCTTGCATCTTCTGACTGATGGCTTTGATAATTTTCCAAGTTTCTGTCCCATGCAGTAGAACTGTTTTGACATTTGTATTAAAAATTCTGACTTCGGTGTTTCTTGATAGCATCTCACAGGATTCAAACCTGAGACCTTCGGTATTGTTCGCGAACGCCTAACTATCGGACCACTGGGCCGGCATCCAACAGTGTTAATGTCTAACTCTGATTGATTTAGGGATTTTGCAGAGGTCGTGGATGCTCACTGCTGATGAGTCCCATACCAGGACGAAACGGCCGTCCAGTGCTTCCAGGTTTCTAATGGTGGTCTAACAATTATTGATTGATGATTTTAAATGTGTAAAAACACTAATCTCCATAACTCTGATTGAAAACTTACAAATGATTTCATTTCAAAATATTTTTTCATGTAATATACAACTAATCCAGTCTATAAAAAACAGCTTAATTTTCTTATTTCAAAAAACAAAATTTCAGTCTCATCAACAAGTGTTCCAGTTTCACCAGAATTCTCTTTTCAGCCGCATATTTTTATGACCAATACTTCTGATACAGATTTATGTAAAATACGCGAAGATGAAAATTCGCTTCATAACGACAATACATCAAGTGATCTGCGAGATAGTGGATTACCAGATGAAAATTCACTAGATTCAAATCTATGTGAAATAGTCAATGATCAAAATATTCAAAAATGTCTGATGAATAAATGTTTAAATGAAGTGCAAGTAGAAAGTCACTTGAATCATGATGTGGATCGATCAATATCGCAAGCATTTGCAAGGAATATAGAGAAACAATTCAATGTAAGTAAATGAAATGAAATAATGATTCTCTTGAAGTTTTAGTTCTCTGAATCCATTTGTAGGATCCAAACTGAGGTTTTGACTGAGGAATAACCGTCTAGGTAGGTTAAATAGGCGCATTACCCAGTTCTAATCGAAAACAAGTGATTTGGGTAAATGATGGTTCTAATATTCATCATAAATATAAATATACATCATTACCTAAACAAATATTACCACTCAGTTATTCCACCAACAATTGTTCAATTATTCAAATCAACAGCAACAAATAAATGATATTCTATCTCCCCTGGATAGATCAGATTCGTTCGACAGATAATATTTGGTTGCTTGATAACACAGTGTTCCAAATTCTGGAAGAGTGCACAATTCCAGTCCAAGCAAGCAAGCCAATCAAAAGAGGAACAAATCAATATGGTTGTCGCCATGACTAAGTATCAACTTAAACAACATAAGTGCAGTTTGGAAAGAAACAGAAACTCAGTGAAGAAGGCAGAAGAAATAGAAACTATAATAATAAAATACAAATATTATCATCACGAGTGCAATCGAACACATTCACAAAATGTACAACTGAACGAATCAATAAAGACATATTACAAATATAAACATGGAGGGATTTACACAAACAAAGCCTTCAAAAATTGATCTTACACCATTTACCTGATAAAAATATGTAAATCAACAATCTCTACAAACCTATACTGATTGTTATAATCTACTCATCAGTGACTAGCTTCGTGAGGAAATTCCGGGGCTTCTATAGGAGAATCTGTGACTAATGGAGTTCAACTGTCTCAGATGTGAGACAGTTACTTACGAAAGACAGTGGTTGATGGTCGCACAATATCATGGGTTGATTCAAGTTTGACATTGTTACCGCTGGATGCTGGCTCAGTGATTTAAAGGTTAGGCGTTCATAATCGAGATCAACTGTCATGGGTTCGACTCCCACTCGTAGGGTCGTGAATGCTCATTGCTGTTGAGTCCTATATTAGGACTGAATGATCATCCAGTGCTTCTAAGTTTCCAATGATGGTGTAACATTGACTGAGTTCAATGAATTTCAACAATGTTCATCACTATATACTAACAATAGTATATAAATTTGTGAAATTTTTGTTAGGGCATGAGATTAGCAATATCTTGCGAAATAACAAGTGTTGTATTTATTTGTCTCCTTAGAAATGTACATTGGGTGGCATTTTGGTTTGAACTCTAACATGTTACAGTTAGGAATAAGTAGTAGGAATTTAGTATACAACAACTTATTTCCTAGAGAGATATCAACTAAACAAAAATTAAGGCAGGAAAGCAGTGGGTGATTGTTAAGTCCCCACTAAGAATTTTTCAAAAGTGATCTCACAGAACTTCTGCTAGAATCCGCTCAATATTGCCAGACTTTAACCTATTTTTATGTTGAGAGAACAATCAGCAGTTGTAGTTCATCTGGACAATATGATGTATTCGCGTTATTCATTGCTGTCACACACATGTACGCTTGTCAAGGCATTTTATATGAAATCAGTATAAGGCCAATTAAATAATAGTTCAAACACACACAAGATGACAATTGTAGATAAATGAGAGAAAATTAACATAGTATGGAAAAGATAGGAAATTGTCACATTACCCTAGGCTATTAAACATGGATTAAAAATTACCATGGTAAATTCAAGGTCACGATAAATTGTTAATGTACACATAAAAGTGGGTTTTGAATTCGCGAATAACCAAGGCTTCTATAGACCCCAGAATTCGTCCTTGTGCGTTTCTTTACATTGTTTTGAAGACTGTCTTGTTGTCAATCGTGTGCCCCATCTCAATTGTGTGTTTTGCAATCGATGTACATGGTTTTCTATATCCAATGCTGATCGGCTCATCTGACGTTAACTGATTTTGAAGCCACTTAGGTACATGTTTCATAAACCTTGTTTGCAGAGTCCGATTACTGCTCCCTATGTATGTGTGTTCACACAAACATGTAATCTGATAAATTCAGTGGGATATGACGTATTGTCTATGCCTATGTGGAATCACGGGATTAGTCTTTTCAAGTACAATCAACGTAGTATGTTTTCTCATTGGTTGTTTTTAATTTCTGTCTTATGATCAAACTACTTGATTCACCTCTGAATGGTAGTAAACAGACATCAACACTTTTCTATGGTCTTAACTAACTTTTACACCTATTTAGAAACTTGAATGGTAAACCGTTTAAAATCAATGTTTAACTCAACAGTTTAGCATCGTCTTCAAAAGTACCTGTAGTGTTTATTCTTTCTGATTCATTGAAGAGGAATTTTACCTAGCCTATTATTTTATTTAAAAAATCGCCTGCACATCATTCATACTTGCTTTAATTCAAGTACAGTGCCATAATCCAACAAGTTTTCAAACATCAATTGTTTTCAGTTATTTCAAGAAAAAAACGCATTCAAATATCAAAACTTTGTTTATTTTATTTTTCTCTCTCTAATTTATAGAATATGATTAAAGAAATTGAATTCCAGCTGAATTCATCCATTTCTGATGAGTATAATTCACTGATTGAATTTCTACAATATCCAATGAATTTTATTGAACCAAATGAAATTGTGTCATTAAACAGAGTTGATAATTTCTCATATAATGCGTTCATAGCTTCGTATGTTTCACTGTTTCTATTTAATTTACATTACGGGGTTGTGAAGATTGTTAATTTACACATTTTTTTGAAACCATGAATCGATCAATGTTAGACCAGCATTGATAGAAACCTGGAAGCACTGAAAGACGGCCGTTTCGTCCTGGTATGGGACTACTCATCAGTGGCAGTGCGCACATACGACTCCTGCACCCCGCCGGAATTCGAACCCACGATCTTCGGTATTGTGCACGAACGCCCTAACCGTTAGACCAATGAGCCGGTATCTAACGGTGTTAATGTCTCTAACTTGATCAAATTCATGGAGTTGTGCAATGATGTTTAGTTTTTATGTCTGATACCATATATCATGCTTTTCATTGTTATTTAGATACGGTATGCATAATCATCTTACAACCTCATTAACTGTTTAAAACAATGTTCCTATCATATAAGAGATAATATGAATGAATAAATGAATGAATAGAGGAGAATATTCTTATCAATCAGTTCTCATCAATTGTCTGTATTTTTATATACATATACATCTATCTGTATTCCAATGAATAACCCCTGAAAAATAATGACCCGGTTTAAGGTCACATTTATAATACTATTATTATTATTATTATTGTTATTAAATAATCATATCATTGGTTCAACATCATTATTGATCTCTTGAATACATGGTCAATTTTTACTTAGTACTGCTGACCCCAATTTCAATATATCCATAAAACATTCGATCGAGTTTCGTGATTGAAGTTTTATAATTATTTCTCTAATTCTATCTGATTCATATCTTATTCTGTGATCATTTAATGCCTGGATTTTATTTACTGGTATCACTTAGCATATTAGTCATTCCAACATTTTTTTTCATTGAAATCATGAATCAGTCATCGTTAGATAACCATTTAAAACCTGGAATCACTGGACGGCCGTTTTATCCATGTATGGGACTCTTTAGCAGTGCACATTCATGACTCCTACTCACGGGAATCAAACATAGGACTAACGGTCTCGTGTGCGAACGACTGGTTTCAATGAAAATCAATAATCCCCATAATTCTATAATGAATAGCATACAATGTGCTCGTTAGTCAATAACTTGGTGAGGAAATTCTCAGAGTTCTGGTGAGAAACCGTGACCACTGGATTTTAAATGTGTTGCATCTGAGGCACTGGGTGAGGTCGGTCAGTATCGTTGATCTAGGTTAGACATTAACGGCTTTGGACGTCAGTTCATCAGTCAAGAGGTTAAGCATTCGCGCTTGAAATTGAAAGTTGTGAGTACAATTTTCACTTGCATAGTCGTGGATTTGTACAGCTAATGACTTCCATACTGGGGGGAAACAGCTGTCCAGTGCTTTCAGGTTTCGAATGGTAGTCTGACAATGATTGATTCGTTATTTCAATAAAAAACAACATTGCCAAATTTCTGAGAGTTTTTATTCCGGTGAATTGTAGAGATTTATTCAAAAGTTCTCCAACTCTTACTGTTTTGCAGCTGTTCTTCAGCTAATGTGGTGGGTTCATTATGGAAATTAACTTGAAGTTAAAAATATTTTCAGTCTTGTTTAGTAATAATCTTCAATTGTGCAACTTGAGAAGACTGAGGCAGGCGAGGAAGATTGTATTCAGTAAAGTTACACTCTGAGTCAGTTAAAAACGAAAACATTACATTGAATACTCTATTTGCACACCATCTTGGAGTCGTGACTTCCAACACTTCATCCTTCATCCATTCCTGTTGTCGCTTCCTTTCCTTCCTGTTGGTACTCCATTCGCTTCTTGCTTTTGCTTTCCGTTTTCCTCTTCTGACCGTGAGACTTCTTTCACGTCCCTTCTTATACTACTTATAACGTTCGTATAAATAGCACACACCACAAAGTAACTAATTTGAAGTTGGTTTTCTTGACATTTTTTGTATGAGAGAGAGGGACATTATCTACGCTTTTGTGTAAACAGCTTACTGTATTACAAACCCATTGATATCCGATATATGAACCATGATGTATCAAATCGGTGATCGAGAAGTGAGACCTGTAGGTATTGATTATCAAATCGCATGAGATTATGATAGTGGATAGTTGATAAGTGCTCGAAAATCACACAACTCTCTCCATGAATGATCTACGTCAGCATATTCTGCTGACAATCCACTGTGCAGGCGGCGTCTAAGACTATGTTGAAACAAATTCATGATTGATTTTAGTCTGAATGTTTTCGTTTGATTTACTTTTTGCTTTTAGATTAGTACAACATGCAAATGATTTGATTGCATTGGGTTTTGAAAGTCAATTTGTCAAACTTTTGCAAGTTTTTACTTCTCTATCTAAAGCACCTATAATGAAGGTAGGTGACAGATATACATAGAAAAAATATTTCATAAATCCTTTTTTCTTTTTTGAAGGCTTGTGATTTTTAGTTTTTCAATTTGTATGTTACGTGGATATAATTTCATAATACTATGTCTTTTGAATACGTTCAATTTCGGTCAGCTATTGATTCACAACACTCAAAGATGATGACCAAGACTGGTAGTTCATAAAATCATTGAATACAACAGTTGCATTTTATTGTCTAATCATGTTATCATAAAGTAATTTGAGCGATTACTTACTTACTTACGTCTGTTACCCCCAAATGAAACATAGGCCACCGACCAGCAACCTATTCTGTCTTGAACCTTCATTTCTAGTTTTGTTAAACTGTTCTTCATTCTTCTCATATCTGTCTCCATTTCTGGACGTAATATATTTTTTTGTCTTACACTTTCACCTTGGCCTAAAGGATTTTAAGCGAGGAATTGTCCTGTAACATAGTTTGGCGCTTTCCGCAATGTGTGTCCTATCCACTTCGAACGATTTATCCTAGTTTTGGTGATAGTTTGTATGATATTATTTGAAAAATTTTGAGCAACTGAAGTTGTTAGTAAAATAAGTCTATTGATTTATCGAAGTTCGCTACATTCGTTCTTGTTGAATCGAAAATCTTCAAGAATTATTTGTGAAAATATGATACATATATATTTACTCTATTGAGGTAAACTTGACAAATAACAAAGTCTTTTTGTTAGTACAGAATTGTGAAGAGGATTGAATCATGAATCGATCAATGTCAAGTCGCTATTAGAAACCTTGAAGTATTGGACGGCCGTTTTCTCCTAGTATGGGACTTATCAGCAATGCGCATCTACGACTTCAGTCTCACATCTGACAGTTAACTCCTAAATCACTAAACTGGCTCTCAATAATGTTAATGTCGATCCACCATATCGTGTGACCTCATCCATTGTAATTCCTTCCCACCCGACATGATTGTACTTCACTTACATCTTATAGTTTGGGGTTCTCGCTTAGTGGTCAAGCGATTACGCGTTTTTGCATGGGACCAGAGGATCTGAGTTCGATTCCCGCTTGAATGGTCGTGGATGCGCATCGCTAATGGGCTGCATGCTAGAACGAAGTGGCTTTCCAATGCTTCCTGGTTTCCGATGTTGGCCTAACTAACATTGATCGGTTCATGATTTTAATGAAATTAAGTCTTAATGTTGAGGATAGGTTATCTGTTTTATTCAGAGGGGCTGCACACGTAGTTGTTTTATTCAGCTAGGTATCCCAAAAATTTTTCTATAGTCCTATCGTTTCATAGGTTTTTAGCTTTTTTAAAAATACTTTATAAATATCGTGGAAAAAGAATAACAGCTTTTAATTGTGGATTTATTGTGAAATTCTCGAGTTTATTTGTTGACCGAAAACATTTCAAATACTTGCCTATAGTAAACAATTGTTTTAGTTAAACATGACAACTTTTATAACAGTTGGTATTAGAATATATTGTTGTATACAAAATAAATAACTTTATTTAAGATAAATAAAATTTTAACTCTGACAACATGCTGTGAGAATAATATTTGTTTTTTGACATCAAGATATACAGTGTTTTGATTAAATTACTCGTTGAAATCATGAATCAATGAATGTTAGACCAGAAATAGAAACCTGAGAGCACTGGACTGAAACCTGCGAACGCCTGACCTCTAGACCACTGAGGCGATATCTAACTATAATCGATTCATGATTTCAATAAGTAAGGAGGGAGTGTTGGGGAATTTAGATCCCCAGAACTCGCTCGATAAATATCTTTATTTTGGATGTTATTGATAGGCTGATCAGTTGACCTTGAGATCACATTTCCCTTCACGAAAAGCCTTGGCTGTGATTGGTTACTGTGGATTTTAGTGTGCTATTTTGTGACTCTCCCAAGGACGTCTCTATGGTGTATAAATAAGCGCGATTTGTGTGCTTGGATTCATTGTATGAGGGCTGAATGTTGTAGAATACACTTTCTACGCTATATCAAGACTTCTTGCTAGTACATTTGGGGTCAAGTTGTCAGAGCAGCCTACCTGGCTTCTGGTTCATTGTTTTGTTCTCCTTATTCGACTAAAATGAACCCGTAATAGGCGAATGTAACAGACTTCAGTAAGTAACTCAACAATCTCCTCAACCCCATAATGCTAATTACTTAGCTTACTACTAATTTCCTCCGCAAGGAATTTTCTCCGAGTTCTAGTGAGAAGTCGTGACCAGAGGAATTCAACCCAGTTCAGGTGGGTAGCAGTGCCCACCGAAGGCAGTGGATGAGGTTATGCAAGATCGTGAATTGATTGGAGTTAGACATTTAACACCGTTGGGTACCGGCTCAGTAGTTCATAGCCTAGGTCCTGGGTTTGAGTCTTCCGAGGTGCAGAAGTCGTCGATGCGCACTACTGATGAGTCACATACCAGGACGAAACGGCTGCCTTTCAGTGCTTCCAGGTTTCCAATGGCTTTCTAACATTGATCGATTCATGGTTTCACAATCTCTACAACCCCAGAATGAAAGTTACTCATGACAATAGCTTAAATGAAAAAAATCATCTCTTTCAATTCAGCTTAACTTGGAATGTATCAAAAAATTTTACAATCATTTTACATAATTTGCTTTGTTTCATAAAGTAGCTAGTACAAATAATTTCTACTTATGTGATTGCGTTTTCGTGAAACATAAGAATTCTTTTACTTACCAATTTTCGCCTGTTACCCCCATGGGAGCACAGTTCGCCGACCAGTTTTCTCCAATACTTTTGGAAGTATCATTTTCTTTCATTTAACTCACATTTGGGTTGTTCATTGTTGAAGTGTAGTTGTATACTGATTGTCAGCTGATAATCTATCAATCATGTGATTTGTAATGAATAAATCATATTCATGGGTTTATCTTTAACATAATTTACATGTTCGTTGTTGTTATCATCTGCATTCTCTTCTCTTTAAACTAAGTGGTTTATTAACAAAATTTTACAGATATTTTTCTCCTGAAAATATCACTGCCTACTTTACTCATTGTTTAGTGTACTTTAAAAGAATGTTTTCAAAAAAATTCAACCTCTTTATGTTACGATCGTCACTTGGTATGCTACAAGTTCACCTTAGTCGATAAACGAAAACGAGACAATGAACCAGCTTCCAGGTAGGCTACCATGATCCGTTGACTCAAGACAGCTAACGAGAAGTCTTGGTATAGAGTAGAAAGTATATTTTACAAACACCCACCAAGCACAATGCAATCAAGCACACAAATCGCGTTTATTTATACACCATAGAGACGTCCTTGGGTCAGTCAGAAAAGTAGCACACTAAAATAACACAGCAGCCAATCACAGCCAAGGATCTTCCTGGTCAACTGATCAGCCCATGCTCGGAAACATTATATACAAAATTAAGGCATTCATCAAGCGAGATCTGGGGATCTAACGTCCCGAACACTTTACCAGAGCTTTGATTTTCATTGAAATCATGAAATGATCAATGTTAGACAAGCAATAGAAATCCGGAAGTTTCGTCCTAGCGTGGGACTCATCAGCAGTGAACATCCGCGACTGATTATTGATTCCAATATAACGCAACTATCTTCACAACCCTATAATCAAAAGGTTTTGATCTCATTATATATGTGGATCATTTTTGAACCGTTAGAAATCCAAGTTGAACAAATCAACTATGCGAAATCCCAGAATATATGAATTAAATACCATTGAAAATTGTTAATGCTTAACAATGAAATCATGAATGAATCATTGTTAGACCACCATTAGAAACCTTGAAGCACTGTATGACCGTTTCGTCCTGGTTTGGGACTCATTAGCAGCACTCATCCACTACTCCTGTCACTTGCGGGAGTCGAACCCAGAATCTTCGGTCTTGCTCGCGAACGCTTAAAATCTCGATCACTGAGATGGCCTACATCCCACGTTGTTCAAGTCTAACTGTGATCAGTTTCATTCTATTGCATAATTTTATCACAGTTTGTCAACTAATTCAGAATATATGAATGAAAATTCAATTCTCGCATTGAAATGTACACTTATTTAAAAAAGTTAATCGATTCTTCATCATTCATTACTATTGCTACTAATAGGCATATATTGATCAGGGTTAAGGAGTACATAAATGCAAACATTTGAATATTGCAGAGCAGTAAGAAACACTTCAGTTTTTAATTCCAAATGACATAAAACTTACATTTTATGATTTAATCGAGCTATCTAGTATTAATTTGGAAGATTTAAAAACCTTTACATATCAGGAAAGCATCATTGATGAGCACGATGGATTTGATATGGATGTAAACGCGCGGATTGATTAAGCAAGGACAGCATTTCCAAAAGTAAACAACATTTGGGACTCAAAACAACTATCAACCAACATCAGTGTCATAATTTTCAATACAAATATCAAGACAGTTAGTTCTGTTGCATGGAGCAGACACTTGGAGAACTATCAAAACTGTCATCCACAAGATATGAGTATTTCTCAGTATTTGTCTACGCAAGATACTAAGCGGATCCATTAACATGGCAGCATCAGCGACATCCTACTGTGCGAGAGAACAAACAAGATTTAAGCAGAGGAAGAAATCATGAGGAAGCGCTAGAAGTTGGTAGGCCACACATTGTGGAAAGCACTCAACTGCGTCACAAAACAAGTTTTCACTTGGAACCCTCATGGTCGAAGACACAGAGGAAAGCCAAAGAACACGATGCGCGGAAAAATGGAGACAGACATGAAATGGGTGGAAAATGACTGCGTAGAACTATAAAAGAAAGTCGAGGATAGATCAGATCGGAGAATGCCGGTCGGTGGCTTGTATTTCATGAGGGGTAACAAGCGTAAGTAAGTAAGTAAGTAAGTAAGTAAGTAAGTAAGTAAGTAAGTAAGTAAGTAAGTAAGTAAGTAAGTAAGTAAGTAAGTAAGTAAGTAAGTAAGTAAGTAAGTAAGTAAGTAGGTAAGTAAGTAAGTAAGTAAGTAAGTAAGTAAGTAAGTAAGTAGGTAAGTAAGTAAGTAAGTAAGTAAGTAAGTAAGTAAGTAAGTAAGTAAGTAAGTAAGTAAGTAAGTAAGTAAGTAAGTAAGTAAGTAAGTAAGTAAGTAAGTAAGTAAGTAAGTAAGTAGGTAAGTAAGTAAGTAAGTAAGTAAGTAAGTAAGTAAGTAAGTAAGTAAGTAAGTAAGTAAGTAGGTAAGTAAGTAAGTAAGTAAGTAAGTAAGTGAGTAAGTCAGTTAGTAAGTGAGCAAGTTAGTGAGTAAGTAAGTAAACCTAGTATGAAACTAATTCCAGTTTTCATTACCTGGCAATCATTTCAAAATCGATCTAATCATGATTTGATTTCCGTTCATCAATTTTTTGCCTCTCTATTTTAATTGACATTGTTTCTCGTTTTTTTTTTTGTCTCATATATATATATATATATATATATATATATATATATTTATAAATTAATTAGTCTATCCCAATGGAAATGAAATGGAATTTTGATGAATTGTCTAATATCAATCATCATCATCATCATCATACAATGAGTATACATTATTTTCTATGTTCCAATGGAATATGTGATTTGATTATACGTTGTATGGAAAATTTGAATACATCCGAATTGATATTTATTATGGCAAATGAATTAGCTATAAATTTATTAAAGCATAGTAATAAATATGTACAGGTAAATAAATGTTTCATTGATTACATGAAAATGTATTTTCATTTATTAATGTTCTGATAACTGTTGAGATATATATGGGCTGTTGCGCCGTTTATGGCGTAGGCAAGATATCCGTTCGCTAATCAAAGGACGGGTGTACTGCGCAGTAGTTCGCCATGGCCATTAAGAGTAGATGTTCGTAGTTTACTAGTATTCGATCATAGATGTTTAAGAAGCATTGCTCGTATATCGTGGGACAACCGAGTAAGCAATGCTGTCGTTAGGAAACGAGTACTAGGTAAGGATGGCAAATCAATAGATGAAGTGGTGAAACTTCATCAGTTGAGGTGGTTGAGACATATGGTACCAATGCCTAACCACAGACTGCCTCGACGAGCTATGTTTTGTGGTGTAGGGGTAGATTGGAAGAAAGCTAGGGGTGGCCAGACCAAAACATGGCAGAAATCCATGAATTCACTGACTTAATCATGTTGGTAGATGCAGACCACCTGGTTGGGGCCCGCAAGATGATATTTTTCGATTGCTAGAGACTCTGAATGACATGGCTCAGAATCTTTTGCAATGGCGCAAGTGCATCCATTCGTTGTGCTCTCTCAAATCCTAATCTTCTGGATTCATCAGCACCTCTACCTTTGTCTTTCTAACCTTATCTCACTGAATTATACTTCTTGAATCATATCTTCAAACCCTAGTCTTCTTCATTACCATTGATAGCTCTACTATCTTTATCACTATGGGATTTGATTTGACATTTGCGTCTCTGTGCTTATGTGGTATGGCAACATGAACTTATGTACATACGTACGAAGTTCTACGCTGCAACTGACTGACTGACTGTGTCGGAGGGACATTGCAACTGTAAGGCGGTCAGTGGATAGAAGACTAACCTGTACTGAACAATATTTAAATTTCAGCAACACAAGAGAGGTTTGGTAAAATGTTTCTTCAATAAGGCATAAAGGAGTTGTACCACGGATAGATTTGAAGAGGATGCTAAACTGTTCGACTGAAACACTGTATTCAAACGGTTTTGCATTAAAAAGTTTCTAAATAGATGTAAAAATTAGTTAAGACAAAAGAACAGTGTTGATTTCTGTTTACTACTACCATTCAGAGGTGAACCAAATAGTTTGATCATAGTACGACAGAAATTAAAAACAACCACTGAGAAAACATACTAGGTTGGTTGTGCTTAAAGCACAGGATAACACATAGGCCTAGACATTACGTCACATCCCACTGAATTTATCAGAATTCATGTTTGTGTGAACACACCTACATAGGGAGGAGTAATGAAACATTAACATCAAGGGTTAAGGAACATTTGCCTGAATGGCTTCAAAATCAGTTCACTTCAAATGACCAGATAAACGTGGTCAATAGAAAACCATGTTCATCGATTGCAAAACACATAATTGAAACGAGGCATAAGATTGACAACAAGACAGTCTTCAAAACAATGTTAAGAAACGTTCAAGGGCGAATAGTGAGGTTTATAGAAGCCTTGACTATTCGTAAATTCAAACCTTTTATTATGGGTACATAAACAACCTGTTGTAGACTTGAATTTACCCTGGAAATCACTAGATCATTTTATGGCCTGCGATAATGTGACAGTTTCCATATTACGTTTTGCAAATATCACCTCATGTTCATTGGAACTTTTATTAAATTACCCTTTTATTTATTTTATATGAAATAATGCCTTGATAGGTGCACATATATGTGTTGCTAGATTGTTCGAGATGTATAACGCAAATGCATCCCATTTTTCAGAGATAAATTAAGTCTTCCCACTGTTCTATCAAAATGTATAGAAGGGACTTATAGTTTTAACAATACCATGCTGACTAGGATGTCAACGAGTTACATGAAGTCAAATTGTGTCAAATAAAAACATATTCATTCATTCAAACAATGTCTATGGTAAGGCTGGTTCATATGAAAGATTGTCCATAGAAAGATAATCATTGAAAACATAAGAAAATTGGTTTGTTTTAACTATGCACTAAGCTATCAGTGCACACTGCTGACTTTGACAAAGGTTAAACCAAAGTAGTTGTTCAATTTTTTATTTATTTTCGGATGACGCAACTCGCACTCACTACTTCATATTTCGTATTTCAGTTGATACACGATATTGACCGATCACTATTTGTTTATCATGGGTTAATAAACGTTCATTCCCAAAGTGTTATGACGCCGTTCGTCACCACCTCCATTGATCAGTTGACAACAACGTTTAAGTCACAATGTAAACTGGTTTTCAAATCGTACATTCTTCACAAACCACCTAAGAGTATTGATGCCAACGCTGTTTATTTCTCAGTGCATGAATTTTCCCGTAAATAAATAAACTTTTTGGCTTAGTCTTGAGTACAAAAACTTCTATTTGTGTTATTTAGTATGTAGTTCTGCACTAGGTGTTACAAATCGGTATATTTGAATAAGAATCGAGCTGATTTACTTTTTTAGAAAATAAAATTTTACTCACTGACTGTTTCATTGATTTTTTGTTTTGAAAAATAATTCATTATAGGAATGCTTTTACACGATTCTATCGAAACCGAAACAACATGAGGAATTTTTCAGTTCAATGTTTCAACGTTTTCATAATGTTTACAGTCAAGTGGATAATAATATGACAAAAAATAATTTTTTGTTGAAAGAAGACTGTACAAAGCCTACTAATAATTATTCAGGTATGTTTATGTTCATGTACAGAAGTACATCCTTTTCATTGTCACATTTACATCAGTTACTCCTGGTAAAGCATGATAGGTCACTCTGTCCTAGTCTCTCTTTTTCTGTTTCTGCCATATGCTGTTCATTCCGTTGATATTCCCCCTGCGATTCTCGTTACAATGTATTACTCAGTCGTGCTCTCCACGTTTTGCCTTGAACAATCCATCCAAGAGCTTGTTTCGTTACGTAGTTTGGCGATTTCCTCAACTTCATTCCCTTTCTTTTTAATAAGTATATTTTGAACAATTTTCTCTGAGTCTTTAGTGGTTAATGTAATTGATCTTTCCTTAAGTATTTATTCACAAGATGTTTCTGGGTATGTAATACATTTTTTTAAAATGAGCTGAAAATGACAACAGTTGACTGATTGTTATTGTTACTTCTCAGTTGGATGAAAGTTACAGCTTGAAGTGAACAAATATTTCTGATACTCTTCACATTATTCTATTGAAGTATTGGGTATACTAATGTCGAGAAATGTAATGGTTTGTTTGTGTGATTTTTTTGGTTCCTCAAGTTAAGTGATCCCAACTTGTAATTAATGCTTGGATATTTTGAATCCTACTGTGACGTTTGAAGACTGGATGGAATATGTGTTTGTGCAGAAGGTAAAGTTTATTCACACAATGAATGTCTACGTAATCTGTGGACATCTGATTTGTGTAATACAAGCAGATTATTGACAGTTTTCTCTTGCATCAGTTTTAGTCTTCCACAAATTCTGATCACGCTATGCCTTTCGATTTCCAGACACTTCTCTCTCTCGACGGCCATTTTATCCTGGTATGGGACTAATCAGCAGTGCACATCCACGACATTAGCACCTCGCAGAATTCAAACCCAGGACCTTCGGTCTTGCACGAACGCCTAACATATGGACCACTGGTTTGGCATTCGATGATGTTAGTGTCTAACTCTGATCAATCTAGGGATCTAGGGTCTAACAATGTTTGATTGAGGATTTCAAAGTGCAAAAACACTGATCTCCAAAGCTGTAATTGAGAAAAACTTTCTCTCTCTGCTAGTAACTTCTGAGCAACACTCGGCTTCAAAATACTACTTATATAGCATCTGTGGGTAGTATCCACCACACTACTAGTTTTATTAAATGCCAAGTTTAGTAAACATTTTGCCGAAAAGATCAGACCGGAAGAAAATCGTTTCCGGAATGATTAGATTTTTTTAAATTAAAATTGTTAGTAAAAAAAAGAGTGATTTTAAGCAACTTTACTATTGTCTTTTTTTTTACTTGTTATAGATTGCTTGAATCCATCACTTATGACTGGCAAGAATGTACCAGTACTGATGAGTTTACAATTTTTACAGACTTTATGTCACAAAAGTAATCTTAGACTACAGGTAATTTTCATGATTCATTGAATTCAGTTTTATGCTTGTTTGGTTACTGTTGGGGATGTTAGATCCCCAAAATTCGCTTGATAATGCCTTATTTTGGTTTTCACGTTTGCCACTAGTGAAATAATTTGTTAGTCAGTCAGTCAATCAGTAACAACGTAGACCTTCGTACGTACATACAGACGCTCAGTTTGTCATATCACAATAACACAGAGATGTAATTGTCAGTTCAAATCCTTTAATGGTGGAGGTAGTAGAAGAATTAGTGGTAATGGAAAATATTAAGGATTGGAGATATTATTCAAGAAGTAAAGTTCAGTGAGATAACTTTAGAAAGAGGCAGCTGGGAAATGAAATCTGCGCTCATACCCGCCACAGCACGCGAGACCTAATTGGTCTCAAACAAATCCTTCCTACACCCCCCTAACATTTCTCTTATCTCCACGACTATCTCTTCTCGCATTCCTTTATCACCCCCTACAGCGAGTTCATGAAACGTTATTCCTGTTCTCTAACTCTCTAACCAATATTTATGAAAGTAAACAACATTGTAATAAATTTTGTTTGTTTTTTTTTACGAAAAAAGCTTATTAAACAAGAAATTCATTTTTTAAAAATGGAACTTAAATCATGTCAAGTAGAGTTTTGGTATTAGTTATTCAAAAAAAAGAATCTAAAGGCAATCAATTTATGTGCTGTTTTTATTTCACAAACGAATTCCTTCAAAATGATAATAACAAGAGAATGAATGGTGTTTGTTGTGATTTGAAAGAAGAAATTATTGTTCCTTTTTATGTTGGCAGTTGGATTTGTCTCCATTCTATTTGAAATATGATAGGTAACAGCAAACATTAGGTGACAGAGAAAATAAAGACTCACTATGTGTTGTTTATCCGCTTTCGGGAGTACTTTGTCGATACAACTATCCTGCTTGAATCAGTTGCTAAAATGCCTCGTTCTAGCTTTGACTCAGAACATATGTTCCTGTAAGTTCTCCCATTCTAGGCAGGTTGATAGGACTATCCTGCTCGAATCAGCTGTTCTTCTTCAAAATTTGTTTCAATGCGTGATACTTTAGAAATTTTAGTACAAAGAGAAGGGTATATCCGAATATTCAGAGATAATTTATGACCCGACCGTAGCTGATACCTTGACGTGGTGTTTGGGCTTGCCTATCCTGATAACCTAACCGTCCTATATTGAGTGGAATAGATCTTCCTGTAGGTACTACCTTGCAAGGCAGGTTGACTGGAGAACGGTGAGACTAAAAGCAGCAACTCAACGTCTGAGCGCGAAGTCCTACTGCTGACTATAAAGTAAGGTGTATCCTTCGGAAAACGAAAATCTGCAGCAATGCTGCCTTCTCACAAGGAAGGAAGGCGTTAGAAAAAATGTCGACCCTAAAAAAAATGCCACACCTCACCTAACCTTTGTGATCTCCATCTCCGGCGGTAAGGCATTTTAAACAAGGGCAGATCTAATACTTTGAAAACTTCTTCAAGAAACACCCTTCCACGGTGTGGGCAGAGGAGAAGTGACACCCGTCCTCATACCCGTAACAGCAGTGAATGACTGAGATAGTTACAGAATAGACAAGTTTTTTAAAGAGATATACCTTCTTCAGCACTTGAATAAGATTCTGATGAGAAGTGAAGGGTATTTATGACATCATCTCTGTTACAAATTCTTAATAACTTTGTTCTCTACACATCATGCATGATAATTGTTTCTCCTATCTATCCAACCAGGAATTATTACGTGTTCAACCGCATAATGTAACAAATTTTAATTTAATTGAAGAAATCAAGTCATTATTTATTAATTTGTGGAAAATCAATGAAAACCTAATCAATACTGCAATGTTTAACAACTCCAACGATAACACTAGTAGTCGTATTAGCGGCGGTAATGATAATAATCGAAGTATCGACAATCTGCATAACTCTGATGCGAATCATGAAACAAACGAATCAATGAAACAGAAATATCTTAACACTGTGACAGCTGAAAATAGTAGGGTGAAAATCTTACAGAATAACAAGAATCTGATTGAGTCAAAAACCATGATAGATCAGAGACAATTGAACAAATCATCAACATCATCAGCGTTCGAAATGACTCACAGCCAACAACCGCACAAAATCATGACGAACAATAATAATAATAATAATAATAATAATAATTCAATACAGTTTATTCAACCACAAATTATCTTACTCATTTTAACATGTCTCATTGAATTTTGTCAAGGTCCATGTGTCAATAATCAAAATGAAATTTTATTTGGTAGTCCGAATATTTTACACATATTAATGAATTTAATTTTGAATTCATCAATATGGATAAGAAATAATAAGAAATTTCGTGATTTCACGAGTACACTAGCTGAAATCAATGTGAGTTGATTTTCGCATTGATATTTTATTGTTTTGGTGTATGTAATGTTATTGACAGGTGATTTGTGAATGCTTATTGTTGTTGGGGATGTTAGATCCCCAGAGCTCGCTTGATAAATGCCTTATTTTGGAATTCACGTTTACGAGCATGGGCTGATCAGCTGACATTGAGATTTCATTTCCCACCAGGAAAATCCATGCCTGTGATTGGCTGCTGTGTATTTTAGTGTACTATTTTCGTAACTGTCCCAAGGACGTTTCTATGATGTATAAATAAACGCGGTTTGTGTGCTTGATTGTACTGTGATTGCTGGGTGTTTGTAGAATATACTTTCTACGCTTACCAAGCCTTTTGTTTACAGCTTGGGATTCAAGGTAGCCTATCTGGACGCTGGTGATTGTCTCGTTCGCATTTATCGACTAAGGTGAACTCGTAATAGCTTCAAGCACACCTAGTGACGAACATAACAATTGTTAAAACAAAATGTTTTAAATGTGAAAGATTATGTCAGCTGAACTCATACTACTCATGGGATTGGAACCCAGTTGAACAAGTGTACGAATCGTTTAAATTAACTAGTTTAAAGTTTTAAATAGAACAAAAAGTTGATAATTTTCATAGATTCATGATATATTTCTTTGATTTCAATGGAAAATATCAACATGAAACGAATATGAAGTAATCAGGCAGCTGTATTGAATAAATGTTCTACAAGACTATTTTTCCTTGACTATATGTGTGTGTTACGTACTGGTAGTAGAGTTACTGAAATCACGAATCAATCATTGTTAGACTGCTATTAGAAACCTAGGAACACTAGACAGCCGTTTCGTCCTGGTATGGGACTCATCAGCAGTGAGCATCCATGACTCATGCTACTCGCAAAAATCGAATCTAGGAACTGTAGTCTCGCGAAAGCTTAACCTGCAAATCACTGAGGCGGCACCTAGCTTTGTTGATATCTAGCTTCTGTCAATTCACGATATCACGCAACTTTATCCATTGTCTTTAGTGGGTAACTGTCTCGCACCCTAAACTGTTGAATTGTACTGGCCACGTCTTAGTAATTGAATTATTAAAGTATTTTTGGTTAGATCAATTAACTTGGTTGAATGAGGTCGGCGTCAGGAAACCCTGAATCTAGGTTTAATGTTAGTTGATTTGAACCATCTATCTAACTCATTTTTGTGAGATATACTAGGTTAACTAACCGAAGGTCATTGGTAAAAAATTTCAAAACTGACTTCATAGTTGAAAGTAAAGTAATTTACCTACAAACCACAGCTTGAATATATATATATATATATCTTAGCCATTGAGTTGTTGTCAGATGCCAATTGATCGGTGAACATTTCGTAAGAATAATTCCAACTAACAATATTTTCTAACCTGTACAATATTTAATTTTGTCAATAATTGTGATAAATGAAAACTTTCTTAATTCTCTATCGTTTTATTTATTTAGTATCTATCTATTAAACTACTGCTAGCTGTGTTAGAAGGCCGTCATGAAGACAAAGTTTTTCAACAACTAATAGATCTTTGTCCATTAGATAAGTTGGTAAGTTCTTTGAATGTTTTTCTGTGTTCTAATGTGTTCTAATAAGCTGCAAACAAATACGCGCTCACACCAGAGCATGATCTGAATCTAAACAAGTGCTACAGAATGGGTGACAGTCTTCTATCGAGCCCGTCCATCGGTGGCTGATAGCGTTTTGATCTGGTTGGGTCCAGCGTTGAGATGACTTTGGGGGTCGCCACGTGCTAAATGTTATTACTTGCTAGAAATAGGTGATAATATCAGCATAGTTGAAGTATACTGTCGCCATTATCTGATCTTTGAGCCACGACACCATAAGATCCACCCAAGTGTCTTTCCTTTTCAGTTAGTCTGCCTACTTGAGCATTGCAGTCACCAGCCATTATTACTATATCAGACCGCTTAACTTTATGAAGAAGGTTAGAAAGGTTTTTGTAAAACTCATCTTTTATCTCGTCCGAGCTGCAGTCAGTGGGGGCGAAGCAGATATGACGAAGATGCGACGGCGAGTGTCCCTATCTTTTCGAGTCCTTACTGTCCCGTTTAGTCGGACAGCGTATAAGTGACTGTCTATTGGGGTCCAGTCTAATACAGCTAGTTCAGCCTTAGGACTTAATGTTATACCCTACGCCAGCGAGACCCCGGTAAGCAGTATCAGGGCTACCGGATACACGAAGAGTAAATCGACCTGTTTCTTTATTTTGAGAAGGTGAAATCAAATTATTGATTTTACTAGGATCCTGCATGCGCGTTTCCGAGACGCGGCATAGATGGGACGGGATTCCCATCTCTTAACTAATGAAGCCAGTTGCTCTATTTGACACAGGGTTCGAACATTAAATGTTCCAAAATGTAATTTAGAACGGGATTTCAGGAGACTAGGAATAACGTTTCGTGAACTCAAATTGTTTGCATTAGCGGTGCGAGGTGCTAAAGGAATGTGAGAAGGGTTAGGGGTGTGGGAAGGATTGGATTGTGACCGATTCGGTCTCATGTGCTACTACGGGTACGAGGGCGCATGTCACTTCGCGGCTGCACACACTGTGGAAGTGTTTCTTGAGGATTAGTGTTGGTTTTAGAGACCTGGGAGCGTGACCTCAGAGCCCTAAGGGAAACTAACTCACGCCAGTTGCGCACGGTCTTCTTGAAGTAAATTGACAGTGCTAGCTCTGCTCTTTAAGTGGCCTTACCGCTGGAGACGGAAATCCGTTGGGTACGGTGACGTGTGACATTTGTGGGATCAACCTTTTCTAACCCCTTCCTTCCTTGTGAAAAGGCAAAACACTATCGAAACTGAGCATATGATTGACATCTAGAGAGCTTCTAAAACATGTTACAAAACATTGAAGGGTCAATTCTGAGGTATATGGAAGCCTTGGCTATTCGCAAATTCAACCCTTCCCCGTTTATGTGCAGACTGGTAATCTATCTGAAGTTTGTGCTGATAATGTTGTTCAGAAGAACAATGAAAGCTCCACAACCAAAGCATTCGGCTCAGAGAACGAAACTCCATCACCATTTTTAAGCCATTTTATGTCTTAGGGTAATGTGATACTTTCTTACCCTTTCTTATTACGGTAATTTTCTCACTCCTTCATTTACAATTATCAACTCAGGTTTATTTGAACTTTTATTTAATTGACCTTTTATTCATCTTCATATAAAAATGCCCTGTGACAAGTGTGTACATATTTATGTGACCAGATAGCGTAAATGCGTTAAGATTAACAGATCAGTTACATCCTCTAATTGCTTTTTCCACAAAAATTGAAGCATAATTGACTATCTGTGTTCTGTTTTGATGGTACAAATCTATTATTTTGTATTTCGTTGTTGACTTAGTTTCGATGTCGTGGAAAGCTTTTATTTTATTATTGAGTAAACAGTTCAGAGTTAGTTGTTCATCTCTTTCTCTCCCTTTCTCTCTCTCTCTGTTAATATTTATGATAGATAAGTACAATTAGAAATTATCATATTTTATCAGAAGATACAAATTTGGCAACGAATCAACCACATGAATTATTTCATAAATGTGGACATTCATTATTCATTTTAACACAATATGTAAGTCGTCGCATTTGTTGAAATTTGTTCCTCTTTGTTGTTTTTTAACTATCTTGCTGATTGTTAAATTTTATTCTTCGATGTTATTATATAGGGGTTAGTGAAGATTGTTGAATTTCATGATTGGGAAGAAATCTAAGGGCGGTCAAACCAAAACATGACACCAAACAATGAAGTCACTGACAAGTGGACTGAGCAATGTTATTAGGTGTAGACTACCTGGTTGGGGTCTGCGAGATCATAGTAATCGATGGTTAGAGATCTCGAACGACATGCCTCAAAATCGTTTGCAGTGGTGCAGGTGCATCCACTCTTTGTGTTCTCTCTAATTCTAATCTTTTGAATTCCTCATGACTCTTTTTTCTCTCATTTTTTCAATTAATTCTTCCTCATCACCTCCATCTTTCTCCTTTTAAGTTTATTTCACTGAATTATACTCCTATAATAATATCCTTTAACCCCAATCTTTTTCATTACCGCTAACACTGCTACAACCCTCTACTACTATGGGATTTGAATTAACAATTCTGTTGGGGATGTTAGATCCCCAGAACTCGCTTGATAAAAATCCTTATTTTAGATTTCTCTCATGGATCGTTCAGTTGACATTGAGATCACATTTCCCACCAGGAGAATCCTTGGATGTGATTGGATACTGTGTCATTTTAGTTTGTTATTTTTGTGACTGTCCCAGGGACGTCTCTATAGAGTATAAATAAACGCAATTTGAGTGCTTGGATTCATGGTGTGCTTGCTGGGTGTTTGTAGAATACAATTTCTACACTATATCAAGACTCCTCGCTGAAACCTTTAGATCAAGGGATCACAGTAGTCTACCTGGACGCTGGTTCATTGTTTTGTTCCCGTTATTCGACTTAGGTGATCCCGTGATAGTTTTAAGCATACCTAGAGACGAGTACAACAAACACCATCCTAAAAGTTTGAGGGCAATAAACATCTATTTTGACCTTATTTTTTGAAGTTATCCAATATGCACAACCATTGATCTGGTGGAGTTAGTTTCATTCTCTAAGCTGGATGTTTTGATTAGTCGAATACTTCACTTCCATCGGAAGTTTGTACTGATGATGTTGTTGTTCAGAAGAACAATGAAAGCTCTACAACCAAAACATTCAGCTCAGAGAACAAGACTTCACCACATACATAATCGTAATTATAAGCAGCATCAAACTCAAGAGATTTCGTCGCATGCAAAGTATGATACTTTGTATCCCTTAAATTAGTAATCCACTGAAACATCCTCAACTGATGTTGTGCTCAGGTATGTGTAGACAGGAACTAGTAGCCTACAAATCAATTTCACTTTAAAAGAAAACACCGGTAGTAGCGTTTCATCAACAGTTCAGATCAAAAATTTGACTTTCACCTTAAAAATCCATTTTCTTTAATACGTATTGAATACCCTAAAACTCTGAATTCAAGCTATGATAGGTCTGACGTTAAAAATCAGTATATCAATAGTGAATTACATCCTTTCATGAATAGAATTTGTCAAGTAAGCAAAACTTATTTATTATATATATTAAGCTGATTGTTGTATTTTTTTCCCATGTATATATTAACACTTTGTATACTGAATCTAAATATTATCCATCTTTCTCTTGTTTGAAATCAAATTAAGTTGTATAAATGTTTGCCAGTCATTCTTAAACATATGAGAATTAGTGAAAGCAATAATCACAATAATCATTACAATGAATTGTCAAAAATCAAATGTTACAATACTAAAGAAAGCAGAAATGATTGGTATGCAATGAAATGTACAAATACTACTGATATACCATTGAATGATGTGAAAAAATTCAATTTGATGAATGGTACAGTTATCAAACGTTTAATCAAAAGTAAAACGGATCATATTTTAAGCCTTCAGCATTATTCAATTAATACAGCACAGATAGAGGTAATGTGATGGTGATTTTGTTCATTTGTACCAATTACTTTTTTGACTAATTTATCACAGGTAACATTGAATAGATGTAGTTGTTCAGCATTCATATAGAATAGTTTCATTGTTAGTGATTTTGATATACGCTTGAATGCTAGTACGAGTGTAGTGAAGGAGAACACAGATGAGGCCAACCGAATTGTATTTATCGAAAATTACAGAGTTACTCAGTAAAATTGGAACATCGTAAATTTGCAAATCTTCAATCCATCATCAATCCATTGTCTGACATTTCACTATTCATGCGTTTCATACAAATTCCATTGTGTTGCCACTCTTCCCTTCTTGATCTTCCCCCATTTTCTGCTGTCAGACATTACGTTGACACTTGCGTCATATACTACTTATAAGTAGCGCGCACCACACAAGTTCGCCTTACTCGGTTAACGGAACGATGATCAACGATACCAGTGACATGATAGGCTATTCTAATCCCATTATGCCAGGCCCTACGAACTTAAGCAAGAAGTCTTGATAAGGTACCCAGAAAATACGAGGTTACCAAGCACACACAACTCATGTTGATATATACAAGTGATAAAACACACTTTCTAAGATAATAATCCATCAACCAATGACAGTCAAGGATGTTCCGAGTAGGAAATGTAAGCTGAAGGTCAACTAAACGTCTTTGGCGTGAAAACATAGACGTTTATAATTTCAGAATGAAATTACAAAATTAGGATCTTTACCAAGTGAGTTCTGAGGATCTAGTGTCCCCAGCATGTTTTGTAACCTCTGAAAGAACGATTGATGCATGTGCGCATGACTGATACACAATAGTTGATAAAATGAATCTTCCGATTTATCGTTACATTCATGTAGTTATAATATGTCTTATTGTATTATGTACTTGAGTGGGCAATCATCATTCTTAAATCATTGTTCACGTGCCCTACATTAGTAAAGTGCAGCTAATCAACAGTGTGAAATAGTAAGTAGAATATAGAGAGTTACAAGTGAAGAGATCGATAAAAGTGTGTCATTATTTCAAGCTACTAACTTCTGATTTGAAATGTATAAAATAACGGGAGTTCCATTTACTGAAATGATAGAGAACATGGATATAACATACCGTGGATTTTAGTTGATTGATCTAATAAGTGTGTAAATTTTCTAAATTTTTCTGATATGAACTTGGAATACATGATGGTAAACAAGCGTTTTTTGAACCTGAATACATTCATTAGATAAGGCCGTTTTGGGAACAGACCACGATATTTCAGAACAAGCTAATATTACAAAACATGGCTAAAGGATATTAATTATTAAAATAATGAATCGATCAGTGATAGACCATCATTCGAAACCTGGGAGAACTGAAAGACGGCCGTTTCGTCCTGGTGTAGGACATATCAACAGTGCGCATCCACGACTCATGCGCCTCACAGGATTCGAACCCAGGACCTTCGGTCTTGTGCACGAACGCTCGTGTCTAGGTATGCTTAAAACTATTACGAGTTCACCCCAGTCGATAAACGAGAACGAGACAATGAACTAGCGTCCAGGTAGGCTACTATGATCCCTTGACCCAAATGTACTAGCAAGAAATCTTGATATAGCGTAGGAAGTGTATTCTACAAACACCTAGAAAGCACACAATGAATCCAAGTACACAAATCGCGTTTATTTATACGCCATAGAGACGTCCTTGGAAGAGTTACAAAATAGCACACTAAAATAACACAATAACCAATCACAAATGTGATCTCAAGGTCAACTGATCAGCCTATGAATAAAATCCAAAATAAAGATATTTATCAGTGAGATCTGAGGATCTAACATCTTAAACATTCGCTTAACGGTGTTAATGTCTAACTTCGTTCGTATCACGGATATTAGATTGGTAGCTAACCAATCTGGGGAAACGCAGACTATATGATGGTCGGTTTTTAACTTCTAACCAATAGATCTTAGTTTATAATCTTTCTTTATTGTATCGGTTAGCTGTACAGTATCACCAACCAGAGTTCACAAATCTGTACTTTGAAAGTTAGACACATCATCGATGGAATTCAATACAGTGGCATAAAGTCATCAACTTGATTTTCTCACAGCTCTAAGAACCTTTATCAAACATTATTTCTAAGTTTCATAATGTGTATGCTGTGTATTCTTATATCATTTCGACAGTTATTTTTTTTTTTCATTTCCTATATAGATTGTACGAGCCGATAATAAAATTGAACGAATCATTTTCCCAATTCCTAAAATTTGTCATTATTTAACTTTTACTAAAAAATGTCAACTATTAAAAATCAGTAATATGGATGATGATTATTCGAAAATACCATCATTATGCAACAGGATTCAAGAGATTTATGCTGAAATGTTATGTGCTGAACATATGCTTAGTAGGTTCATTTTTAACTATGTAAATATATATATGTTTTAATTCATAAAAACTCATAAATGAACATGATTGAGGGATGGAAGGTTAATAGATGCAGTGTTGAACTTCATCAGTTGGAGTGGTTGGGATATGTGTTGCATATGTCCAACCACCGACTGTCTCACCGAGCTAAGTAATGTGGTGTAGGAGCACGTTGGAAGAAAGGGTCGGTCAAACCAAAACATGGCACACATGCATGAAGTCACTGACAACTGGACTGAGTCTTGTTGGTAAGTGCAAACTACCAAGTCGGGGTCTGCTAGATGATAGTAATCGATGGTTAGATAGCTTGAATGACATGGTTTAAAACCATTTGCAATGGCGCAGGTGCATTCATCCTTTCTTTTCCCTTAAATCCTAACCTTCGGAGTTCCTCATCACCTTTTTCTTCCTGTTTTTAGAGTAATTTCACTGGATTCTACTTCTTGAATAATATCTTCAAACCAAAATGTTTCCGATTACAGCTAATACTTCTACAACCTCTACTACCACACCGGCTACACAGAATATATAGTGTCGCTAGTCGTGGAATCCAGTATGGGGGTTTCATTGTGAGTTCCAAATAAAGCAACACTTAGGAAGCAACATTTGTTCAGTTGACGTTGAACAACAAAAAACTTCATGCATATCATTATTGTTTGTATATGTTAGCTAAACTTTTTTCAAGGTTAAATTCATAAAAAAATGGATGTATCCTTGAAATCCATCACCCTTTAAACGATGCTCTATATATGCACTAGTGTAATGAACGAAAACAGTAAGACGAGACGGTATAGACAAAACAATTCAACAGTAAAATGTGTTCATCTTATCTTTAAACTTTCATATGTAAAACGATTGAATTGTCAGCTTTCTTCCTCCAGTTGTCTTCTAGTCTTCAAAACACTTTGATGGTGCTGTACATTCGGATCCGACATTCATCGCTTCAGCAGTCGCTTCGAGGCGATACTCCGCTGTATATCCACTGTCCACTATTTATAAGCTACATTGTCAGTAGTATACACTGCACTGATGCGTTGTTTGTGAACATGTTTTAACAAAATTATTATCTGAATGAATTTCTAATCGCATATATAGTCAGTCAGTCAGTCAGTCAGCAACAACGTAGAACTTCGAACGTACGTACATCAGTTCAAGTTGCCATTTCACATTAGTGCAGAGATGCAATTGTCAATTCAAATCCAATAGTAGTAGAGGTGGTAAAGGTATTAGCAGTAATCGGAAACATTTAAGTTCAAAGATATTATTCAAGAAGTAGAATCCAGTGAAATTAACTTAAAAACAGAATGATCAGGGTGATGAGGAACTCCGAAGTTTAGGATTTAAGAGAACAGAAAGGATGAATGCACCTGCGTCATTACAAAGGATTTTCAGCCATGTAGTTCAAGGTCTCTAACCATCGAGTACTATCATCTCACGGATACCAACCAGGCAGTCAACATCTACTAACATTGCTCAGTCCACTTGTCAGTGGTTTCACGGATTTCTGCCATCTTTTGGTTTGGCCGCCTCAACCTTTCTTCCAACCTATTTCAGCACGACAAACCATAGTTCGGCGAGGCAGTTGTTGGTTGGGCATACGTAACACATATCCCAACCACCTCAACTGACGTAATTTCAACACTTCATTTATTGATTTGCCATCCCTACCTAGGACCCGTGTCCTGAAAATAGCGCTGCTTACTCGGTTGTTTCAGTATACACGAGCAATGCTTCGTAGACACATATGATCGAAAACAAGCAACGAACGCATATCCTCTACTCTTATTGGCTGTGTTTCGCATCCATAAAGTGGGACGGAGCAAAGTGCTGAGCAGTACACTCGTCGTTTGTTTAGCAAACGGATGTCTCGCCTACGCCATAAGTGACGCTGGTTCGCGAAATCCAATCGAGCCTTCTGTGTTCGTGAGGAGATTTCGTCAGTCACCAGGCCATCTGCACTGATGAGACTCTCCAGCGGTCAACGCGCTGTACCGCTTCACTCCCTATCAATAGTTCAGGTGCCGTCGCAGGCCAGTCTTAAAGCAACGTTTTGCAGTTCAACGGGGAGAATCGCATCCCAAACATGCTTTCATTGTTGCTTAAGGTAGTCAGAAGACTTCGCACTTTGTCAGCATCTTCACCAAGTAGAACTATGTCATCGGTCTATTCTGAGTCACCAATGAATCTCCTGGTAGAAGGTTAACTCCTGAAAGTTTAGACGAAGATAATGTTAAATCTAGAAGCATGTCTATAACAAACTTAAACAAGAATGGGGAAATTGGATATCCCTTGTAGTGCCTCAACATATATGCCAGTTCGCTTACATCTAACCTGGTTAAGCCCTTTCGATTAATTTATCTAACCAAGCCAATTTGTATTGCAACAATTCATATGTACCATTCTTTCTTATTATTGTCTGGTTTATATGTGCTCACATGTCGTGCATTTGACCTTGTCAATCATTCGTCGCTTTGTTCATGTGTGCCTATTTCGCTTGTTGCATGTCTGTCTTATATTTAAAACAATTAGTCCCTTTTATAAATTTTGATAGAACAGTGAGAAGACGTAATTGATCTGATAAATGTGATGTATTTGCGCTATACATTTCGAACAATCTACTCACACATATTTTGTTTTCGATTAGATCGTCATCAGGCTTTACTCTAATATACATGAATATTTATATGAAAATGTTAAACCAATCAAGGCAATTTGAGTGATAATCACAATGAAATGAAAAAGATTACGTAACTACATCTAATAGGCAAACAATACGCAGTTCTATCTTAGCACACCTGGTAGATAGTGGTCACATTGTAGATAAATCTAGATCTTTTCGGGTGATCTATCGTATACCTCCATCATTTCCCAACGGAGTTCGATCCCGTCTCCTGCACATTGCAGAAGCCATAGGAATACGTACATTCAACCCTAATTTATGTGTTCAGAAGAAATTCCTGACACCCCTATCTCTTCCGTGGCCGGATATGACGTAACTAATGATTGACATATTTTTATTTTTATTTTTATTATTTTTGATTTATTATTTTATTTTATTTTTACACATTTGCTTATTACGTAATGTTTTTGACGTTTTTGATGATTATTTGAATTCTATTCACCCACCCTTGACCTACTTTAGTTATCATATTTTACAAATTTTCTTACTACTATCAGTACACCTGTTTTCCTATTATCCACTTGAACTTTTGCCTATTAGATGTAGTTACGTAATCTTTTTCATTTCATTGTGATTATCACTCAAATTGCCTTGATTGGTTTAACATTTTCATAAATGATGACGATCTCATCGAAAACAATATTGTTCGCTTATATGTGTTGTTCTAATTTTCACAATGGGAATCTTTAAAATTCACACATATTTACTTGTCAAGGCATTTTATATGAAGATGAATAAAAGGTCAATTGAATAAAAGTTCAAATAGACATAGGGTGATAATTGTAAATAAAGGAGAGAGAAAATTAACGTAATATGAAAAGAATAAGAAGGGGTAGGAAAATTGTCACATTACCCTAGGCTTAAAGATTACCAAGGTAAATTCAAGGTTATGACAAATTGTTTCTGCACACATAAAGGGGGTTTAAATTTTCTAATAGCCAAGGCCTCCATAAACCTCAAAATTCGTCCTTCAACATTTCTATACAATGTTTTGAAGGCTGTCTTGATGTCAATCTTATGCCCTGTCTCAATTATGTGTTTGGCGATCGATGAACATGCTTTTCTATTTCCAACGTTAATCGGCTCATCTGACGTTAACTGATTTCGAAGCCACTTAGGTACATGTTCCACAACCCTTGATTGCAAAGTCCGATTACTCCTCCCTATGTATGTGTGTCCACACAAACATGTAAATTGATAAATACAATGGGATGTGATGTAATCATTAGAGCAACGTTTATGTATATGCGAAATCATGGACTTGGTCTTTTCAATGATAATCAGTTTAGCAGCGTTGTATGTTTTCTCTATGGCTGCTTTTAGTCTCTGTCTTATTATGAGACAATTTGCTTCACCTCTAAATGGTAAAGTGATATAAACCTTTTTCTTTTCAGCAGAATGAAAAACTTGCTTTTGTCTTAACTGATCTCTACACCTATTGATAAACTTTAGCGGATAGCCATTTCAAAACATTGTATAGAAATGTTGAAGGACGAATTTTGAGGTTTATGGAGGCCTTGGCTATTAGAAAATTTAAACCCCCTTTATGTGTGCAGAAACAATTTGTCATAACCTTGAATTTACCTTGGTAATCTTTAAGCCTAGGGTAATGTGACAATTTTCCTACCCCTTCTTATTCTTTTCATATTACGTTAATTTTCTCTCTCCTTTATTTACAATTATCACCCTATGTCTATTTGAACTTTTATTCAATTGACCTTTTATTCATCTTCATATAAAATGCCTTGACAAGTAAATATGTGTGACCAGATTGTTCGAAATGTATAGCGCAAATACATCACATTTATCAGATCAATTACGTCTTCTCACTGTTCTGTCTTATATTTGTCTAACTATATATTCTTAGTTATGCTTTGTTTCTAGGAGTCGGCTCATTAGCCTTCTCCAACGCGCTTCGCCTATTCATTCGCTCCCACTGACCATTCGTTCTCATTGTAATCTAGGGAGTTGGCTCAACAGCCTTCTCCAATTCACGTCGCTTCTTTCGTTTTATTCGCTGCTTCTACGCTTCGCTTAGTGATGTGTCCCAAATAAACGTATTCATCACTTTGTGTTCAACTTCTGATTTATAAACTGTCAGACGCTATTTAGTAACGATTGTCTAGACGAGCTAATTACCGAGTTTAAGAATACTCAGTAAATCGACACACTACACCCTAACGGACACCACGCGGATGTAGTAAATCATGATAGGACGCTTCTGACATTCCGAATTGTACTAAACTGATCAATCATAAAGTAACTGTGTATGTGTCGTGTGTCTTAAGCCGTAGAAGTGTATCTTAACCAGGTCAATAATGAATGTATATCTACTCATAGTATAAGGTAATCAGAATGTATCAATCACACGTTCATATCCTCATGTGTTTTTATAACTTTTCTATTAATTTGTACTAATGTGATTTTTGGAAATATGAGTGATTACTAATTTGTCTAGGACAAATATCATCAAAATGTTCTAAATAATGACGAACAGCATTTATATATATATATATATATATATATATATATATATATATATATATATATATATATATATATATATATATATATATATATATATTATTCAGTAACATATTTTCACCTTATTTTCTCTTTGCTCATCTTTTTACACACAGTTCATCCATGGATGCATTGGTTTTCATTACAATCTCAATGGTTATTGGATGCAAGTTTTTATAGAACATTATGTTTAAATTGTTTATTGATTAGTTTCTATCCACTACAAGGAGAATGTTTATGTAAGTATTATGTATATATGTATGCATATACACATATATACATTAAATAAAGTATCAAATGCATTACTTGAGAGTGATTGATAAGAACTTTTGACTGATCGAATGCTTCCAAATTACGCTGAGCGTAATTTATTTCTAGGCCTTCTTCTTTTCTGTCAGCCTTGAGGATTCCTGGTAAAGGCTTGTCTTGTGACGTAGCTGGGTGCTTTCCTCAATGTGTGTCCAGTAGTGTTTCTTGACTTCTTCCTCTGCTAGAATCTGATTTTTTTTCTCCCACAGTTAATTGTATCTTGGATGAGCAAACTGTTACTTGTGGATTTTGTGGCTTTTGTTGTTCTCCAAGTTTCCTCCTCATACTATAGAACTGTCTTCAAATCGACCTAGTTTAGCGATGACGCTGTACAGATATGTAAAGGTTTCCACATCTCCCAGATCTACTCCGTTAAGTGCGATTTAATTGGTACATGTTGTGTTGTATCAGAGGATATCGGCCATCAACAGGATGTGGTGATCTGAAGCTATGTTACCTTCAGGTGCTTGGTTTTAACATCCTCCCAAGAAAGGAATTTCATCATCTACAATAAATTATCATCGTTCTGACAGAACTATTCACTTCCAGTATTTAAGTATCAAAGGCGCATTGCTTAAGAGTGATTGATAAGGGCCATTGTCTGTGGTTATCAGAAATTGCATTATCTGTGTCTAGCCATCACCTATCTAAACGATCGATTTTAACTAATGTAGAAAGAAGTTGGATGAAGGTTAGGGATTGCTATACATAAAAATCAATGTGTCAGCTCATAAACTGACTGATTTTTGGCTTGATTTGTGTAAATTGACAATGTGGTTTTTGTCTACGCATTCATTATGATCAGTAGTTGGAGGTGTGGGATGACAAGACAAAGACCTGAGTAGAATGAAGGTCATGTCTTCACAATTTGTCTTTTCTTGGATTTTGAGTTTTAACATGAATTTTTCCTAAGGTATCAAGAATCTGTATACATTTGTGCTAGGTTCTCATTTCAAAGACAAACTGAATTTTTATATAGATTCTGGTATGGATCCAATAAAGTATCATTCATTGCTCAATACTTTATATTTTTCAGTGGATGACGTAATTTACTATCATGATTTTTAGAAAAAAATGCTCCTCATTGAAGACTTATTCACTTACTTCGGCCTGCTACATCCAATGGTGTATAGGCTGCCGACCAATTTTCTCCGGTCAACTCAATCCTCAACCTTCCTTTCCAAATCTACTCAATCGTTGTTCATTTTTTTGATGTATGCTTCCAATTCTCAGCATAATTTGTTCCTAAGCCTTCTACTTTTGCGTCAGCCGAGAGGATTCTTGGTAAAGGCTTGTCTTGTGACGTAGCTAGGTGCTTTCCACAATATGTGTCCTATCTACCGCCATCAGTGTTTCCTGACTTCTGATTTGTTTTATCCCACAGTAAATTGTTTTCGATGGTATCTGGCCAAGGGATCTGAAGTATCTTGTGTGCGCAGCTGTTATTAGACAGCTATATCTTGCGGATGATAGCTTTTGTTGTTCTCGATATTTTCTCCTCATACTATAGAACAGTCTTGACATTTCTATCGAAAATTTCTGAATTTGACGTTCGTTGACAGCTGTTTTGTGTCCTAGATATTTTTCAGTGGTAGAAATGCTTCCGTTGCCCTGACAATCCATACCTTCACATCTGCATCAAACCCACCTTGCTCGTCAATGTTTCTGTCCACATATGTAAAGGTTTCCACATCTCCTAGATCTACTCCATTAAGTGTAATTTAATTGGTACATGTTGTGTTGTATCGGTGGATTTCGCTTTCTCCTTTGTGTGTGTATGTTCAAACCTAACGATACAGAGGTTGTTACTGCATTTATTGTGATGTTTTGCATATATAAAAGGCTGTTTTCTTTTATCAAAGAAATATATATATATATATACATAACATCTTTTGTTTCTTGTGATTCATAAATCATTTTGTTCTATTTGGTGTTTTTTTTTGATTAGTTATTTCGCTTTTTTTTTCTTATCCTTACTATCCTACTTAATCGGTTATTATCCGTTGGTAATTTATTTTCATTTCATTTCATAAATTAAAGAGATTATCATCACGTTACACTTGTGAAAAATCCCTACAGTCTTGTATATATGAAAAGGTAAGGGAAAAACAATGTATTGGGAAATCCAAGTGCACACACACACACACACGTACACGTACACGAACACACATGACTTTGATAATTATTGGTAAAAAAATGAAGGACATTTTGATTTCTGCTGTCTTTCTATGGTTTATTGTTTGCGTTGTTGTTGTTGTTGGCGTTGTGGTCGAAACACAACGATCTTTTTCTGAGCATAACAAGTGTATTACATTATGTGGTTGTGGTTGTGATTATGATTAAGCAACCTGCATACAATTCTCGTTTTTCAAATAAAACAAACAAACAGAACGAAACCGATCAGTAAACAAACAACCAAACAAGCGAACGAAAACACATGCGCACACATACACACATAACTGGCAATTTAAAATTCTGTTCAAACATCAATAATTGTCAATTAGGAAAATTGCCGGAAGTGAAATAAGTTACAGGCAAGCGTTGAAATAAAAAGGAAAATGGATTATAACAATCAAATTTAGAAATTAGTTTTGTAGCCTTGACAAAGTATGGGGAAAATGTGTGTATACGAATTATTATGTTGTTCGAGTGAAAGTTATATAATGTAGAAGAACTATGAAATAACTAACTGTATGTGGCTCTTGTTAAAATTAAAAAAAAGATGTGTTAGTGGTTGGATGGATAATCAGTTATTATTTTTTTAAAAAAAAACATATGTTCAATGTTGATGTGAATGAAGGTAAAGGTTGATTTTTGAACAATTGAAGAAATTGAAATAATGAATCGATCAGAGTTTGACCACCATTAGAAAGAAACTTGAACGGCCGTTCCGTTCTGATTTGGGGCTCGTCAGAAGTGCTCATCCACGACTTCTGTACCTCGCGGGATTCAAACCTAGGACCTTCGATCTTGCTCGAAAACGATGAGATCAGTGGAGTTCGACCCAGTCGGGTGTAGGGAGTAACTACCGAAGAAAAATGGGCGAGGTTGTGCGAAATCCTTTTGTGGTGCGAGCTACTTATAAGTAGTATATGACGTGAGCGTCAACGTAATGTCTGGCAGCCGAAGATGGGGGAAGATCAAGAAAGGAAGAGTGGAAACACAATGGAATTTGTATGAAACGCATGAATAGTGACAATGGATTGATGTTTTGCAACAGGAACAGTCCAGCTCGATATGATGAACTGTTGTTTTGCAAATTAACGATTTACGATATGGTTTTCCTATTTTACTGAGTAACTCTGTAAATTTCGTTAAATACAATTCGGTTGCCCCACCTGTGTTCTCATCACTACATTTGGTGTCGCTGCCTGCTCGAAGGAAGGAGCTCCCGTGGCCGAAAGAGTTTGAGGACGGAGATTGGCGGAGCTACGTGCGCAAGACCGAAGGCCCTGGGTTCGAATCCTGCGATTCGCAGGAGTTATGGATGCGCACTGCTGATGAGTTCCATACCAGGATGAAACGGATGTTTTTAGTGCCTTCACGTTTCTAATGGTCGTCTTACAACGATTGATTGATAAATTCACTGTGCAAAATCACTGATCTAATGACTCTAATTGGAAAAACTAATTTTTCTTACATTTAAAAAAGTATTTAGGTTTGATTATGATTATTGACATTGCATGAAATGATTGTCGACTCCCACGTCGAGTAGTTTCTTATAGTGGTGTTGTTTTTCAATGCTGATTTTTAAGGATCCTAAATTGGTATGCAAAACCAGTGTATTAGTCGAAAATTCATTGGAACAACACAGTAATGAGCAAACAATATCATTGTTTTCAATTAGATCATCATCAGGCTTTATACTCTACTATGTACATGAATATTTATCATGAAAATATTAAAGCAGTCAAGGCAATTTATGACTCAACAATCACAATCAAATGAAATAGATTTACGTCACTACACATATTGGGTAAAAGTACAAGTTGATAGTAAGAAGACCGGTGTGTACTGATAGCAGTAACAATGATAAAATACAATAGTTTAACATTGGAAGTAGCAGGTCCAACGTGGATAAATGAACTTGAAATAATCATTACAAAACATTTTAAAACCATTACGTAATAAGAAGTGTGTATGTATGAGTAGACTGTGAAAAATATACACAGAGAGAGGCAGAAAATTACATACAAATACAGGATGTGAAACTGAATGCTGATAATAACAAAATAGAATTCGAATTTTTTTTTTAAAACGTTGGTTAAATCATGGAACGGAAAGGGATGTCATAAGTTTCATCTGAACACATAAGTTGGAGTTTAATGTACGAATTCCTATAGGTTCTGTTGTATATGTTTGAGACGGAATCGAACTCCATTGGGAAACGATGATGGAGGTATACAAGATGGATCTACGATATGACCACTATCAGTCCGATATGCCAAGATAGACTTGTGTATTGTTTTTTATTGATTTGACCCTTCATAAACCATGCTGCGAGATGTTCATTCATTTCGTGGACAAAATGTATCCATTCACTTTCAGGAAATTAATCTCAATCATTTTTTTTCTCTCCATTGTTGTTTACATTTTATCTTAACAGCTTACTACGGCATTTGTAATTTGGAAAATCAGTTAACCATTATATCAATTGCTTTATTCACTGTTCTCTTATGCCTTATTAGTAGTTGTTATTCCAAACAATTATCTGTTCATTTCTATATTGGATTAGAAATTTTCTATTTATTACTGACATGCAATACACAAAATGTCATTTTGATATTAGGAATAATTAATGTAAGTTAATTTGTGATAGTTTTATTCTTCAATAAGTTTATTGTGTACTCTATAATCAATC